CACGGGCCCCTGGGGGCCTGGCTGCCCGTTGGCCTCTGAGATGCAGGTGCAGGCATTGGGAAGGGCGGGGCACTTCAGCTCGTCTCTCTGGAGGAGAAACATAGTTTCACAGGTTAATCATGGACCAGAATCCAGGTTTAAAGATCAGAACTCAGACCAGAACCACCATCCAAGCTCCAGAGATCCAGATCAACTTTGGACCAGGATGGCTCCATGTTTCTGAGCTACATCTGCAGACTGGAACTTCATTTGTGATGCTTCTCTATCGGAGTAACCAGTCAGCTGGAGCGCTGGAACACAGCCTTCAGTGTTCTGATGGTTCTGGATTCTACTTTTGTTTTTTTTGGATCGGTATGACTGGGCTGCAGAACCTGGGAGGTCAAAGTTCATGAGAGGAGAGAAAAGTGCTGCAGCCTCTTTGGGTCTGCAAACATCTGCAGACGCTGAGGCCCAGGTGACCCAGAACCATCTGGTCCTACTCTGCTGCCTCTGGGTGGTCCGTTTCAGGGGAACAACTTCCCGTCTCACTCCCCCCCAAACCTCACATGACCGGTTCGACATGATGATCCGGTTTAAACCGGAGCCACAAAGTAAAGCGAATAAAACCCAACAGCCCGGTTCTAAGATTGTTAAAGGTTCTACCAGAACAAGGTCTGGAGAACAGAGCTGACTGGCTGCTCACAGCAGTAAATGGAAAGTTAGGTGGAAGGAAAACATAGAGAGAAAATTTTTTTTTTTATCTCAATAAGTCATTTTTTCTTAAAATAAGTGCAGTTTTTCTTAAATTGAGGTGGTAAGTGTAAAATTTTGCCAATGGAACAAGTATTATTCTTTTCACCATCATTCATTTGTTTATAAAAATCTTACATTGTTGAATAAATATTTAGTTTGCGAATTAAATATTTTGATTTTAAATAAATATTTAGTTCCAAATTAAATATTTATTTAAAAAATGAAATATTCAGCTAGCATGGTGCTAGCTAAATAAGCGGAAGTGGACGACCAAAGTTAAAGCCTGGGAATCTCTGTACAATTCCGGCTGCATCTTCGTCACACGGACAGAAAATCCCAAAAAAAACCGAATTAATTCCAAGATGGAAGGTCCTTCTCTGAAATAGTTTTATGTGACCGTATACATGTGTTTTTTTTAGAAATGGGCAAATGCTTGATGTTATGTTAACCTAGAGCCGTCACTGTGTCGCCATAGCAACGACTGCTTTCCTTTCCGCTGGGCTGGAGGGAAGAAGCGGTCCCGTTCTCGAGTGGAAGGCAGCGAGACACTCGATAGTTAAGGTGCTTAGGGGCAGTCCTTAAAAAGTCTTAAAAGGCATTGAATTCTTCAAAATAAAGCTAAGGCCTAATTGTTATTAAAATGTCTTAAATCAGTCTTTCGTAGGTCTTAATTTTTTATTTTTTTTTTTATTTAGAAAGACAGATTTCCATCACATCAGTAATCACAGCTTCATCCATTTAAGATTATAACTGAAGATATAAGCAGAAAGTCCAAGTGATTTTGTCCATGTTGCCTTTCTGGTATTTTTAACAGAATATCTCTAACTTAATTGTAAAGAAAACCAAAAATGAGCAGAATTAAACAGTAATGGGGATTGCACCGCCTCGAGTAATAAAAACCACAAAGACATTAGAGAGCGAGACATATTTCAGAAAAACAATCAAATGAAGTCGGATCTAATTGGTTTCACGTACTCAGTCCATTTGGAATAAATCTTATAACATTTTTCTTTTTCTAATTGGAGGGAAAAACAGATCCTTTCCATCACATAAATCTGGTAAACAATTTCAATCCATTCATCAATAGTGGGGGGGTCTGGTTTCATCCATTTCCTCATGATGGCCTTCTTACTGGTAAGGTCTTAATTTTTAAAACATCATAAATAGGATTATTTTTATTACGAATTATTTTTGTAATCTAAATAAAACATTAAAATTGACCTTTTTTTTTATTTAAAAGAAATAACGTCTCGCCATTATTGGTTCCGTCCCGATACTGGAACCAATAAGGTGTTGTTGCGGCCGGGACATTTGGGAGATGCACCATTAACTTTTTGTCTGGAAAATATGAGCAAGTGTAAATGTAACCAAAATTGTCTCCAGCCAAGAGTTTTCTCCATGGCTAAAACCAGGGAACATACATGAGGCTCAGTGGATTTATGCAAGAAGTCATTCAAGCTCAGAACGATGGGAATTAAGGCAGTGGAGTCGCACATGCGAAGCACGAAACACAAAGCGTCAAAATGGAGTTACAGAGAAACAGCCGGTATTTCTCAGTTTAGTTCCACCCTTGTCTCTGCAACGCCTCCACTTATCACCAAATCAAACATACTAAGAAAACCATACAAAGAAAAATAGCTGCAAAAAAGACTTAGCACTGGTTATGTTGGGGCTTTAAAACTGATTTGTTTTGTTCCCTGCTAAAACAAAGTTTGTGAATTCAGTTAAATAATTGTTCAAATATATCTGTCATTTGTGTGTTTTTAGCTTTCTTCCTGTATGGGAAGCTTTTCAACACTTGAATCTAGGGATGCACGATATTGGGATTTTGGCCGATATCCGATATGCCGATATTTTAAAACTCATGTAGCCGATAACCGATATCGATACCGATGTGAAAGCTGGACAAAAATAAGTAGTCATTGAAAATAGCAGTTTTGTTATCCATTTCTGACACTTTGAAAAATAATATACTGAAATATATTTTCATATGCTGATATCAAATTGATTTTTAAAAACGCGGTATCGATCTATTTTACTTTCAAAATCTCGTGAAATTTCATCGTTCTGTTACAAACTCTCGTGATATTTTGCAAATTCTTGTGAGATTTTGTTAGTAAAATAGATCGATACCGCGTCAATATATCAACATATAAAAATATGGCAGAATTTGGTGAATTTTCGGGGGATTTCGTAGCATAACGATGACATATAGCAATATTTCATTAGTAAAAGAGATTGATATGGTGTTTTTAAATGGCAATATATCAGCATATGAAGACATTGGGATATTTTAATGTATCAATATTTTTTCCCTCGTCTTTAGAAGTTTTTAAGTCTGTAAAAAAGAGGTTTTTGAGGAAGAAGAAGAAGTAGTATTTTTCTTTTTTGTAGACTTTAGAAACTCAGAAGCTGATCAAATATCGGGTTAAATATCGGTGGGGTGGCTGATGTCCGATATTCAGTTTTAAGGCCGATACCGATAGGGGGCCGATTATATCGTGCATCCCTATTTGAAACATTAGTGCAGTGGTTTATGTTAAAATAAACCTTTGGGTTAAGTTGTTGCAAGCAAGTTTTTCTTGTTTCTTGTGAATTTGGTCTTAAATTTTTATTTCAAGTGGCATTAAAAATTCTTAAAAAGTCTTGAATTGAACTTGCCTTATGCTGTAGGAACCCTGTAAACAGAATATAGGGATTCCCAGACTTTTACTTTGGTTGTTTAATTCCGCTTTTCGGCAAGTGAATTTGCATAGTTGCATATTTAATTTGCAAACTAAATATTTATTTGACAAAGTTAGATTTTTATGAAATAATGAATGACAGTAAAAAGAATGACTTGGACAAAAATAAACCCCTTATTTTTCTCTTAAAACGAGCTAAATAACCATAAATATTGCTTGTAATTTTTGACGGCTTAAAGGAATAGTACACCCAAAACATGATTAGCCTTCATTTTCTACTCACCCCCATGCTGAACAACACTCTGGAGTACTTTTTTGATATCTCAAATGCATCTGGAGATCTGGGAGGCTTCTTGCTGTCTGCTGACATTCAAATAATGGAGGTCTATGGCGCCCGAGGCAGAAAGGTCCATAAAAGTCCACAAAAAACGTGTCAATATTCCTCCATACTGCTCGTCCAATGTATTCCAAGAGTCCTGAGTGGGTAGCGTCCATAATTTACTCGAAACAAAGTCATTTAGAATGTTTTTAGACCATAAACAGTAGTGTATAGGATTTCCTAAAAGCGCGTTCACGAGTCTACGGAAACCGCGGCAGACCAAACCAGATGAAAGTGCGCATTCAGCGTCTGCTCTGCCGATAATGCAAGCGTAGAAGAAGAAATGTGCTGTTTACCTGTGCAAAGAAAGAAACAACGAAAGAAAAATGTCTGAGGACTTCAGTGTTGAGGAAGAGCATGAGTTCTTTGCCGAGCTGAATGCGCTGGTTTCATCTGGTTTGGTCTGCCACGGTTTCCGTAGACTCGTGAACTCGCTTTTAGGAAATCCTATACACTACTGTTTATGCTCTAAAAACATTCTAAATGACTTCGTTTCGAGTAAATTATGGACGCTACCCCCTCAGGACACTTGGAATACATTGGACGAGCAGTATGGAGGAATATTGACACGTTTTTGTGGACTTTTATGGACCTTTCTGCCTCGGGCGCCATAGACCTCCATTATTTGAATGTCAGCAGACAGCAAGAAGCCTCCCAGATCTCCAGATGCATTTGAGATATCAAAAAAGTACTCCTGTTTTGGGTGTACTTTAACTTTCCTTTAACTTTGCAAACATAATTTACATTTAAAATAAGAAAAAAAAAATTTGCATTGTCTTATTTCAAGTGCATTTTAACTAATTATCTTATTTTAAGCGTAGAAAAATACTCATTCCATTGACAGATCTTCTTATTTATCTGCTCAAATTAGGGATAAATACACTTAATTTAAGAAATTTTGACTGATTTCTAGATCGTTTTTTCAAAAGTCCATCAAAGAGTCGGAGACAAACGTTACACTGCTGCAGATATTCATCCCAAACCAAACACTGAGAGCAGATTCTGAAGGTTTGAGTTTCTCTGGGTCACGTTTTTACTTTTTCCTGAACTGATGCAGAGAGAATTTCTCTTAAACATCATTTAAAAAGTCAGGACTTCATCATGATTCTGGATTCTGAGCAGAGGAACGAACAGAACCGGCTCCATAAATCCGCTCCACAGGTGGCTTGGCTGCTTTTACGCTAAGTGCTCTCTGCGTTCCTAACATCCATGATTCGACTCTCTCCGTCCTCGCCGTCCTTCTCAGAATCTCTCCGGAGACTCAAACTAAACTTGTCGCCAGTAATTTCTTACTTTCGTCCTGCAGTCTGGATCTTTTCCTGCATTTTCCAGCCAGCTGGACTCGCTTTCTTTTTTTCTTTCCAAAAAATGTTAAAAAACAAACAACCGGCAGCTGGAAATCATGCAGGGGGAGATGGAGTTCCAGCAGAGGGAGTTTTTAGGATTCTTTTCTAAAATGATCGAATGACTGAGAGTAGAATGATCAAATTACTGCTGGCGTTTCCCCAGAGGCCCACTGATCAGATGACCTCAGTGGACCGCCAGGCTCCTCAGAGCGGGGAGAAGAAAACAGCGCGTGCTCTGAGGGCCTGCTTCTTATCAGCCTGCAAAATCCTCTACAGCTTCGGTTCTCCAGCAGCTCGCAGGACTTCATTCAACTCACACACAAGGAACCGGGACGCCTTCCTGACTTTATTCTGATTAAAGGAACCTTCATGTTCTAGAACGTCCCAGAAGAAAGGTCCAGAAAGTAACCAGGAAGTTACTTTATCTCCTTATAAAACGCATGCATCTACCTGGAACCCTGCAGAGCTCCAACATGCATGCAGAGGCAGTGGGAGGGGCTTACCTTGGACGGCAGGTCGCAGCATCTGTCCCGGCTGGTCCAGGCCAAGCTGCAGACGAGGTCGAACATCTGGAGCTGGAACTGTGGAGGAGGGAACAGAGAACAGAGAACATGGGACATGTGTCTGAGCCCCCCCCCCCCCCCCCCCCATCCCCGCCCCGAACACAAACAGGAAAACCAGCCGCAGACATTCGGTCTGTTTTCACTTAGATCCGCCTGTCATCCAGAATTACTGCTGATTCTACTGACAGGGTTCTGACTGCAACCCTATCTATCTATCTATCTATCTATCTATCTATCTATCTATCTATATCTATATATCTATCTATCTATATCTATATATCTATCTATCTATCTATCTATCTATCTATCTATCTATCTATATATCTATCTATCTATCTATATATCTATATCTATCATTATATCTACATCTATCTATCTATCTATCTATCTATCTATATCATTCTATATATCTATATCTATCTATCTATCTATCTATCTATCTATATCTATATATCTATCTATCTATCTATATCTATCTATCTATGTATCTATATCTATCATTCTATCTACATCTATCTATCTATATCATTCTATATATCTATATCTATCTATATCTATCTATTTATCTATATCTATCTATCTATATCTATATATCTATCTATATCTATATATCTATATCTATCTATCTATGTATCTATATCTATCATTCTATCTACATCTATCTCTATCTATCTATCTATCTATATCATTCTATATATCTATATCTATCTATCTATATCTATATATCTATCTATCTATATCTATATATCTATCTATCTATATCTATATATCTATCTATCTATATCTATATCTCTTTCTATCTACATCTATATCTATCTATCTATATCCTTCTATACATCTATATCTATCTATATCTATCTATTTATCTATATCTATCTATCTATATCTATATATCTATCTATATCTATATATCTATATATCTATCTATGTATCTATATCTATCATTCTATCTACATCTATGTCTATCTATCTATCTATCTATATATCTATATCTATCTATCTATCTATCTATCTATATCATTCTATATATCTATATCTATCTATATCTATCTATTTATCTATATCTATCTATATCTATATATCTATATATCTATCTATATATCTATATCTATCTATCTATCTATATCATTCTATATATCTATATCTATCTATTTATCTATATCTATCTATATCTATATATCTATATATCTATCTATATATCTATATCTATCTATCTATGTATCTATATCTATCATTCTATCTACATCTATCTATCTATCTATCTATCTATATCATTCTATATATCTATATCTATCTATTTATCTATATCTATCTATATCTATATATCTATATATCTATCTATATATCTATATATCTATCTATGTATCTATATCTATCTATCTCAGGACATATATTTTGTTTAAATGAAGGTAATGATTTATCTAAGCTTTAATTGTTTTCCATTATATGTATAAATAAACATCATGATTTTTAGGTCATTGTTAGTTTTGGGATCCCAGGCTGTTTGTGAAACCATGATCTACAGCAGGGGAGCTCGAGTCCAGTCCTCAAGAGCTACCATCCTGTAACTTTTAGATGAATCTCTTCTCTAGCACACCTGAATCTAAAGCCTCCATCCCCTCCTTTAGCTCAGCAGAGGCGTGGTAACGAGCCACGCATTTCATTCAGGTGTGTTAAAAATGGTTACATCAAATAGTTGCAGGATAGTAGCTCTTGAGGACTGAACTTGAGCACCCCTGATCTACAGTAACCGTTCAGGTTTATAATCTAAAGCTGACGACTCTGAACTTGTTCACCTTCAGCAGGACGATGATGTGGACCAGGGCCCAGTTCTAGATTCATTTTTCTAGATTCATTTTTTAGTTGCATCTAAACGCTGATGATCAGCCCGTACAGCCTGTCCGCTGGTAGAAGGTCAACGAGACGCTGGATTTTCTGCGGGCGCTCAACTGGATTTATATCTTTTAATGAGTTTTATATTTCCTTAATTGATTCTTATTTAATTGTTGGAACGGTGTTCTGGTTTGGTAACCTGAGCTCCAGGCGGGGTTTAGGTTTATAATCTATAGGACGTGGTTTAGGTCTGGAGTTAAACTTTACTCTGGTCTTCAGAACTAGAGAGACTACAGCCTGGTTTATGCTCAGAAACCAGGCTGCGTCTGCGTGTCGCGGTTAACACATATATGGCCCCACCCCTTCCGAAAACAGCTCCCCAATATTGTAGGGGACCGCAGATAATGACAGGAGGCCTCTGATTGGTCAGTTCTCCATCCGCTCTACTCTATGCGTACTTCCTGTTTGGTCCCTAATAGCATTAACTCTGGCTGTAGCTCCGCCCACAGCACCTGGCACACCTCGGACTCTATCCCAGACACCGTGCAGGACGCTAGTTTGTAGCTCTGAGCGACGGTCTGTTGGTTTGCACCCGAAGCCAAAACACGCAGCGCCACTGCCGGTCTTTGGGGAACACTCACGGGGGAACTGTGGGACGTCCGGCGTTGGATGAGGGGTTGTAGACGGCAATCAAGCTCGTCCAACCATCAAGACGAAGGTTTACTTAAACCCATAAGGGAGGATCTAAGGGAGACCTTTGGCCTTTCAACCCCTAAGCTGCTGGTTTTTGAATCCTGAGTTCTGTTATCATCCTCTCAGGACTTCCTTTCTTTCTTTGTTCTATTTTTAAACCAGTTTCTGATTGGACGAGACAAACGGCCTCCTAACATTTGGAGTTCACTGTTCCTGGTTCTGTTGGCGCCGACTCACCGTTGCAGACTTGCCCTTAGACCCGATGGACTTGGACATCTTTCCCAGGACCTGGTATCCGTCTCTGGACGTGTTCCCAGCAGCCTTGATCTTCTTCTCAGCGACCTCCTGACAGTCGACGTTGAGTTTGACGCTGTTGGATGAAACCATGATGTGGAGCTTTGGAAAGAAGGAAAGAAGAAGACGTTTTGGTTCTGACCCGATTCACATCTTTAAAGCATCGGTCAACAGGTTTGGATCAGAACCAACTGGTCTAAGGGACAGAATGTCTAAGGAGTCTCCGCTCTCCACCCTGGTGCTGAACTAACGCTTCGGGCCTGAAGTCCAGATCCACCAGAAACGGGTCCAAACCAACCGCAGAGTCCCAGAGGAGGAGGGGGTGAGGAAGGAACAGCTCCAGTTCCGGGAACCAGAACAAAGGAGGAACCCAGTCCAGAACTTTCGGCACTGGACAGACAGCCCAGAGAGACCCTGCAGATGTTCATCCGAGCTCAGTACCGGTATCATCTTCAAGAGTCTGGGATGGTTCTGGACCAGACTGGACCCCTAAAGCCTCCTGAAAAGTTCTTGATCTACTGCAAAATCCGGTTGTGGAACCAGCTGGACCCGAGCCTGATCCTTCATCAGAAGCCTGAGCCGGTTTGACCTCTAGGAGGTCCAGATTCCTCCCCTAACCACGAATCCTGAGAACAGCCATAGTTTTCATCTTCCAGAAGTCCGCCCTTCATCAGAACACCTCCCTCCAGAACCAGAACCTCTCTCAGAACCACAGGACTAACTGTTGGAGTCGTTTATCTCTGAGGTTGCGGATCAAAGGTGTTGAATCTGGAATCTTAACGTTCTCTAAAAACGCAGAATTTTTCTGTTTCTTTCTTCAGTCATAAAGACAGAAACATACTAGAATCTGGGTCAGAACGTCTGAGCTGCTGCAGCTCTGCGGGGATCAGGAGGAACCAGAGAAAACGTCCTCGTATACGACGACTGCTCCAAACGAGCAGCTACTGGGGTCCAACATGGTTCTGAAAAAATGTTTTACAGGATTCCAGTTTGCTGTGGAGCTCAGGTCTGCTCCAGAGGTCAAAGGTCAGAGAAAGAGAACCTTTTGGCTCCTGGAACCCGTGGATGAAGCAACAGGAACCCTGTAGCTGATCTGGAAACAGACGGTCCGTCCGTCAGAGGGACGTCCGGCCGCACCGCCTCAGCAGGAGCTGCGCTGCCTCTCAGCACCTGCAGGTGGCGCTGTCTGCATTCCCTGACAGGATCTGGGAATAAATGTTTTCTTCCCATGACTCCGATTTCTAACACATTGGGAATGTGAGGAATGTGGAGGATCTCCAGACGTGCAGGGAAAACAGAGAGAGATGCTTCTTTTGAAGTTTTTCCCCTCAGAGCAGAAGACGTTACAAAACTCAGAGATAAAACAGCCTCAGTTGGATTCATTTCACTTTATTCCAGACTAAATCGCTGCAGAATCTGGTTCCAATGTCTACAGAAGCCAGCTGAGATTAAGGAGAACCCGAGTCTTTACCTTGTGGAAGCTTCCGTGGAAGATGGTCTTCACCAGACCTTCGTCAAACGTGACTCTCTGGATCTCTCCGGTTTCATCTTTGTTGTAGAAGGAGATGGTCTGAGCGGAGCCTGGGAGGAGATGGAATAGTTCAGACTGAATCAGGAACCTGAACCTGATCAGGACATGGATCCACATCAGGTTTTATTTTAATCTGGAATATGATTCGAAATCAGATGAGATTTGTGAAAAAGATCCAAATCAGGATTCAGTTTCAAATCTGGAATCTGATCAGAATTGGGAATTTGATCCGCATCGATAAAAATAAGCAGAATAAAAAAGTATATCCAAATCAGGAAACGGTTCAAATCAAGAAATCTAATCAAAATCTGGAATATGATTCAAATCTGAAATCAGATCAAAATCGTGACACTGATTCAGATCAATTTTCTGCATTGAATCTGGAATCGGATCAGATTCAGGAATAATGATAAGAATAAGAAGAAAACCTGCCCAAATAAGAAAATTCTCCAAATCAGGAGGTGTAATCAAATTCTGGAATATGTTTGGATTTGGAAATCAGATCAGAATCATGAAACTGATTCAGATCACTTTTCTGTCTTGAATCTGGAATCTGATCAGAATCAGATGGATCCAAATCAAGAGTCTGGATTCTGATCCAAATCTGGAATCTGATCCGAATCAGGGAACTGGTGTGAATCAGGAAACAGAACCCAATCAGGAAATTGATCCAAATCAAAGATCTAATTTGAATCTGGAATCAGATTAGGATCAGGAAATGAATCCGAATTGGAGAACTGTTCGGAATCAGAATTCGCATCAGAATCAGGAAACCGATCCGAATCAGTAACCCCTTCATTGCATCTGTTCAGATCCCGGCTTAGAACTGAACTACCGTAGAACTGAAGGCTGACAGCCGTGTAGAAATCCTGGAGAACCTTTGATGGATTACAGGAGGATCTAAATCTGAGGAGGGCCAGTGGAGCGAGGCCTGGTTTAGCAGGAGAGCTGTAGGTCTCTCTGGCAGAGGGAACATTAAACTCTACTACTTGATTGTAACTTCAAAGGGCCGGGTTTTAACTGAGAGCAGCTTATGATCGTCATCTGAAAGATGGAAACATCAGCTTTACGAGAACCAGCTGAGCGGCTCCATGACATCAGCCTCTCCGCCATCGGCTGAGATGGAGGCACAGCTGCTCCGCGCTTCACGCTCATTTCTCTGGCTCAGATCACAGGACGCGTACCGTCCACGGTGACGCCGGTCTCCGGCTTGTGGTCTTTGGTGGACACCTGCCAGATGTCGAAGGCCTCTGAGGGCGAGTCGGGCAGCAGGCGGAACATCAGGATGATGGTGTAGGTGTGAGGAAGGCCGTCTGGGTGCATCTCTCTGTTCGGGACAGAAACACACAGACCTGCTGGTTAGATGGGAGAAAATCCGACTGCTATAGTCAGGGGCGATTTCTCAATGTGTGTGCTTGTGCGTTCTCGTGTCCTCGTGAAACATCATCACCCTCAGTTCTAGTACTGTTCCAATTCACAAGAACAAGAAGACAGACAAAGTCCCCGGATGTTGTTCTGGCCCCTCCCTCTTTACCCAGCATGCATCAGAGTAGACTTGTCCGTTCTCCAGACGGACAGCTGTCCCAGCATGCACTGCAGGAGCAGCAGCTTCCAGGTTAGCGCTCACAGAGCTCAGAGGATTAAGTTAAAAGTTCTCTTTTTTGTTGCTATTATTTAATGAAAATAGGTTTTAAGTGTGAAGTACCGCTGGCTCTGATGGCGATTTTTTTTGTTATACTTGGAAAAATGTTCATTTGATTTGTGTTTATCTGACTGTGTTAATCGTTATTCCCCTAATAAAAGAAAAAGGTAGGAATTTATTATTGTCCAGAGACTATTAATAACAGGAGGTGAAATGCAGCTCCAGACTAGCTTTGAATGTGGTGATGTCATCAGTACGCTTCTGTTCCAATTGACCCAGATTTATTCTCCCGTTCTCCCAGAGTCCAGACTTTCATGGGTTCTTCTGAAGAACGTACTTGGTGAGAACACGAGTCCGTACTGGTACTCACGTAGTGGGCTGGTTCACGAAGGCGTTCTTGTGAAGCCTATATGCCGTGTAGCTGTTGAAGGACCCGGGCTCCATGGAGACTCCTGGGATGTAACTGTAGGTCTTTTCTGTCAGGTTGAAGGCCTCCAGCATCCTGAATCCTGGGAGGACAAAAGCAACGAGCGTAAAGGGGAGGGTTCCTGTCACAGCAGGTGCTGAAGGACACAGCGTCTTTAGACGTTAGCGTGGTCGTGTTTACCCGGGGAAGTAAAGCCATTGACGTAGATTAAAGGACAGGCTGTGGAGGAGAGCAGACATTCAGTGAGGAATGTTTTTTTAGGTGATTTTTCTTTAAACTTTCTGACAGAAAAAGTTTTAAACTGACTGGACGTTGAGGTTTCACAGATGAAGGTTATCAGATTTTCTTTGATGGTGTCGAAGGCGTCAAAGTCGTCCACGACAAAGACGTGTCTGTCGCTGGGCTTGCTGCCGATCACCTGCAGCTCGACGAAATCCACGTCGGCCACGCCGATGGCAAAAACACTGTAGCCTGAGGAGCAAAGAGCCAATCAGAAGTGACCAAACATCTGGGTGTCTCTAAAAGCCTTTTCTAACCCCGTAAGCCTGGCCGGCCCAGTACCAGGCCCAGCTGACACCTGCTCATGTTTATCTATTTATAGAAATGGACAAAACACAGTCACATGGTGTGTTAGAAATATTTTATTTATACGTTAGTACTACTACTAATGAACTATTATGATGTATAATGTGTGATTCATCGTTTATTAACTCTTGCTAAAGACCGTTACAGATAAAGGTCATGCAACGGATGGGTTGTTTCTTCTAAACATGTGTTCTTGGAACAATTCAATTGTAAAACAACCACATGCTTTATGTGCTGAGGTTTAAAGTAAGATAATTTTGTTTCCCATTCCCTTAGTTAAAACTCAGCTTGTGTAATTAGGGACATCCCCTAACTTTAATAATAGCGAGGAGAAAGCCGAAGACCAGCAGAGTGGGGAGGAGATTGTAAACTCTGCAGTCTCTTCCTACTCTCCTCGCGAGTAAAACTAAATTAATTGTCTCTGTGCCTTCTTTCTTTTCCTGTATGTATGAATGATGTTTTAGGTGCTTAGACCTGCCATGGTGTTTCATCCACACGCCTTTCAAATGTGGCTTTAAAATTTCTAAAATATGTTTCAAAATAATTTTTTCACACTTTTTGTTTTATAGCTGTGTGAACAAATAAAATGAGAATTAAAATTCCACCTGACGTGTGACTCTGCAGGAGTAATGCAATAGCAGGATTCATTTTTAGCCACGCCCCCTAATGGCCGCCATATTTAGAAACTAGAGGCTCAGACCTTTCCAAGGAGGGGTCAGAGGTCATTGTGCGACCATTTCAGGTGATGGAACCAGCATGCGTTCTGTTATTCTTATTTTCTATTCCGTTTGGTGATATTATTGGTAAATTTAAATGAAACAACGGCTAAATCTTAGGAGCAAAGGCTTTTTCTTATGCAGAAGGTCTGGAAATCAGCATATTTGTCTGATCAGATTCCCTTTTAGGAGAGGAAAAATCTATTTTTGCACTTTTGGCATTGTGCAAAAGTCACATTTCCACCTAGCACACTGCCCGCTAAAACCTTTGTGGAGCAAACATGCTTCAACTTTTTCTGTCCAAATTAACTTGAGTTCTAGTCAAGATGTGGATCTATAAAGTCTGAGGGTTCATCCAGAGTTTCTTTATGGTGTTTTGCACAGTTTATTTTAGTAAAGTAATTAAGCGAGGCTAAATATTTTTGTTTTTTTTCTTTGATTAGTCACCTATAACCTATTATAGAAATATCAGCTGTGCTGCTGCCATCAACACCTTTGTTTCTAGATGTTAGAGCTTGGCCTGTTTTCCAGTGTAGTCCTGTTTCTCTGACTGTGACTAACTGGATGTGCTCTCTTCATCCTCTGACATGGGAGCTGGCTCGGAGCTCGTCTGCCTGGCTGTGTGTTTCCTGGACGGGGCCGCCTGTGGAGCTGGTTGACGGTTGCCTTTTGTATCTATGCTTCTTTTTCTATGTCTTCCTGTTCAAAGGGAGTTTTTCCTCTCCACTGTCGCTACAAGCATGCTTAGTGTGAGGGATTGCTGAAGAGTCAATGAGTCGATGCAATCAGCCGGTTTTCCTCAAATAGAAAACTTTGAATCAATCTGACTGGATGATCTGGTGAACTGGAAAGTGACTTGAGATGACATGATGTGAATTGGAGCTATAGAAATAAACTGAATAGAATTGAATAAACACAAACACCAGCTGCATAAGGTGAAATACGCTGCAGGTCGAAGTTCCTTCACTGTATTTTCTTATTTTTATAACCAGGTTGTTAGAAATCCTTCTTTTACATGTCAGTTTTCTATGTCTGAGACCTTTAGATGTTTAATTCTGCCATAGAAACTCTTTTACAGAATAAGGCTGATTTATATAACAGTCTCTGTTACCATGACAAAGGTTTTCCGAGGAGTTTAGTTCTTTGATGTGATGGCTTCTGTTACCTGCATGATGCAGCTTGGCGGCGCTCTTCTTCACCTCGTCCTGCGACTGTCCGTCAGTGATGGCCACCACCACCTTGGGGACGTTCCTCCTCATTCCGTTCTCCACGGAGAAGGCCTTCTCGTACGTGTGTTTCAGAGCCTCCCCTGTTCAGACGGACGGCGGATGTCAAAAGCCTGGGTTCAAACGGACCGACCTTGCCGCTGAGGGCCTATCAAACCAGACCTGTCTTAGTGTTTCCTCCTCTGTAGCGGATGAGGTACACGGCTGCCATGGCGATGCCTTTGTCGTCATACGAGTTGAGCTTGAACTCCGTCTTTGAGCCGTCGCTGTACTGCACGAATGACACCTGAGTGGAAGATCAGGCGGGTGAGAGGGGAGGTTATCTATTCTTCTTATCAACACAGCACTACTACTTACAAAAATTTAATGATTCCATTACTTTACTCTATAATTTATTCAAAAACATTTAGGTTATTAAATGATTTTTTATAATTACTGCAACATAACATAATCATTTCAGGAGTAACCAAAGTTTTCCTGTTTTTATCTCTATCCGTTTAACCAGAGAAGATAACCAACCTGCATCCCTGATGGTCCGACGACGTCGAAGGCGGCGATGATGCTGGAAACAAACTGAACAACTTTAGTGAAGCTCTCCTCGCCGATGCTCCACGAGCCGTCGATGACGAACACCAGATCTGCTTTGGCTCCTTTACAGACTGGAGACAAACAACAAGTCTGAGAGTCTCACCAATTGGAGGCTCTAAGAAGACTTTGACTAGACGGCTTCGTTCTTCTCCTGCTCGGTCATTCGGTCATAGACCCGCTTCTCTAACTGAGAAGAAGCGAAACAGTGAGGAGGATCGGTATCGGCTCATTGGCCCAAACAGCTGGGTGTTTCTGATCGGATCTTTAAACTCAGCATCAAGGTAAACACGGAGAACTTTGGAGGGTTTTCCAACAATTATGTTACTTTCACGTCTAAAGCGCTTCGAGCTCATTTGCAGCCGCTTTACATGCAAAGTCTACGCGTATCAAAATGTCCTGCAGCGCCTCTAGAGTAGCAGGAGCGCCGCATACACCAATGAGAGAAGCTGATCTGAGGGCTGGCAGGGAGTCAGACACAGCACTGCTGATGCAGAGCGCTATGATCACTCCTCTGAAAAAGTTTATTAACGCCTAAATTAACTTCAAATGTAGAAACCTGCTGACAGAATATGTTCACTTTTATTATCCTGCTTCCTGCAGTTTGTAGCACAGACCTGAAAAACGCTACTGCAAAAACGATCCAGAAATAAGTAAAAATTTCTTAAATTAAGGTTATTCACCCTTAATTTGAGTAGGTAAATTAGCTAGTTTGCCAATGGAATGAGTAATTTTACTCAAATAAAATAAGATAATTAGATAATATGCACTTGAAATAAGACAATGCAATTGTGTTTTCTTATTTTAAGCGTAAATTCTCTTGTTCCATTGGCAAAATGTCTCTTTTACCTCCTAAATTCAAGAACAAAAGCACAAATTTTTAGGAAAAAGGACTTATCTAGATTTAGATTTTTTGCAGAGCCGCTGTAGGTACCAGATTGACTCGGGGGCCTGCGCCTTTTGATGACGTCACAATACATAATTGTTTTAACGTTTGCACAATTGCGCAAAACATTTTGATTGGTCTGGACAGCTTACTAAAGTAATTATAGCGGGGTGTAGGTTTTATTCGAAAGCGGTTGTTGCGGTTTGTAAACGGACAATTTTACGAAGAAATTCTCCATGGTCCCTGCGCCTTCCGATGACGTCACCGAATTCGCCATGGGCCTTGCGCCTCCCGATGACGTCACAGTATGGCAACGCCACTCAAACAAACTACATTGAGCCCGCGGTCTGCGTTTGTAACGAGAATAGATTTGTGACAAATAGAGACCGTGGGCGCAATATAGTTTGTTTGAGTGGAGTTGCCATATCGTTACGAGTGGCGTTGCCATATAGTGACGGGCGGAGTTGCCATATTATGACGTCATCAAAAGGCGCAGGACCCCGAGTCAATCTGGCAGCCCGAGTCAATCCTACCTACACCGCCACCAACAGTAGGGGAAAACTCCCAAGAGGCGAGCGGGCCTGAGGCAGCTGCTGCTGGGGATTCCCAGTGACAGCGCAGCGCCGGTATGTGGGGGTCTGAGCGGCTCCCACAGAGAAATAATCTTTGAAGGCAGGATGGTAATCTGGATGAACTGACTGCACAGACCATGTTTTCAGGAGGACTTTCTCACTTCGACATAGATTCACTGGAAAAATGATCTAGAAATAAGTAAAAATTTCTTAAATTAAGTGTATTCACCCTTAATTTGAGTAGGTAAATGAGATAGTTTGCCAATGGAACGAGTAATTTTACTCTTAAAATAAGATAATTAGATAATATGCACTTGAAATAAAACAATGCCATTGTGTTTTTTTATTTTAAATGTAAATTGTCTTGTTCCATTGGCAAAATGTCTCTTTTACCTCCTCAATTCAAGAACAAATGCACTTATTTTAAGAAAAAATTACTTATCTAGATTTAGATTTTTTGCAGTGTTCAAAATACTTTTTACCCGCTGATCACAGCTAATATAGCAAAGCTGCTCTCTGGCATCGAACACAGGAGCATCAGAAGCATCTGGACTCACTTTACTGGACGTCTGACCTTAATGTGGACGAGCAGCAGAATTGAAGCTAAATTCGGTTTGAATGTAGCACTAATGTCACCATGAACAGCATGTCGGGGAAACCCTGAGTGTTTGGGACTCACCTGCCCACGCCGGGGGGATGGTGGGGGGAGGTGTCGGGGTGGGTGGGAGTGTAGGGACTGGCGTCGGCTTCACCACTGTGAGAAAACAAGATGTCATCAGTGATAAACACAGAACCTGTGAGAGCACATCATGATGTCATTGTTTGGGAAGCGCTGCTTCGCATGATGCAACCCAGTTGGTTACATACTGAGGACATAATTCAGCCATTTGATTCAGGTGTGATGGACCAAGGATGGATGGAAAAGTTGCAGGACACCGGCCCTCTGGAGCTGGAGTTGTCCACCCCTGTTCTATATGGAAGACATTTGGACGTTCTGTACTCACATGTCCGCTCGTTGGCGCTGACTCCCGGACCCTCCAGGTTGGGAGTCTGAACGAAGACTGTGGCGGTGTACAGGGCGTCGGGGGAGAGCCCGTCGAAGCAGTACTGAGGCAGGCCGGCGGGGATGGTCATCTCCTGCTGTCCTCTGCTGGAGGCTGAGGAGGAGAAAACATGTCAGAATGGAGAACCAGGACAAGCCCGCATCATCATCCCTCCGCCACCATGCTTGATAGTTATGTTATGACGTAATATCTTATATTATAACCAGAACATCAGAGGCATCAGATTCTAATCTAAAGCAGTGATGGATTGCGTTGAATTCCTGATCTATCATTAGCCAGGTAAGCATGGTGAAGGTTCGACCCGCTTGGACCGGATCCAGTGTTTGGGTCCTGGAGGCACATGTAGAAACAGGCCTGCAGGTGCAGATGAGTTGAAGATGGATGGTCTGCAGCCGGTGTTTACGCTCCTACACGCCTCGGCGCTGATCTATGATGATGAGCTGCTCTCTGTTTACCTAACAGAACCACTAGCTGCTCCTCAGTGGAGCGCTGATGAATCGGACCTTCAGACTGGGCTCAGGAAGATCCAACTGACTGGAAATCAACACCTGATCTCCACTAGAACCCTCCGGCTTTTCCTTTTTCCTCGCATCAAATCTTTCTGTGTTTGGCTTGGAGGACAAACTTGTTTCAGTGGGACGGACTCCCAGCAAGGCCTTCGTCTGCTTGTGGTTTACCCGACCATCTGTGTCAAACGAACATGATCTGATTTGTTCCGGCGGCTCGTCACAGCGGCTCCCACGGCTAATAACTAACACACCCGTGTTGGGATACCCACGCTTCATCTCCAAACCCGCGTCTGCTCACAAACACGAAGCAGATGGACCTCAAAGGGCTGGAGGTAAACGAAGGCGGCGTATCCCTTTCAAATACAAACCCAGTTACAGCTGTGCGGTCGGAACCCGGTCGGCTCTGTTCCCCAGGAGAGTCGTCGTGAAACGTAAACAGGCCCTGAGGGGAAGGCGAGGCTCCGCCTGCTTAACCCTGAGCAGAGGCTGCAGCTCGGCCTTCTGAGGGGATCTCATGGGGAGACGCTCAGAACCGGACACACCGGGTAGGGGAGCCTTTATGCCACCGCCTCTGATGTTTCTGATGAAGGAAACTATTCCTCTAAACAAAGCTTTATTTAATACATTCAATTATCTTTGTTTCTATGGCGACAGTTCATAACACTCGTCATCTGGAGGCGCTGTAAAGAGACAGTCCAACCAGATCCTCCAGTCAGATTAACAGTTCAAGGTTTCTGCCTAAGAAAAGCATGCAGTCATTGATTCTCTCCTCCTGGATGAGCAGCCAGAGGCAGGAGATATTGACTCTACAGCAATCCCTCACTCACCTTCATTTATATACAAAACAAATCATTTCAAACTTAATTAAATACTTTATGAGACTAAAGTCGGTTTATTTGTGTAAAGACTGAAATAAAGATATTCTAAAATTAATACTTCCTAATGAATATTTTTGTAATAAATGCTCTAAAACAGAAGAGCAGAAAAAACATCAAGCATTTCAGTGTAAACTCCTCATCTATGAAACCTCTCAGGACACTGATTCCTACAAAATATCAACATTATGACATAGATATGGAAATATTTTTCCCTGATGTTCCCCTGATGTTCCCTGATGTTCCCCTGATGTTCCCTGATGTTCCCCTGATGTTCCCTGATGTTCCCTGATGTTACCCGATGTTGCCTGATGTTACCCGATGTTCCCTGATGTTGCCCTGATGTTCCCTGATGTTTCCCTGATGTTCCATTGATGTTCCCCTGATGTTCCCTGATGTTCCCTGATGTTTCCCTGATGTTCCCTGATGTTACCCGATGTTGCCTGATGTTACCCGATGTTCCCTGATGTTCCCCTGATGTTCCCCTGATGTTCCCTGATGTTTCCCTGATGTTCCCTGATGTTACCCGATGTTGCCTGATGTTACCCGATGTTGCCTGATGTTACCCGATGTTCCCTGATGTTCCCCTGATGTTCCCCTGATGTTCCCTGATGTTCCCCTGATGTTCCCTGATGTTTCCCTGATGTTCCCTGATGTTACCCGATGTTGCCTGATGTTACCCGATGTTCCCTGATGTTCCCCTGATGTTCCCCTGATGTTCCCTGATGTTACCCGATGTTCCCTGATGTTCCCCTGATGTTCCCCTGATGTTCCCTGATGTTCCCCTGATGTTCCCTGATGTTCCCTGATGTTTCCCTGATGTTCCCTGATGTTACCCGATGTTCCCTGATGTTGCCCTGATGTTCCCCTGATGTTCCCTGATGTTCCCCTGATGTTCCCTGATGTTCCCCTGATGTTCCCTGATGTTCCCTGATGGTCCCTGATGTTAGCCGATGTTGCCTGATGTTACCCGATGTTCCCTGATGTTGCCCTGATGTTCCCTGATGTACCCCTGATGTTCCCTGATGTTTCCCTGATGTTCCCCTGATGTTCTCTGATGTTACCTGAAGTTCCCTAATGTTACCCGATGTTCCCTGATGTTACCCGATGTTACCCGATGTTCCCTGATGTTCCCCTCATGTTTCCCTGATGTTCCCTGATGTTCCCCTGATGTTCCCTGATGTTTCCCGATGTTCCCTGATGTTCCCCTCATGTTCCCCTGATGTTTCCCTGATGTTTCCCTGATGTTCCCTGATGTTTCCCTGATGTTCCCCTGATGTTCCCCTGATGTTGCCTGATGTTACCCGATGTTCCCTGATGTTTCCCGATGTTCCCTGGTGTTACCCGATGTTGCCTGATGTTACCGGATGTTGCCTGATGTTACCCGATGTTCCCTGATGTTTCCCTGAGGTTACCCGATGTTCCCTGATGTTCCCTGATGTTACCCGATGTTCCCTGATGTTACCCGATGTTCCCTGATGTTTCCCTGATGTTCCCCTGATGTTTCCCTGATGTTACCCGATGTTACCCGATGTTTCTCCGATGTTCCCTGATGTTCCCTGATGTTCCCCTGATGTTCCCTGATGTTCCCTGAAGTTTCCTGGAGTTCCCTGATGTTCCCCTGATGTTCCCTGAAGTTTCCCGGAGTTCCCTGATGTTCCCCTGATGCTCCCTTGATGTCCACCGATGCTCCCTGATGTTTCCCTGATGTTACCCGATGTTCCCTGATGTTCCCCGATGTTCCCTGATGTTACCCGATGTTCCCTGATGTTTCCCTGATGTTCCCCTGATGTTTCCCTGATGTTATCCGATGTTCCCTGATGTTTCCCTGATGTTCCCCTGATGTTTCCCTGATGTTACCCGATGTTCCCTGATGTTTCCCTGATGTTACCCAATGTTCCCTGATGTTCCCAGATGTTCCCCGATGTTCCCTGATGTTACCCGATGTTCCCTGATGTTCCCCTGATGTTTCCCTGATGTTACCCGATGTTACCCGATGTTTCTCTGATGTTCCCTGATGTTCCCTGATGTTCCCCTGATGTTCCCTGAAGTTTCCTGGAGTTCCCTGAAGTTTCCTGGAGTTCCCTGATGTTCCCCTGATGTTCCCTGAAGTTTCCCAGAGTTCCCTGATGTTCCCCTGATGCTCCCTTGATGTCCACCGATGCTCCCTGATGTTTCCCTGATGTTACCCGATGTTCCCTAAAGTTTCCCTGATGTTCCCCTGATGTTTCCCTGATGTTACCCGATGTTCCCTGATGTTCGCTGATTTTCCCTGATGTTTCCCTGATGTTCCCTGATGTTCCCCTGATTTTACCCGATGTTCCCTGGAGTACCCTAATTTTTCCCTAATGTACCTGACGTTTCCCCTGATGTTCCCTGATGTCCACCTGATCTTCCCTGATGTTCCCTGACCTTTCTGGACGTCCTATTGATCAAACAGAGGAGACTTACGGTCCACAGGCTTCAGTTTGATGCGGTATGATGTGGCCACTCTGTGAGGACTCCACTTGATGCAGAAGCTGTCATGGCCGACGTTGTAGGTCTCGATGTTGGTCACGTTCAGGTAAACTGCATCAAACAAACACATCAGAACATCATGCTGTCATAAAAGCCGACCTTCAGGTCCGTATCTGCTGCCAGGCGGGGGCCCTACGTGTCGTTCCCTCTCCCACGAGCGGAGCGCTGGCGCCGCTGGCGTACTGAGCCACGACCTTCACATCGTAGGTGGTTCCGGGCTGCAGGTTGGTTGGAGTGAAGGAGGTGACATCACCCACGAAGAAGTCCACAGGCTGGTCTTTACCTGGAGACACGGCAGAAGATGGTTGATCCCACTGATCCCACAGCAGCGCTGAGTGGCAGCCATGGGAGCAGCTCTCACCTTGGGGGGAGTAGATGAGTCTGTATCCTTCCACCGGAGCAGAAACCGGCTCCCAGGACACCCGGAACCTGGTGTACCACTCGTCTGACACCCGCAGGTTTCTGGGACTCAACAGGCCGACTAGGAGACAAGAGGCGCAGTGTGAGTTGCAGAGAAGCGAGCCGGAGGACGGGGGGAGGGAACCACATCTCCATGGAAGGAGACAAAATAGTTACATAATAAAAAATGTTTTTCTTCTATGGAGTCAGAAAGGGGTCAAAATAGAGGGCTCTGGTTTATAAAGGGCTCTGGTTTATAAAGGGCTCTGGTTTATAAAGGGCTCTGGTTTATAACGGGCTCTGGTTTATAAAGGGCTCTGGTTTATAAAGGGCTCTGGTTTATAACGGGCTCTGGTTTATAAAGGGCTCTGGTTTATAAAGGGCTCTGGTTTATAAAGGGCTTTGGTTTATAACAGGCTCTGGTTTATAAAGGGCTCTGGTTTATAACGGGCTCTGGTTTATAACGGGCTCTGGTTTATAACGGGCTCTGGTTTATAAAGGGCTCTGGTTTATAACGGGCTCTGGTTTATAAAGGGCTCTGGTTTATAAAGGGCTCTGGTTTATAAAGGGCTCTGGTTTATAAAGGGCTCTGGTTTATAAAGGGCTCTGGTTTATAAAGCTCTATAAGTTTATAGAAGTTTACAAACATTTTCAGAATCAGAAATACTTTAATAATCCCAGAGGGATTATTAAAGTTACACAAAAGTAATTTCCCTCTGGGATTATTAAAATATTTCTGATTCTGAAAATGTTTGTAAACTTCTAAATCATTTGAAATTGAAAAAATAGAAGTTGGTATTTAATGTCAAATTTTGAACTTGTAATGTGAGAAACTAAAAAAGCAAACATAAAATAATTACAATTGAATCTAAATTCAATTTAGTGTTTTAATCAAGTGGGAATGCTTATGCATTCCCACTTATTGTTTTTCTGTTTCTCTTTATCAAGTGGGAATGCTTATGCATTCCCACTTATTGTTTTTCTGTTTCTCTTTATTATTATTATTATTATTATTATTATACTTTCCGTACGTTTTTCCGTCTCTAACTAGTTCCCCATACTTCAGCCGATTTCAACAAATTTGGTATCAAAACGTTCAGCTTCTTCTGCTCCATCCTGCTGTATCTTGTGATAACTTCAGCTATTATACTTTTTTAAATATTTGGCTTTTTATGACTTTTTCTGTCCCATTGAAATACATGTAAAACTTCAAAAATTCCACTAAATCTTCAGCTACTTTGCCCTTTAACTACTTCAGCATACTTTCAGCTAGAAACACCATTCAACTTTTGAAATGTTTCCGTATCTTTCTGCTATTACTATTTATCTCAGCTTTTTGCTAACTTTTACAGTTTTGTTTCAGTGAAGCTTCAAACTTTAAAAGAAATTTTAAAGATTTTCAGATTTATAATGGAAGTCTATGGACGGAATGTTCAGCTGCTAGAGTGTGCCACTCTAGCGTTTTCAAACATTTCACTCATGCCGAACAGCTTCAACTCACTCGCTCATTTTTTACTCTATCTAGATAAATTTTACATCAAAACGTAGGGATTTTTGTCAGGATTCAGGAAATGTAACCCTCATTTGTGTGGCATTTACGGTTTTCCGACAGTTTGGCCCAGACCACGAAGAAGTCCACACTTCCCCAATAGAAAGCCAATGAGAGCTCTCTGAAAATCCGAACTGAAAATTCAAAAAAACAGACTTTTTCGTATCGCTCCCATTCGGGAACCATTCGACGTAGCAACATGAGCCTTGGGGAAGTTGTTCCTCAGACCTTCCTAGCACTCACATTGAAGGAAGTGTGTCGATATCTTTTATCGTTTAGCTAGGAAAAAGGTTTGTTCGGGGGTAACAAATCTGTCCGAACCCCAAAATCAAGATTTTGACAATTATACACTTTTTTACATCGTCACCACGCCTAGACGAAATATTGTAGAAATATGAACGTTACACCAGTTGTAGTCCAAAGATGGCTGACGCTCACGGTGAAAGAATTTTTTGAATACCTAATACGGTTTTGGCTCACCGCTCGTTTGTTCGGAGGGAAAGTTTTGCTTTTGAGAGTTCTGCTCTACCATTGTGCTGCATGTTAATCAATGAGACCAGCAGGATTTCTCAAACCTTTATATTCCTCCTTCCCATTAAGGTTGTGAATGAGCTACAGCCATGAAAGTTACCCCAATTGGAGACAAAGGATAGCTCTCGCTTAGACTGAAAGAATTTTTTAGATACCATTTACGGTTTGTCTTCAGCACTCGTTTGTTCGGAGCTGATAATCCCATTCAAAAAAGCCTGAGAACTAAGGAACGAAAGTGATGCGCATGTCTCTCTGTCACTGACAGGCTCGTTAACGTTGTCAAGGTAACCATGCTTCAAAGAGATTTTACCTCCACCACTTTATACAGCACATTTTAATCTAATGGAGGGAGACAACACTGATTTAACATTAGGAAGTGGATACAATATGACTACTGGCCATGACCCTTCCCTTCACACGCAACCCTGATAGACTTTCAAAATAAGACTCCGGGGACCCTTCAAAATAAAAGCTCCTACATTAAACTCATATTTTTTTCCCAGCATATGGCTCAACATTATGACCCAAACTCAACCACTTTTTTAAAAATGAGACTCTAGGGGTTTTTCAAAACACACCCCACAGCAAATTTCAAAATAAAAGCCTCCCATTGCCACTTCATCTACTGCCCTAATAACAGGGGAAAGAGTGATTTAATGATTGGAAAGTCATCAAGTGTCACTGCTGGGTCTGACCCTTTTCCTCAACACACAACCATGCTAGACTTTCAAAATAAGACTCCAGTGACCCTACAAAATAAAAGCCTCTATATTATACTTGTGTATTAATTGATGCAAATGGCTCAGCATTATGACCCAAACTCTACCAGCTTGTTTCTATTAGACTCTAGGGACCTTTTCAAAACATACCCTGGAGTGAATTTCACAATAAAAGTCTCCCATTTACGCTCTAACAGAGCATCTATTCACCCAATAACATGGAAAACAAGTGATTTCATATTTAGAAATGGATTCTATATCACTGCTGGGCATGACCCTTCCCTTGACACACATCCATGATAGACTTTCAAAATAAGACTAAAGGGAACCTACAAAATAAAAGCCTCTTCCTTATGCACACTCATTCATTGTGCCGTATGGCTTGTAGCTATGACCCAAAGTCAACCAATTTCTTCAAATTACACTACCAAGGCCTGTTGACGACACACCTCAGTGCATATTTCTTAATCAGGTTCTAAGATTTACACTGTAATAAAGCATCTGCTAACCTTGTAACATGCAGCCTAAGCCTGCCAACGGTGCTTTCATCACCACAGCGGCTCGTAACATGCAGGTTAAATTTTTTGATAAATTCAGCTCCTTAAGTGGTATTAGCTCTCTTTCTATAAGCTTCTCTCTCTGTCCTTCCTCTGCTTCTCATGGTCAGTCTTGCACATAGGTTTGTAGATTTTCAATCCTCTAAGGATGACACTGTTTTCTTTATGCTGATCAACCGACACATTTTAAATAATTTTCCAATTGTTTTGCCAAGTCTTGACATTTCCACATATGATTTTAAAATGTTAATACTTATTCAATACCATCTTCCTCAACATTTTACTTCCCATCCTTGAGCTACTTATATTTTTTTCAACCAGATAAGATTCAAGTTTTTCATTGTAATTTTTTTTTGATTCAGCTAATTTAATATTTTTCAGCCTATGCTGAGAACTTTGGCTTCATTCTGCTCTCTTTCTGGACAGGAATTAAGCTTTTCTGTTTGCTGCTAATTCATCACACGCCTGACATGTTTCTGGGCAGTAGGTGGCCCCCCTTCAAAATTTCTTTATACATTTGTCTAGAAACTTGGGAGACATTATATTAAAGACCCTTCTAGTGCCCACATTCAAGACATTTTTTGATATCATGTATGGTTTGGCTGTGCAGCTTTTAAGATGAGTTTGTTTCTGCCATTTTACTGCCAAATGATTCTACCCTACAAAATCTTCAGATGATTCAATTGTTTTCTGCAGTTTGAAGTTTCTGATGACTTCCTATCACATTTTCATATGTTCTTCAGGTAATTTCAGCTTTTTTCATTCAGCAAAAGCATTCCCACTTTGATGTTTCTCCGAAACAGCTTTTTCTAGTTATTATTATTATTATACTTTCCGTACGTTTTTCCGTCTCTAACTCGTTCTCCATACTTCATCCGATTTCAACAAATTTGGTATCAAAACGTTCAGCTTCTTCTGGTCCATCCTGCTGTATCTTTTGGTAACTTCAGCTATTATACTTTTTTAAATATTTAGCTTTTTATGACTTTTTTTGTCCCATTGAAATACATGTAAAACTTCAAAAATTCCACTAAATCTTCAGCTACTTTGCCCTTTAACTACTTCAGCATACTTTCAGCTAGAAACACCATTCAACTTTTAAAATGTTTCCGTATCTTTCTGCTATTACTGTTTAACTCGGCTTTCAGCTAACTTTTACAGTTTTGCTTCAGTGAAGCTTCAAACTTTTAAACAATTTTTACAGATTTTCAAATTTATAATGGAAGTCTATGGACGGAATGTTCAGCTGCTAGAGTGTGCCACTCTAGCGTTTTCAAACATTTCACTCATGCCGAACAGCTTCAACTCACTCGCTCATTTTTTACTCTATCTAGATAAATTTTACATCAAAACGTAGGGATTTTTGTCAGGATTCAGGAAATGTAACCCTCATCTGTGTGGCATTTACGGTTTTCCGACAGTTTGGCCCAGACCACGAAGAAGTCCACACTTCCCCAATAGAAATCCAATGAGAGCTCTCTGAAAATCCGAAATGAAAATTCAAAAAAACAGACTTTTTCGTATCGCTCCCATTCGGGAACCGTTCGACGTAGCAACACGAGCCTTGTGGAAGTTGTTCCTCAGACCTTCCTAGCACTCACATTGAAGGAAGTGTGTCGATATCTTTTATCGTTTAGCTAGGAAAAAGGTTTGTTCGGGGGTAACAAATCTGTCCGAACCCCAAAATCAAGATTTTGACAATTATACACTTTTTTACATCGTCACCACGCCTAGACGAAATATTGTAGAAATATGAAAGTTACACCAGTTGTAGTCCAAAGATGGCTGACGCTCACGGTGAAAGAATTTTTTGAATACCTAATACGGTTTTGGCTCACCGCTCGTTTGTTCGGAGGGAAAGTTTTGCTTTTGAGAGTTCTGCTCTACCGTTGTGCTGCATGTTATTCAATGAGACCAGCAGGATTTCTCAAACCTTTTTATTCCTCCTTCCCATTAAGGTTGTGAATGAGCTACATCCATGAAAGTTACCCCAATTGGAGACAAAGGATAGCTGTCGCTTAGACTGAAAGAATTTTTTAGATACCATTTACGGTTTGTCTTCAGCACTCGTTTGTTCGGAGCTGATAATCCCATTCAAAAAAGCCTGAGAACTAAGGAACGAAAGTGATGCGCATGTCTCTCTGTCACTGACAGGCTCGTTAACGTCGTCAAGGTAACCGTGCTTCAAAGAGATTTTACCTCCACCACTTTAAACAGCACATTTTAATCTAATGGAGGGAGACAACACTGATTTAACATTAGGAAGTGGATACAATATGACTACTGGCCATGACCCTTCCCTTCACACGCAACCCTGATAGACTTTCAAAATAAGACTCCGGGGACCCTTCAAAATAAAAGCCCCTACATTAAACTCATATTTTTTTCCCAGCATATGGCTCAACATTATGACCCAAACTCAACCACTTTTTTAAAAATGAGACTCTAGGGGTTTTTCAAAACACACCCCACAGCAAATTTCAAAATAAAAGCCTCCCATTGCCACTTCATCTACTGCCCTAATAACAGGGGAAAGAATGATTTAATGATTGGAAAGTCATCAAGTATCACTGCTGGGTCTGACCCTTTTCTCAACACACTACCCTGCTAGACTTTCAAAATAAGACTCCAGTGACCCTACAAAATAAAAGCCTCTATATTATACACGCGTATTAATTGATGCAAATGGATCAGCATTATGACCCAAACTCTACCAGTTTGTTTCTATTAGACTCTAGGGACCTTTTCAAAACATACCCCGGAGTGAATTTCACAATAAAAGTCTCCCATTTACGCTCTAATACAGCATCTATTCACCCAATGACATGGAAAACCAGTGATTTCATATTTAGAAATGGATTCTATATAACTGCTGGGCATGACCCTTCCCTTGACACACATCCATGATAGACTTTCAAAATAAGACTAAAGGGACTCTACAAAATAAAAGCCTCTTCCTTACACACACTCATTCATTGTGCCGTGTGGCTTGTAGCTATGACCCAAATTCAACCAATTTCTTCAAATTACACTACCAAGGCCTGTTGACCACAGACCTCAGAGCATATTTCTTAACCAGGTTCTAAGATTTACACTGAGATACAGCATCTGCTAACCTCATAACATGCAGCCTAAGCCTGCCAACGGTGCTTTCATCACTGCAGCGGCTCGTAACATGCAGGTTAGTTTTTTTTTTATAAATTCAGCTCCTTAAGTGGTATTAACTCTCTTTCTATAAGCTTCTCTCTCTGTCCTTCCTCTGCTTCTCATGGTCAGTCTTGCACATAGGTTTGTATATTTTCAATCCTCTAAGGATGACACTGTTTTCTTTATGCTGATCAACCAACACATTTTAAATCATTTCAAATTGTTGTGCCAAGTCTTGACATTTCCACAATTTCAAAATTTTGATACTTATTCAATACCATCTTCCTCAACATTTTACTTCCCATCCTTGAGCTACTCATATTTTCTTCAACCAGATAAGATTCAATTTTTTCTTTGTAATTTCTTTTCTGATTCAGCTAATTTCATATTTTTCAGCCTATGCTGTGAACCTTGGCTTAATTTTGCTCTTTTTCTGGACAGGAATTAAGCTTTTCTGTTTGCTGCTAATTCATAACATGCCTGACATGTTTCTGGGCAGTAGGTGGCCCCACTTCAAAATTTCTTTAGAAATTTTTCTAGAAACTTGATAGACATTATATTAAGACCCTTCTAGTGCACATATTAATGACATTTTTGATATTATGTATGGTTTGGCTGTGCAGCTTTTAAGATGAGTTTCTTTCTGCCATTTTAGTGCCAAATAATTCTACCCTACAAAATCTTCAGATGATTCAATTGTTTTCTGCAGTTTGAAGTTTCTGATGACTTCCTATCACATTTTCATATGTTCTGCAGTTAATTTCAGCTTTATTCATTCAGCAAAAGCATTCCCACTTGCTGTTTCTCCGAAACAGCTTTTTCTAGTTACACTTTTTCTTTTTTTCTTTATTGAAGTTTTATATTTTATATTTTCAGATTCAAATCCATTTCTTTTTGTCCAAATTGCTTTTTCAATTTCAGGATTTTTTTAAATTCACATTCAAATCGTTTTTTTTCACCTTGAGGTTTTAACCCCAATATGACAGGAGTGGGCGGGGAAATGTGATTGACAGCTGGCTGCAGCACTGGACAATTAGACAATAGACAACTTTTATTATCATTTTATATAACATAGGTTATACAAAATGAAATTTTGTTTTCTTACAGCTTTCAGACAGTAAATGAGCTGCAGCTTAGCAGTGAAATGACAATTTCTATTTCCTAAAGTGCAGCAGTGATCAAATGTCCCTTTCCATGTTGCATTCAGGGACTGTGGGAACCCCATTACTTGCTGAAGTAGTTGGATACCCACAGTCCATGAATGCAACATGGAACGGGGATCGCTCCAGCGCTGCTACAAGCTGTCAGTCATGTTTCCCCGCCCCCTCCCGTCAGATATGGGTCAAAATCTGAAGGTGAAAAAGCTGATTTGAAAGTTTAAAACAGAATCTGAAACTGAGAAAGGAATTTGAAACTAAAAAAAAGAAACTGAAAGAGAGATTTAAATCTGGAAATATAAAATCTAAAACTGCAATAAAGAAAAGAAATATAAAAAGAAAAAGTGTAATTAAAATACTAAACTGAATTATGAGTTTTTTCAAGCTGAGGGGAGAATTTAGGTTTAATTCTTATAATTTTATGTTTGCTTTTTTAGTTTCTCAGATTATAAGGTCAAAATTTGACATTTAATATCAACTTTAGTTTCTTCAGTTTCAACTTTTATTTTTCTTCTGTTTCAACTATTATAAGTTTACAAACATTTTGACCTCTTTTTAACTCCATATAACTCCAACTACTTGCTCAAGTAGTTGGATACCCACAGTCCTTGAATGCAACATGGAACGGGCATGGCCCAGTGATGCTGCAAGCTGTCAATCACATTTACCCGCCCACTGCCATCAGATAGAGTAAATGTGCAAATTGGCCTCACTTGTCCGCCCGTTCCCGCTCAGGGACCCTCCGGGCCCCTCGCCGTAGATGGCCTCCACGCTGATGTTGTACGGCGTGTCTGGGAACAGGTTCTGCAGCATGGCGTTGTTCCTGTTCCCTGGAACCATCGTCTAGAAGCATCGGGAGAACAAGAGGAGCATTAGTGTCAGACACGCTGAGGGCGGCCCGGAACCAGACCGCCGGTGCTTCACACTGCAAATAGTTTAAATCTAAATAAGTCGCTGGTGAAGATCTCAGTCCTGTGACATCATCACATAGTTTAACTGCAGCATCACCAGAGTTTATCCACAAAAAACATGCGTTGCTCTGCTGCCAGAGTGTAAAACAAGACGACCCGTCTTTCTTTTAACGAGGTCCAGCATCAGTGAGCTGACATCACAGGTGACATCCAGGACACCCAGCATGTGTGTAACGATGCACTCACAAACTCTGTGATGGGGTCTCCGGTCATGGGAGCGTAGGCGATGCGGTACTGCCTGACGGGCCCTTCTGCGTGGTCCCAGCCGATGGTCAGGGTGCTGGTGGTGGCGTCGTACACGCGCAGGTTCCTGGGGCCCGCTCTGGGTACTGAAACATGACGCCGTGTGAAGAAGGAGCAGGTTGATGGTTTAGATGCATTTTAAATCTTTTCCAGCAGCTGGTTTCTGTCCCTTTATCTTTGAATTTGATGATGCTGTAGTTTATGTATGGAGTCAATTTTGTTCCAATATTGTTTCAAGTAAAGACCATGTGTTTTCAATGGAAAATAAAAAAAGATAATTTCTAAATAAGCTTTATAGCTGACTTGCACAATTTATATATATATATATATATATATATATATATATATATATAAATTGTAAAAAATTTGTAAAAAAAAAAAATATATATATATATATATATATATATATATATTTTTTTTTTTTTTACAAATTTTTTTTTAACAAACATTTTTGTCTAATTTCATTATTTCTTTCCCACACTTTGAACAATGTGGCTTATAAGAAGGTGCAGCTTATCTGTGGATTTTTACTAACCACAAGAGGGCGAAGTAGAAGTTGGAAATGAAAGAATAAGTGGCTAATTTTCCTTTAGCGCAATAACGTGCTAGCAGCAAGCGCGACGGAGAACAAATGTCCTCGTTTCACACATATTGACATTTATTCACCTCATTAAAGCTGCTGAACCAATAAAAAGACTGGGTTCAACTCTGCAGAGCTGAAACAAGGAGCTGATGAAGCTCCAGCTTTCAGTAGAAGCTCTTACTGCTGCAAGCTAACAAGCTAATGGGAGCTAGCATTCTTATTTGTCCCTATTCCATGGGCTATATAGAGCTCCCCCTACAGGTTTGGTGGGAGACAGCTCAGTAGAATAATTGGCTAATAGTGAGGTGCACTTTATAATCCAGAATATACAGTATTTTAAAATTTTTTGTAAAAATTTAATATGAATTATAATTTAATATAAAGACGTATTTCTGTTGGTGTGTATTGACGTAAGCTGCAGTATTTTCATTGATGAATGGGCCAATCAAGAGAAACGGTTAGCATTAGTGAAGAGAACGCATTTTAAAAAGAAACCAATGAATTAAAATAATAATTCTTAACTATCTGAAAAAAATCCTTAAAAAGACATTTAAAAAAAATACAATTTGAAAATATGAAGTTTGAAATACAAAAAAAGAAAAAAAAAATTTTTTTTTAACAAAATACAATAAAAAAAACACATAAAATATAGAACATAAATGAGAAGAAAAAACAGAATCTAACTAAACTTTTTTAGGTTTCATTTCTGGATTGCTTTCTTTCAAATTTAAATTTACAAAATTTATTATTTGCTTTTATAAATAGTGGAACAAAATTCACTCCGTATAAAAGTATGTTTCTCTCAATTGTAATTCAAATTATTGGATCCAGATTTAAATCATCTGAAATTAAAGTTATCAATTTATAAAATAAGTAGATTTGTTGGGTCCAATTTTCCAAATGAATAAAAACTGTTGATCCCTTCAGTTCTTTACCTCCAGGTTTCCTGATTATGGATCAATCCAGTAGTTAATTCCCTGAATGCCAAGATTTTATTTTGTTTATTTGTGATTTTGCTGCTGAGGAGCCAGAAACAACCCGAAGCCCCGGCTGGTTGGTTTTCTCTCCACCAGAGGCATCGGCGGCTATTTCTACTTCCTGCAGGTGTTCTGTTTCCTCGTGGAATTAATTAATCCACAGCGTGATGCAGCGTCCACAGGAAGGTGGCGGTCAGGTTGTGTTCTTACGCGTTTTGCCGTCGCTCTTCATCTCCGATCCCTCGCCGTCGGCATAGATGGCCGTGACGGTGACGGAGTAGGGAGTGTCTGGGATCAGGTTGTCCAGGTAGGCATTGGTGATGGTTCCTGGAACCAGGACCTTTCAGGAGGAACAAAAAAAAAACAAAACAGGAAAGTTGATCAGAAAGGTTTGAAAAAGTGCCTCATCTAAAAATAAAGCCCGGTTATAGAGTCATGATTCAACAGCTGACTCAGCTGACTGCGTCAATCCAGGCCTCTTCATGCATCACCTCCGTCTGACAGGAAGGCCCTCACCGCTCCAAGTCCAACATCCAGTTCTGCTGCAGCCAAACTAGCAAAGACCCGGGAGGTCGGACAGCAGACTAATCACCAGGAGGTGAGGATCGGGTCCAGAGCCGACATGTTTCCTGACATCATGGATGATCAGTGAACTGATGGCCGTTAAAACAGACGTCAGGGCAACCGGATCTGCTCTGCTGCTAGCCAACCTGACCTGACCTCCACAGGGGATGGATCCAAACAAGCCGGATCATCCAGGACTTTAAACATGTCTTCAGCTGATCGGTTCTTCTTTCTTCCAACTGAAACGGCTTCTATAAAAACGAGCTGACGGTTCCTCTCATCTCAAGGAACTAATCTTTTTAGTGCTGCAGCACAGGTCAGCCTACACTGCAAAAAATAGAAATCTCAATAAGTTATTTTTTCTTAAAATAAGTGCGTTTTTCCTTGATTTGAGAAGGTAAGTAAGACACTTTGCCAATGGAACAAGACAATTTCCTTTTAAAATAAGAAAAAACAATTTTTTCTTCTTATTTCAAGTGCATATTATCTAACTATCTTATTTTAAGAGTGAAAATACTCATTCCATTGGCAAATCATCTTATTTACCTGCTCAAATTAAGGCTAAATATCCTTAATTTAAGCAATTTTTTACTTATTTCTGGATTGTTTTTGCAGTGTAGAGCTCAGGTTTCAGCAACAAAAACCAGAATATGACCGTAAACACAGGAGCCGCCGGGCTGCTGGGGACAAACTAACTGGGGACAAACTAACTGGGGACAAACCGCCGACAGAACAAACTGCTCACAATCCTGACATTTATGAAGAAACTGTGGTCAGAACTCAACAGGAAACTACGCCTGTATCTCAATTCACTAGAACGCGGGTTTATACTCATGTTCTTGCCATGTAAGTTCTGGAGAAGAACCCAGGAAATTCTGGACTCTGGTAGAACAGGAGCAGAATAAATCTGAGTCAACTGGAACAGCAGCGTACTGATGACATCACTGACTTCACTAGGGTGGCCATTTCTATAGCACCAAAAAGGAGGACATTGTGCGGCATATCAATAAATTACTAAGGTGTACATAAGAATGGGGTAAAGTCACATTTATAGCACAATTCTTAGTAGTTTAAAGAGGATGCTTGTGTAGCTGAATAGAACAAAATATTAAAGAAATGTAAAAAAAGAATTGGTTCCCAGCATTTGTATTTATTTAATACATTGTGGTGTTTAAAAAGTGACCATTTTTTAACACGATTAATTTGCGCAGAACTGCTGCAATTGATCATAAAGCAGTTGTTTGGAAAAGAAGCTCGAGAAAGAGCTAGAGAATAGGACGATGCAAACTGCAAAAAGTGGCTGGAAAAGAGGAAGTCATGACATGGCCGCAGCCTGTTGAGAGTAAAGATGATTTCACCATGTTCTCTATCTATCCATATATATATATATATATATATATATATATATATATATATAAACTTGAGTCATGGAACTGTGCTTACAGCTCCTTATTTCATGTAAACTAATAACTTGTGTACATGATACTTGTTGATGGCATTAAAATTATTTCTAATAGCATTAAAAGAGCATTAAATTAGAGTTCCTCATTCCTGTATAAAACCTGTGAACGCTTAATTTAATCTGACATATTAAAAAAATCCCCATCATCATCCAGCAGATGTTCAGTTTCTGCCCAAATATTTTCTTTCTGTTGTGGATTTTTGTAACAGGGATAACTAGGATCATACATAGTTTGTATGAACTCTGTTTATTCTCTGCTTCCAAACTCATCATCTCTTCATCCATTCCTGCAATAAGAATTTTCTTTTAAAGTTGTGAGATGCGCTCTAGAATCTCACAACTTCTTCCTGGTCTGTTGAAGCACCAATAGTCTGCATCCAATTATTTAATTAATTGCTCTTAGTTTTTGGGAATATATACGAACTATGCTCTAATTTCTAGTTACCGATCTGTTTTTACTATAATTTAATTTGACAAACCGGGTCTTCTCTACATTCTTTTTTCTGTTTGGTGCGATTGAAATAGCAGGTCTTGATCTGGACGGACCGGAGGGGAGCAAAAAATAGCTCAGCTCCGTATTTTGACGGTGAAGGACGGAGAAGCCGTACGTGGGCGGTGACGAGCGGAGGATGTGGAACAGCTCTCATTGATTTACATGACAGACAAGTACTCTGCACGACGTACGTGAGCGGGGCGGAGCGCTGACGGAGTATGTGGAATCTGGGGGTAAAGGAGGACAAATACACGTCCGGCTGGGTGCAGCGCCGGACGCCGGACAGTGCAATGAAAATCCGGACTGTCCGCCCTAAAGCCGGACATCTGGCCACCCTAGACTTCACACATAGCTATGCAGAGAGAGGACCGCTGCAGATTGGCTAATGTTAGCCCTGGCTGCTTCGGATGGGCTAACGTTAGCCCTGGCTGCTTCAGATGGGCTAATGTTAGCCCTGGCTGCTGCAGATGGGCTAATGTTAGCCCTGGCTGCTTCAGATGGGCTAACGTTAGCCCTGGCTGCTTCAGATGGGCTAATGTTAGCCCTGGCTGCTGCAGATTGGCTAACGTTAGCCCTGACTGCTGCAGATGGGCTAATGTTAGCCCTGGCTGCTGCAGATGGGCTAATGTTAGCCCTGGCTGCTTCAGATGGGCTAACGTTAGCCCTGGCTGCTTCAGATGGGCTAAGGTCAGCGCTGGCTGCTTCAGATGGGCTAATGTTAGCCCTGGCTGCTGCAGATGGGCTAATGTTAGCCCTGGCTGCTTCAGATGGGCTAACGTTAGCCCTGGCTGCTTCAGATGGGCTAAGGTCAGCGCTGGCTGCTTCAGATGGGCTAACGTTAGCCCTGGCTGCTTCAGATGGGCTAAGGTCAGCGCTGGCTGCTTCAGATGGGCTAACGTTAGCCCTGGCTGCTTCAGATGGGCTAACGTTAGCCCTGGCTGCTTCAGATGGGCTAACGTTAGCCCTGGCTGCTTCAGATGGGCTAATGTTAGCCCTGGCTGCTTCAGATGGGCTAACGTTAGCCCTGGCTGCTTCAGACGGGCTAACGTTAGCCCTGGCTGCTTCAGATGGGCTAACGTTAGCCCTGGCTGCTTCAGATGGGCTAATGTTAGCCCTGGCTGCTTCAGATGGGCTAACGTTAGCCCTGGCTGCTTCAGATGGGCTAATGTTAGCCCTGGCTGCTTCAGATGGGCTAATGTTAGCCCTGGCTGCTTCAGATGGGCTAATGTTAGCCCTGGCTGCTGCAGATTGGCTAACGTTAGCGCTGACTGCTGCAGATGGGCTAATGTTAGCCCTGACTGCTGCAGATGGGCGAATGTTAGCCCTTGCTGCTGCAGATGGGCTAATGTTAGCCCTGGCGGCTTCAGATGGGCTAACGTTAGCCCTGGCTTCAGCAGATGGGCTAACGTCAGCCCTGGCTGCTTCAGACGGGCTAACGTTAGCCCTGGCTGCTTCAGATGGGCTAAGGTCAGCGCTGGCTGCTTCAGATGGGCTAACGTTAGCCCTGGCTGCTTCAGATGGGCTAATGTTAGAGCTGGCTGCTTCAGATGGGCTAAGGGTAGCCCTGACTCTTGCAGACGGGCTAACGTTAGCAGTGGCTGCTGCAGACGGGCTAATGTTAGCTCTGGCTGCTGCAGACGGGCTAACGTTAGCTCTGGCTGCTGCAGACGGGCTAACGTTAGCAGTGGCTGCTGCAGACTGGCTAACGTTAGCTCTGGCTGCAGCAGAGGGGCTAACGTTAGCCCTGGCTGTGGTTAGCCTCGGAGGTCCACTGGTTGCCGTGGTCCCCTCAACATCTGAACTTTTTTTTTATCACGCATTTTATTAAATCAGTAAACAGGCCATATATTGAACCTTAAAGTTAAATGTTCTCGCCTGAAATGATCTTAAAATGTATATACTCATATGTACATACTCTGAGCTCTGTGAGCTAACCTGGCAGCTGTTGCTGCTGCAGCAGTGCATGCTGGGACAGCTGTCAATCTTGAGAACAGATAAGTCCGCTCTGATGCATGCTGGGTAAATAGGGAGGGGCAAGAACAACATCCGGGGACTTTGTCCATTCTCCGTCTGCTGTTCTTGTAAACTGGAACAGAACTAGCGCAGTGGCTAAGCCCAGGAGAACGCACAAGTCCCCACAAAGACACACGGAGGAGGCCGTATCATGCCGTGGGAGGTGAAGCTGGTCGGATGGATGGAGCTGAATCCAGGAAGAAAAGCTTTTTCTGAGACCTGGGACTGAGAACCAAGCAGAACCTCCAACCAGAGACGGAACTGATGGTAGAACGGCCTAGTCAAAGTCCAGATCTCCAAACAACTGTTGGATTCACACTGAGATTAAAAAACTCCCAGCTGGACTCTGAGTGATAATGAAGAGTCAAAGTAGCTGAAAACAAAAGCATGCCACACTTTTCAGATTGGAACCAGGACAAAATGGTTGTGCTTCAAGTTTCACTTGGGAACGGTCTGTCTTTGGATCAGGATATGGTGTGGAAACAGCCGGGTCAGAACCAGAACCTTCAGTGGGAATCAAACTACAGACTTTTTAGGCCTCAGACACAAAAGTTTTGGTTCATTTGACGGTTTTAAACGTCTCCAGAAAAAGAAAGTATTTTATTAACTGAATTACAGAGAGTGGGGTTAATGATTGGTTCTGGAGGCTCTTTTGGGAAAAATCTTTTAAAGACAGATTCAATACTGGATGGATCCTAAATCCTGAGCTAAACAACATCCTGACCTGCTTCTGACCTTTTGGTGGAAATAAATGTTGGTTTTTTCTTTGAGCTCCTGCTGGACTAAAACTCACCGACTCTGAGGGTCTGACTCCACTCAGGGGGGCGTACGCCACGCGGTACTGCTGCACCAGACCCGTGGCGGCCTCCCAGCGCACGTTCAGGCTGTTGGGGCTGGGGTTGTACACCTGGATGTTCCTGGGCGGCGTCCGTGGAACTGTCCAGAGAGGAGGAGACAGAGTTAGGCTGACAGGAGCAGGTGAGCCTCAGTTTCACCAGGATTCACCGTCTGTGAGAAACGGTGGAGCAGCATTCCTCTAAAAGCCTCTAAAAGTGGATCCAGATGTGAGGAACCTCTAATAAAAGAGCGATGAGATGCTTCAGGAGCCATTTAGAGGAAACCTCCACAATAACGCCATCGGATGCAGCGCCGACTCTTTGTTTGGGTTGGACTCGGTTCCTGGAGGTCCACTCAGAATGTGACAGACCTCCAGGGACCGGAGGAACATCATCAGTGCAAAAAAAAGATGTTGCTGCACAAACAGAGAGATTAACTGAAAGCAGAGTGGAGTGAATTTGTTTTTAGTCCAAGTTGCTTTTTTTCCTTTTCTTTCAATTTATATTTTTACGGTTTTACACCTTTTTGCAGATTTTATATAAACAAATACATTTTTTTGCAGACTTTATATTTTTACATTTATTTTTTGACTTTTTCTTTACAAATTTAATATTTTCTCAATTTTATTTCTTGCAATTTTAAATTTGATATTTTCTATACGTTCGAATAAAATTTTTAAAATTTTTTGCAGACTATATTTTCACATTTATCTTTTGAGTTTTTCTTTACAAATTTAATATTTTCTCAATTTTATTTCTCAAAATTTTGAGTTTCAGATTTTCTATATTTTCTAATTAAATTGTTTCTATTTTTTTTACAGACTATATTTTCAAGCATATTTTTAAATAATTTTTTCTCTAGAAATTTAATATTTTTTACAATTGTTTTTTTTTATTATGAATTCTACATTTTTTTAATTTTCAGTTTTTTTTTTGTTTGTTTTATTTTTCAAAGAGATTTTTTAATTCTTTTGAAATTGTGTTTTCCAGATCAGACTCTAACCTGCTGGACGTTAGAAAAATGTTTACTGATCTTTTTAACTCAATGATAAAAAAAAAAAAATTAGAATAAAATTAAATTAAAAACTAAAACCTGAGAAACCAAAAAGCTCATAAAACGGTTTATGGTAACAATATTGGAACTAAATTCTCTCCATACTGCAGCGGCGGTTCTGTAAAGAATCTGGATTCAAGCTTTGGGTCCAAACGGTCCCAGAAAGACCAGAAACCTGAAACTTACAGGAGGTTTCCAGCTCTTCCTTGTCTATATAGACCTGGTTCTGGGTTGGTCCAGTTCACTCTGCTAATGGGCCGGATTTCAGTCTGATATCAGAACTTTATGAAGTCCATAATCTTAAAACCTGTCAGCGTTTACTGAACGCTTCCCTTAAGAACCGAGACAAAACCTGACGAGAAATCTAAAAGGACGGAACCAGAACTGTAATAAAAGATCCGAATGGGTTAAAACTCCGGAAGAACCGGAGAGGAACCAGGACTTACGGGTCTTTCCCTTGTCCGACTGTCGCAGACCTTCTCCTTCAGGGTAAACCGGAACCACAGTGACGGTGTACGGCGTGTCCGACAGCAGGTTCCTAAGGACCGTGTTTGTGGTTCCCCCCGACACCTGCTCCTGTTCCCACAGACAGACAGACAGGCATCATGTTTCTGTGTACTCTGTCGAGCGGTTCTTCTGGTTTAGAACCAGAACCTGGTCGGCCCACTAGTGGCGTGGACCCGTGGAATCTCTCACCATGTCCTCGGCTCCTCCGGTCGCAGGGACGTAGAAGAGGCGGTACTGCCGGACGTTTCCCTCCGCTGCGTCCCAGCGGACCTTCAGGGAGCTGGTGGTGGGATCGGTGACCTGCAGGTTCTTCACTCCGCCCAGAGCCTCTGAGGAAACCACAGAGAGGTTAGATCCACCTAGAGCAGAGCCGCCGCCCGCTTTATCTAAGGAAAACCAGCTGATTGCATCGACTCATTGACTCTTCAGCAATCCCTCACACTTGCTTGTAGCGACAGTGGAGAGGAAAAACTCCCTTTGAACAGGAAGAAACCTCCAGCAGAACCAGGCTCAGTGTGAGCGGCCATCTGCTGAGGCCCACTGGGGTTCAAGGAGACAGAAGCAGACATAGAAAAAGAAGCATAGATACAAAAGGCAGCTGTGAAAGGCGGCCCCCGTCCATGAAATACACAGGAAATAACACTCACTGGTTTTCCCGTTCTCTGACATGCGTTTTCCCTCCACCTCCGTGTAGACGGGGATCACCGACACGCGGTATTCCGTATCCGGTGTCAGCTCCCTCAGCACCGTGTTGGTGGTCATTCCGGACACCTGAGTCTGTAGCAGGAACAGAACAGAGGCTTATTTTAGTTCCATCCAAAGGTACAAATGCTTATTTACAACATTTTCTTGGGAAGGTTTTTCCTAAAAAAAACTCTTCAGTTTATCCAACTTCCTAGTTTTAATCTTTGTGGTCAGAGTCTGAGTTTCTGAATGAATTTATCCACCATGAGCTGCTTCTCAGAGAGGAAGATGCTCCAGGATTAAAGAGCTACAACTTTTCATCAAAACAAATAATAAAAATAATTCAGATTGTCTATACTGGTGCAGAATAAGAATTCATTTTACAGACTCAAACTGTTGCATATAAATAACTATTTTATAGATTTTACAATGTTTAAATCTAATATCTAAATTCAGTTACAGCAGCAGCCATTTAAAATGGCTCTTCCCAACCGAATGGCAGCCCACTTCCCTGCAACCAATATCCACTCCGACTCCCAGCACATGGAGTGACTAGCCAAGGATCAGCCAAGGACCAGCCAAGGACCAGTCAAGGGCAAGCCAAGGACCAACCCAGGAACAGCCAAGGATCTGCCAAGGACCAGCCATTGACCAGCCAAGGATCAGCCAAGGACCAACCCAGGACCAGCCAAGGAACAGCCAAGGACGAGCCAAGGACCAACCAAGGACCAGTCAAGGACCGGCCAAGTACCAGCCAAGGAACAACCCAGGAACAGCCAAGGAACAGCCAAGGACCAACCCAGGAACAGCCAAGGAACAGCCAAGGACCAACCCAGGAACAGCCAAGGAACAGCCAAGGACCACCCCAGGAACAGCCAAGGACCAACCCAGGAACAGCCAAGGACCAGCCAAGGACCAGCTAAGGACCAGCTAAGGACCAGCCAAGGACCAGCCAAGGACTAACCCAGGAACAGCAAAGGACCACCCCAGGAACAGCCAAGGAACAGCCAAGGACCAACCCAGGAACAGCCAAGGACCAACCCAGGAACAGTCAAGGAACAGCCAAGGACCAACCCAGGAACAGCCAAGGACCAACCCAGGAACAGCCAAGGACCACCCCAGGAACAGCCAAGGAACAGCCAAGGATCAGCCAAGGACCAGCCAAGGACAAGCCAAGGGCCAGCTAAGGACCAGCCAAGGGCCAGCCAAGGACCAGCCATTGACCAGCCAAGACCAGCCAAGGGCCAACCAAGGATCAGCCAAGGACCAACCAAGGACCAGCCAAGGGCCCGCCAACGATCAGCCATTGACCAGCCAATGGCCAGCCAAGGATCAGCCAAGGACCCGCCAATGGCCAACCAAGGGTCAGCCAAGGACCAGCCAAGGGCCAGCCAAGGACCAGCCAAGGGCCAGCCAAGGACCAGCCATTGACCAGCCAAGACCAGCCAAGGGCCAACCAAGGATCAGCCAAGGACCAACCAAGGACCAGCCAAGGGCCCGCCAACGATCAGCCATTGACCAGCCAATGGCCAGCCAAGGATCAGCCAAGGACCAGCCAAGGGCCAGCCAAGGGCCAGCTAAGGGCCAGCCAAGGATCAGCCAAGGACCAGCCAAGGACCAGCTAAGGACCAGCCAAGGACCAGCCAAGGACTAACCCAGGAACAGCCAAGGACCAGCTAAGGACCAACCATTGACCAGCCAAGGACCAGCCAAGGACCAACCAAGGACTAACCCAGGAACAGCCAAGGACCAGCTAAGGACCAGCCAAGGACCAGCCAAGGACTAACCCAGGAACAGCCAAGGACCAGCTAAGGACCAACCATTGACCAGCCAAGGACCAACCAAGGATCAGCCAAGGACCAACCAAGGACCAGCCAAGACCAGCCAAGGACCAGCCAAGGATCAGCCATTGACCAGCCAAGGGCCAGCCAAGGATCAGCCAAGGGCCAGCCAAGGGCCAGCCAAGACCAGCCATGGACCAGCCAAGGGCCAGCCAAGGATCAGCCAAGGACCAGCCAAGGGCCAACCAAGGATCAGTCATTGATCAGCCAAGGACCAACCAAGGGCCAGCCAAGGGCCAGCCAAGGATCAGCCAAGGATCAGCCAAGGACAAGCCAAGACCAGCCAAGGACCAATCAAGCACCAGCCAAGGACCAATAAAGGAAAGTGGGGAAATTTTGAATGGCTACTATTGCCAAAGCTATCATCAACGTAAAACTTTTCTGCAATATAAGGTTAAACGTTAGACGGAGCTAACCTCCCCAAAACACCAGACGTCATTTAGACGTATGTTCTTAGGCTAAAGGCTTAAAAACATCTGCATACGACTTTTTAATCTCCGATCCGACAGATCTTGTGCTCTGAATGAACATGAGAGCCGGTTAATCTCGTGCACCCACCATGCTCTCGGCTCCTCCAGCCGCCGGGGCGTAGAGGATTTTGTAGATTCGGACGTCTCCCTCAGCCGGCTCCCAGCGGACCCTGAGGGAGCTGACGGTGGGGTCCGTCACCTGGAGATTCCTCACTCCACCCAGATCCTCTGAAAGGAAGGAAAGGCACAACGGTGAGCACTTTGATCAACGCCGTACAGGGGCGGAGCTTCATGGGGGTGGCCATGGACTCCCTTAGCAAATCATTGGCCAGCCCAGTGGCCATTTTCCCCCTTCCAATACAGGCGGTGGCAGCAGTAATACTATCAAGGGGAATGTTCAAACTCATTAAATATTTTAAATTTTCACATATTAACAATTACTTGACAACTAAAGCGCTGTGGTTAATTATGCTCATCAATATATTAACATTAAAGTCTTCAATGAAATCATAGATAAATAACCACATTAATAATAACTTAAAACTCCATTTAACGTAGATATTAGTATATGTAAATATTAATTTTATGCAGAACAATTTTAGATAAAAGTAGGTAAGTAATGACTATGGAAAAATGTTTGCCCTAGAAATGTTGTCCCCTATACCTTTTATTTAGACAACATGGATGATTACATATCTGCATCTATTTGTTAGCAAAGAATGTAGGAAAATATATAGTTTGTCTTTATTTACAAAATATGGATGTTGTGTTTTTTTCCTGTTGGAGTATTAGTTATCCTGAGCTATCTCTATAGTTCTGCTGCTATAGGCTTAGACTGCTGGAGGACATAGGGACCCCTTTTTCATCATTCTGCTTCATTCTATCTCTATTCTCCCACTCTGCAGAATCTGTTAGTTCAATCTCTAACGTTCTGCTCTCTCTGCTTTTTCTCATAGTAGCTTCATCTGGTCTGTTCCTGTTTGGCTGTGACTCCATCCTGGAGAGAAATATCAGCTGTGCTGCTGCCATCAACACCTTTGTTTCTAGATGTTGGAGCTTGGCCTGTTTTCCAGTGTAGTCCTGTTTCTCTGACTGTGACTAACTGGATGTGCTCTCTTCATCCTCTGACATGGGAGCTGGCTCGGAGCTCGTCTGCCTGGCTGTGTGTTTCCAGCCACCTGCTGGAGGTTTCTTCTTGTTTAAAGGGAGTTTTTCCTCTCCACTGTCGCTACAAGCATGCTTAGTGTAAGGGATTGCATTTGAGTCAATGAGTCGATACAATCTGCTGGTTTTCCTTAGATAGAAAACTTGTCATCATGTCATCCTTGGGATGAAATGTTGTGCATTGGCGCTATAGAAATAAACTGAATAGAATAGAATTGAACAGTGTAGATTGACCCTGAGGTTTTGGCGCCCATCAGCTTTCGGCCACCCCTCAGTTTCCATTGTTTATTAACTGGCCTATTAAAGTTTTCTGGTTTTCTGGCATGATCGATCAGGAGGCAGAGATGGCAAAAGTACTCACTTTCCGTACTTGAGTAAAAGTACAGATACTTGTGTTAAAAAATACTCTGGTAAAAGTGGAAGTACTGATTAAACTTCTTTTCTCAAGTAAAAGTAACAAAGTACAGGCTTGTAAATTTACTTAAAGTATAAAAGTAAAAGTAGAAACCACTTTTTTCATGCCGTTGCCTACATTTTAAATGGATGTCTGCCAATAGGACTAGATCTCCGTTGTGTTCATTTTCAATCATCTCGTCGTCCATGCTACTATGCTAACGCCACCGCCACCAAGCTGCAATGATTTGCCGCCAATGAATACCGCCGAATCTGTCGATTCATCTTGTAGTGGTGCGTCAAATGCAACGTAGATTCCCATCCAATTAGATTGAATTTGGTATTGATGACGTGAAAAATAATAACAGTAACTCCATTGAAATGATTCAAAACTAAAGTAACGAGACAATTTTTTAAAATGTAAGGAGTAGAAAGTACAGATATTTGTGTAAAAATGTAAGGAGTAGAAGTAAAAAGTCGCCATAAAAATAAGTAGTAAAGTAAAGTAGAAATATCAGAAAAATCTACTTGAGTACAGTAACAAAGTATTTGTACTTCGTTACTTCCCATCTCTGGCAGGAGGTGAGGAACTTTAAACAGATCAGGGCTGAGGAAGATAAGCTGGTTCTGCAGGACGGTTGGACTCAAAAACTAAACTTTCTGCTCCACATAAACCCTCAGTTCATTTTGTTCTCATCGGCGTCTTCCATCCAACGGATCCAAATTTTTTAATTTTTTTTTTAATGAGAAATCTTCTCTTAACCTCATAAACTTTGGTTTATATATTGATCTGAGAGCTTTTCAACATCTCCAGGCCAGCTGATGAGTTATCTGCAGGCTGGATCACAGCCTCCATTCGTGGTATTTCACAGCGAGCCAATCCAAACGGCTGAAGCGCCTCAAGTGTTTCAAACCGCCACAAACTCTTCTGTCAGGAATAAATCTGTCAGGGTTCCCGGGAACATCTGAGCAGCCGCAATCCAAAAAACATTATCCCTTTTCTTTTTCTTTTAAGGATTATATTCTAGGATGACAAATGAGGTGCCGTGGCAAATTTTAACCTTTCACACTGATTCTGCAGCGCTAATAAAAAGCAGCAGCAACATGTGAGCAAACGCAACAAAGCTCAAACATGAAGGTAATGAAGTCGGGGAGCAACTGAAGCAAACAACGCGACACCAAGCAGATCCGTTGTTCTGTCAGACCAGCATACCCGGTCAGACCAGTATACCCATAGTCAATACCCGTTTATCCCTTCTGGTTATTGTTGGAGTTATTAGGATTTCTGTTGTTTTTATCATTTTATTCATTTATATCTTTTATATTGCTTTTAATCATTTGTTTTTTCTATGATACTGTCATCAGGTGTCTAAGATGCAATTAAAAAATTTTTTCTTTTCCTTTTTTTTTTTAATTACAAAAATGTCAATTGACATTTGGATGCTCTTTCCTGGCTCCTCTTATGTAGATTATAAAGGAAGGTCGGAAAAGGATTTTGAATAAAGTTGTAAAATCAGTTTGCATAATCTTGTTCTTTTTTTTTTCTATTTAAGTTCCTTTGAAAATGTTAATTATTGGTGTTTATAGTAAAATCTTTTCTAAGTTTTTTTTGTGTGTAAAATGTCTTAGAAGAGAAAAATAATTTAAGGTACACTGTTATTCTGCCATTTTAGTGAAATAAGCTCAAGCAGACAGTAACAGAGACCGGTCCGAGCTCAGTAACTGAGATAACTTATGGTGTGTAAATGGAAAGCAAACTGAACTGAACCGAGCTAACTGCAGACCAGTTCCAGAGGTGGACTCGGCTCGGTTTTTCCCTGGCTCGGTTCTCTGATAACAAGAGCGCATGAGCAGAACGCGTCATCTCCGTCTGGCTGAACATCGCGATTCACACTCCGTTCCAGTAGTTGGCGGTAATGCCCCTCCGGAAACAGAAGAAGAAGAACGACTTCTTCTTCAACTATGAACAACAATGGAAATCTTTCGAAATCTTCTCCACGCAACATTTTAAATTATAAGACCTAAGTAAAGCAATAATAATCAAGCATAACTTTCTGAATGTGACGGGCGCCGCCATTTTGATTTGCTTGATTCCCTCCTTCTTCGCCTTCTTCTTCTTGTGTTTTATGGCGGTTGGCAAACAACTTTTGGTGCATTACCGCCAGCAACTGCTTGATTCCCTCCTTCAATACTGGCAGTAATACCGCAGATCGTCACTAGGAGGCGAGGAGTCGAGGAACCGAGATAGCGTGATGTTTAAACGGTCGTCAGATCCGAGCTCGGACCGGTCTCGGCATGGATCGGTTTTTCAAGGGTCGTTTAAACGGGGTATTAATTTGTACTATAGGGCTAACCAATACAAATTAGTCACATTAGCAAAAATGCTTGTGTTTTATCACAACTTTCAAAAGTCTGAGTTGCGTCTTGAACCAACAACCTCAGGAGTGAAAGTCTATCTTTTACAACTGACACCAGATTTTGATCATCACATTGTTTAATCTAATCAAACTAGGTTTAACCAACTAGACTACAGTCTATCCTAACTCTATCCGACTCTCCTCCAAACTCCCACATCATGACTGAATACTGGGGCTGTTTAAATGTTTGTCAAAGTTCCGGGCGAGCTGAACATGGTATGGCAGGGTAGCAAGGCTTCGGACGTAATCTATTTAAGCTCGTCCCCAAAATGAAACGCCCCCTCCACTACTCGACACGCGCGTCGAAGCCTTGGCTCATCTCATGACATTACCAGCCACGGTACATTGAGCCTCTGCATCACTTTCATCAGCTTCCAGTCAACCATGAAGAAACGTTAAAGGTCACCTACTTGTCTTTCCGCTGTCTTCCTGCCGTATTCCCTCTATGTCAGGGTAGACTGGAACCACAGCCACTTTGTAGAGTGTGTCAGCTTCCAGATTTCTCAGGATGGTGGTCGTGGTTCCACCTGAAACCTCTTCCTGTTCAATATAAGATTAGTTACATCAGATTTGTTCCAGATGGAAAAAAAAAACAGTGTCTCTTTAAATATCTTCAGGCTGGATGTTCATACACTGATAAAAATAAATAAAGGGAAGACTGAAATAAAATCTTAGATCTGAATGAATGAATGAATGAATGAATGAAATACTCTCATTGAATATTCACATATAAAGCCTTAAATGGCCAAGCTCCATCTGATACCAGAGATCTGATTGTTCCTTATGTTCCTAACACACCTGAATCAAATAATTAGATGATTGAGAGGAGTCTGGAGGAACTGACGGCACACTAGGGAGGTAACTAAGCCATTTGTTGGACTAAAAGGTACAGGATACCGGAGAGTCTGTGGTGCAATGTGACCGTGGTGGATGGATCGAGACACCATGTTCAATCGGTTTCAGGTCTGGCGAATGGCGGGGCCAGCCCATAGCTTCAATGCCTCCATCTTGCTGGAACTGCTGACACACTCCAGCTACATGAGGTCTAGCATTGTCCTGCATAAGGAGGAACAACGAGCCAACCGCACCAGCATGTGGTCTCACAAGGGGTCAGCGGACCCCTCATCTCTGTACCTAATGGCAGTCAGGCCACCTCTGGTCAGTTGGAACCTGTTTTCATCTGTGAAGAGCACAGGGCGCCCGTGGATTTCCAAAAAAGTAAAAAAAAAACAATCCACTAGACTTTGTTTCCAAGTTTGAAGATATTTCTCTTCCATCCAGGAAGCTTTTTCAATTCAAAATGTCAGAAATAGTGTTGAGTTCCAGATTTTATACAGCGGACCAAAAGAGAGATAGAAAATATGCTAATTGAACCGGACCAATGGGTCCGCCCCTTGGGAATGGGCAGTCATTGTGTTCTTTGTTAGCCTGCAGTAACCGATACCCGGTGCCACTGGAGAATTAGCCAATCCTGGTGTTTTCTGACACATGCCAAGCATCCTGCAAGCTGTTGGGCTGTGAGCACGACCCCCATCTGTGGATGTTGGGCCCTCATACCATCCTCATGGAGTCAGTTTCTAACCTTTTGTGAAGACATATCCACATAAGTGGCCTGCTGGAGGTCATTTTGTAGGCCTCGGGCAGTGCTCCTCCTGTTCCTCCTTTCTCAAAAGAAGAGGTAGCGGCGCTGCTACTTCTGGACACTACGCTAACAGACACAGCTAACCTTCTAGCCACCGCTTCCATTGATGTGCCATCCAGGATGAGCTGCTCTACCTGAGCCACTTGTGTGGGTTGTAGAGTCTGTCTCATGCTACCATGAGTCTGAAAGCACCGCCAACATTCAGAGTGACCAAAACATCAGCCAGAAAGCAGAAGGACCGATGGGTGACCTGTGGTCCCCACCTGCAGAGCCACTCCTTTATTGACTGGGTCTTGCTAATTGCCAATAATTTCCACCTGTTGTACGACAGCATGTGGAAATGATTGTCAGTCAGCGTTGCTTCCTAAGTGGACCGTTTTATTTCATATTGTGTTGTTTTACATGTTCCCTTTCATTTTTTCCAGCAGTGTATTTTCTCTCAGATCAGTAGAAGAAACTCAGTGAAGAAGGGATGCTGATTCTTACCACTTTCTCTTCTCCTCCTGGCTGGGCTGCATAAAAGACCTTGTAGCTTCTGACGTTTCCCACAGCTGGGTCCCAGCGAACTGTCAGCGTGTTGATGGTGGGATCGATAACTTTCAGGTTCTTTACTCCACCCAAAGGATCTGAAGACAGACACAAGATTTTAATTAGATCGCCGGATTTTAAACAGAGAGGAAAAGTTTGGGACATTTCTAAACTGACTTTCAGGTTTGTCTTAGCTGTAGATTTAATAGTTATTGACTATTAATTGGTATTTTTAGGGATGCACAATATAATTGGCCCCCTATCGGTATCGGCCTTAAAACTGAATATCGGACATCGGCCACCCCATCGATATTTAACCCGATATTTGATCAGCTTCTGAGTTTCTAAAGTCTAAAAAAAATAAATAAATACTACTTCTCAGACTTAAAAACTTCTAATGACGAGGGAAAAAATATTGATCCATTAAAATATCCCAATATCTTCATATGCTGATATATTGCCATTTAAAAACACCATATCAATCTCTTTTACTAATATTGCTATATGTCATCGTTATGCTACGAAATCCCCTGAAAATTCACCAAATGTTGCCATATTTTTATATGTTGATATATTGACGTGGTATCGATCTATTTTACTAACAAAATCTCACAAGAATTTGCAAAATATCACGAGAGTTTGTAACAGAACGATGAAATTTCACCAGATTTTGAAAGTAAAATAGATCGATACCGCGTTTTTAAAAATCAATTTGATATCAGCATATGAAAATATATTTGAGTATATTATTTTTCAAAGTGTCAGAAATTGATAACAAAACTGCTATTTTCAATGACTGCTTATTTTTGTCCAGCTTTAACATCGGTATCGATATCGGTTATCGGCTACATGAGTTTTAAAATATCGGCATATCGGGGAAATGAACCGTCGCACTCACTTGTCTTCCCCTTTTCAGACATGGATTTTCCCTCCATCTCTGGGTAAACGGGAACCACGGTAACGGTGTACTCTGTGCCTGGTTCCAGGTTCCTCAGGACGGTGCTGGTGGCGGTTCCTGGGGCCTGGTCCTAGATTTGGGGAAAGAGGAATTACATGAGAACTGGTTGAACCACATAATAGGAAGTTGTTCCAGTTCAGAATTTTAGGTCTGGACACTAAGTGTCATTCATCCTTTCCTCCCTTTGGTTTTTACAGGTTTAGTATTCTAAACCAGATCTATACAGAGGGGTTTTGCAGTAGATTCTCAGTAAAATCCAGAAAAAAAAGAAATCTAGGAGGTTTGGAAGAGGTCCCAGATATCCTGAAAGCTGCAAACAGTGTCTGTCTGGGAATGAGATTGGCTGATAACTTCAGTTCTCAAACTAACCTCTAACATTTGCTTTTAATCTAGTTAATTTGTGTGTTTGTCTCATTTATCCTCTGAACAGCCTGAAAAAAATCTAATTCTTTCCAAATCAAAGTAATTTATGTGAAACACAAACGATTATTCACAGCAAACTGTTTGATCTGGTCCATCAGTTCAGGGTCAGCTGGTCTTTATTATGTCCAAGGAATCATCTTCTGGAGAGAAATATCAGCTGTGCTGCTGCCATCAACACCTTTGTTTCTAGATGTTGGAGCTTGGCCTGTTTTCCAGTGTAGTCCTGTTTCTCTGACAGTTGCCTTTTGTATCTATGCTTCTTTTTCTATGTCTGCTTCTGTCTCCTTGAACCCCAGTGGGCCTCAGTAGATGGCCGCTCACACTGAGCCTGGTTCTGCTGGAGGTTTCTTCCTGTTCAAAGGGAGTTTTTCCTCTCCACTGTCGCTACAAGCATGCTTAGTGTGAGGGATTGCTGAAGAGTCAATGAGTCGATGCAATCAGCTGGTTTTCCTTAGATAGAAAACTTTGAATCAATCTGACTGGATGATCTGGTGAACTGGAAAGTGACCTGAGATGACATGATGTGAATTGGAGCTATAGAAATAAACTGAATAGAATTGAATATTCTGGGAGTTTTTGTCTGTTTTACACAGAAATTTCCAGGAGGAAAATATTTTTTCTAATTTTTTATTTTACAGGCTTACAAAGAGGGAACAAATGCCGACTAATGACAAACCAGTTTATTTTGACCAGCATGTCGGTCAGGAATGAACATCTGGACAGTAAGGAGGAGTTCTTACCACATCCTGCTCTCCTCCAGCAGTCGGCTCCCAGATCACGATGTATTCACGTACATTTCCCTCGGGGGGCTCCCAGCGGACGTTCAAAGTGGTGGTGGTGGGATCGGTAACCTGAAGGTTCCTCACGTATCCCAGAGGTCCTAAGGGGAAAAAAACGGATGTCAGACCTGCTGTGTCCAGAGGAACTGGAGCGATGAAACCGACTGGGACCGTTCCAGCAGGGCGACTTTGTTTAGGAAAATCTATGAACTATCAATTTAACGAAATTATTCTGTAAAAGTTCAAAAAAAAAAAAAAAAAATCCACTGGACTTGGTTTCCAAGATTTGAAGACGTTTCACCATCTCTCCAGGATTTAAATTTTAAATAGATTTTGAATTGAGAAAGCTTCCTGGAGGGGTGGCGAAACGTCTTCAAATTTTTATTTTTATTTTTTTTTTACTTTTACGGAATGACTATGACCTGGATGACTGAAAATCTTTATCAGCATATTAACTAAATTATGTATTATATAAGGTTTCTCCCTTAACAACAACATCAACATTCACTGAAATATGAAATTCATAAAATATAATAAAAAAAAATACTGTAAGACTTGTTTTTTTTTTTCTCTCAATCAACTAAATTATTGTTCATATAAATAATGTTCTGAATTTCAAAACTAAAATTCCTTTCATAATTTGAATCAAATTGATAATAGATACAGACAGACAGATATATCTATATAGGAATATATGTGTATATTGGGGAAAAAGAAAATATCAGTTACGTTTGGTCAAATCTACTAGTTTTATTGGTAAAACTCACAATATACCATTAGTAAACATTTGACTTATATATATAGTTAAGATTTTTTCTTGTGCTTCAAATTAATGACTTACAAAGGATATAAATTAGAGGCAATAAAAAAAAAACATATTAAGAAAGCCGTGTTTGACAAAGAGAAGGTCCGTTCCTCTAAGTGTCCGCTGTGTTTGAAATGTTCCACAGGTTCTCTAAGTTTGGTAATATTGAGAAAAATAAAACTTTGCCATCATTTCAAAGTGGCATGCTGAGAAACTAGTCCATGCATTTGTTACTTCAAGGCTGGACTATTGTAATTCTTTACTATCAGGAAGTCCACAAACTGTAGTTAAAAGCCTTCAGCTGATCCAAAATGCTGCAGCCAGAGTTCTAATTAAAAAGAAAAACAGAGATTATATCTCTTTATTATAACTTTTCTTATCCAGCAAACACTTATTCTGTATTTTTAAATCAGTTTTGAGGAGTTATAGCTGTTTTTATTTACTTCTATATTTGTATTTTACATTGTAGCATGCCTACTGTTGTGTTTTTTTAGGAAGACAAGTTTAAGATCTGTCCAGGGACAACAGATGAAAAATAGCCTTTTGGCTAATTCTGGTGCGTTTGCAGGAATGCTTTTTAATGTACACTGTCCCTGTCAAATAAATAAATAAATAAAATTTAATTATTCTGTTAAGATGGGGGGGGGGGGGATTATTGAGTATTTTTGCAGTTTGTGATCTGCAGCTTCCTGCCGCATCTTTACACTGCCAAAAATGTAATTCTAAATAAGTCATTATTTCTTAAACTAAGTGGCTTTGTTCTTGAATTGAGGAGGTAAGTGAGATACTTTGCCAATGGAACAAGAAAATTTACATTTAAAATAAGAAAAAGCAACCGCATTGTCTTATTTTAAGTGGATATTATCTAATAATCTTATCTTAAGAGTAAAAATACTAATTCCATTGGCAAATCATCCCATTTACCTGCTAAAATTAGGGCTAAAACATGCTTGATTTAAGACATTTTTACTTATTTCTAGACCATTTTTGCAGTGTAAGCCCTGGACCTACACTGCAAAAAATCGAAATCTAAATAAGTAATTTCTTTCTTAAAATAAGTGCATTTTTCTTGAATTTAGGTGGCAAGTGAGACACTTTGCCAATAGAACAAGACAATTTACATTTAAAAGAAGAAAATACAATTACATTGTCTTATTTCAAGTGCATATTATCTAAGTATCTTCTTTTTAATACCAAAACTACTCATCCTATTGGCAAATAATCGTATTTACCTGTTCAAATTGAGGGGAAATACACTTAATTTAAGAAATGTTTACTTATTTCTAGATAATTCTTGCAGTGTACACTGCAAAAAATGGAAATCTAAGTAAGTAATTTTTTCTTAAAGTGCATTTTTTCTCTAATTGAGGTGGAAAGTGAGAGACTTTGCCAATGGAACAAGACAATTTACATTAATTCCATTGTCTTATTTTAGGTTCATATTATCTAATTATCTTATTTTAAGAGTAAGGATACTAATTTAATTAATTTAATGGCAGATCATCGTATTTACCTACTCAAAGTAAATTTAAGAATTTTTTTCCTTATTTCTAGATCTTTTTTGCAGTGTAGATACTCACTGGTCTTGCCGGTGTCAGTCAGGCTGGGCCCGTCTCCCTCAGCGTACACGGGAACCACAGTGACGGTGTAATCGGTGTCTGGCAGCAGTTTCTGCAGGACGGTGGAGGTGGTGCTCTCAGACACTTGTTCCTGGGGAAGACAGAGGAGGTGGAAACAGGAAAAAGACGCTGAGAAATGAACCGACCTTTGAGTGCAAGTTGAAACAAGTTGGATTTCACCAAATTTAGGTGAACAATTTTGTATAAAAAGTGAAACGAAGCATTTCAGACGTTACAGATTCGTATTTTTCTTTAACTTAGAGAACGAGTAGGATCTTTTAAAAGGCCAGAGTGGAGTTTCCTGCAGCACAAGCTGATAAACCACTTTAGACACTCCTCTCTGCTTTTGATGCCAGCGATCTGATCTGATTTAAACACCGTAAATCCAAAAACTTAGTCCCTGGAAAATTCTTCTTAACAATTAGAGAGTGTGTTTCCAGGAAGGTGTCAGCACTGCAAAAACAATCCAGAAATAAGTAAAAAATGGCTTAAATTAAGTATATTTAGCCTTAATTTGAGCAGGTAAATAAGATGATTTGCCAATGGAATGAGTATTTTCACTCTTAAAATAAGATAGTTAGATAATATTTACTTGAAATAAGACGATAAAATAGTTTTTTCTTATTTTAAAAGGAAATTGTCTTGTTCCATTGGCAAAGTGTCTTACTTACCTCCTCAAATCAAGAAAAAACACACTTATTTTAAGAAAAAATAACTTATTGAGATTTATATTTTTTGCAGTGAGTGCAGCAGCCTGGCAGCGATGGGGAGGATTATCCCGTCAAAAATAAATCCCTGCAAAGGACTTTGATCGCCTCTCCTGAGGAGGGAGACACACTCACAGTCGGAGCCTTTGTAGCCCCTGTAGGAGACACTTTGACATGTCTGAAAAATGATAAAACAGGATTGTTTCTCATCTGCACCAGAACTCTCTGAGCTTTCTGAGTGGGAGTCAAACATGCAAGCGGAAAAACATTACCATCTACAGCTGCTCATTCCTAATGATTTTTATTTCTGCAAAGAGCAAAGGAAATAAGATCTGAAGAGCTGTTAATGTATGTGTGTGTGTGTGGAATCTTATATTCTTATATTCAGGCATTGCACTGCAAAAACCATCTAGAAATAAGCAAAAAAATTCTTAAATTAAGGGTATTTACCCTTAATTTAAGCAGATAAACAAGATGATTTGCCAATGGAATGAGTATTTTTACGCCTAAAATGAGATCTTTAGTTATTATGCACTTGAAATGAGACAAAGCATTTTTTTTTCTTATTTTAATTGTAAATTGTCTAGTTCCATTAGCAAAGTTTTCCACTTATCTCCTCATTTTAAGAAAAAATGCACTTAATTCAAGCAAAAATTAGTCATTTAGATTTCCATTTTTTGCAGTGTGGTCGATCCAGCCTCAGAATTGCATTCAGAGCTGCACTGCAAAAAAATGAAATCTAAATAAGTAATTTCTTCTTAAAACAAGTGCATTTTTCTTGAATTAAGGATTTAAGTGAGACATTTTGCCAATGGAACAAGACAATTTACACTTAAAATAAGAAAAAAACAATTGCATTGTCTTATTTCAAGTGCATTTTATCTAAAAATCTTATTTTAAGAGTAAAAATACTAATTCCATTGACAAATCATCTTATTTACCTGCTCAAATTAAGGTTACACTGAAAAAACGATCTAGAAATAAGTAAAAAATTTCTCAACTTGAGTGAATTTACCCTTAATTTGAGTAGGTAAATGACATGATTTGCCAATTGAATGAATATTTTTACTCTTAAAATAAGATATTTAGATAAAATGCACTTGAAATAAGAGAATACAATTGTGTTTTTTTCTTATTTTAAATGTAAATCATCTTGTTCCATTGGCAAAATGTATCTTTTACCTCCTCAATCCAAGAACAAATGCACTTATTTTAAGAAAAAATGACTTATCTAGATTTAGATTTTTTTCCAGTGCGTTCTCCTGTGCAGAGTAAAATAAAACTGTTTTCTTCCTTGGATATCAACTGCAAGTGCTTATATTATTTTTTACTCCATAAGCCAAAATTTCTCTAATCATTTTAGCTAAATTTAAATCTAAATCTGCTCCTGTTTACAGGAAAGAAGGACACTGAAGGAAGCAGCACAGTTCAAGTCGACAGAAAGGCCCCGGGGTTTAATTTTCGGGTAACCCGATGCCTTCTTTTAAGTCAGCTTTTACCCTCTATGTCTCTCGGTGTCATTTATCAGCTCGAGGCCCTGCGGCTTCACATCAGAGAGACTTCACTCCTCAGGTTTGGTGCCTCCATTCTGCACGATTCAGCTGGAGGTTAAACTGTTGAAGCTTGAACAATGTCTCCTCTGAGTAAAATCAGGAGAGCGAGTCTTTATTCCTCATATTATCTTTTTCGATAAGTTAAATTTAAGTTGAAACTCAATAAATTAAAGTTTCATCAAAAACTAAAACAGTCCAAACGGATAAAACTCATATAAATCCATAGTTACGTATTAAACTGAGTGTGTTAATATCAATACTTCCTGGTTATAGCAGATCTAAAAAAAGATGTGGAATTTCTTCAGGCTTAATTAGAGAATTAATTAAAGTATTTTCATTAAATAGGTGATTTTATGGGCTTGATCAGCTGACTTACAACAAGAACAGAAGCTGACGTCAAAGCATGCAGGGAAAAAGTATGTGAGCCTCAATGAACTGATGCTACTTCCTGCAGTGAAAGGAAGCTCTGCAGTGCATTTGACATTTTTTTAAGAGAATAAGTTTTTTTAATCTTCTCAGATGCATCATTGAATTATCTTTAACCGCCTGAAGCTGACAGCGATCTACGATTTCTGCTTGGCTTTGACGTCTCTAATTAATCTGGATTAATCTGTTGTTTTCTGGGAATCTGAGCGAACGCGCTGCTCTAATGTTGGATGACCTTACCACTATCTCCAGGCCGCCGTTTACAGGCTTATAGATTACTTTGTAGCCCTGCACATTGCCTTCGGCAGTGTCCCAGTTGACGGTCAGAGTGGTGATGGTGGGGTTGGACACCCTCATGCCGCTGACTCCGCTCAGAGGCACTGGGAGCAGAGAGAAGACCAGATATTTGGTCAGTAGGAGCTTCTGCTGATTCCATAGAAGGAGAATTTGGATTCCTGTTGCTGCTTACGCGTTTTCCCGTTCTCTGACTGCCGTCTGCCCTCCCGGGCGGGGTACACCGGCACCACGGACACGGTGTACTGAGTGTCGGACTGCAGGTTCCTCAGAACCAAGGAGGTGGTTCCAACGGGAACTTGCTCCTGCGTGGCAGATTCCCAGGATTAAAGAAAAGCTTTTGTTGTGCGTTTGAGGCACGACGGCTCCAGATTCAAAGCTTCTCACCATCTCCTCTTGTCCACCGGCTGAAGGTACGTAGAAGACCTTGTAGAGACGAACGGCGCCGTCAGCCGGGTCCCAGTTAACCCTCAGGGACGTCATTGTGGGGTCGGTCACCCTCAGGTTCTTCACTCCCCCTAAAGGCCCTGCAGGGGTGAGGGACGGTAGATGAAGGTAACCTGCCTGTGGATCATTCTAGGTTCTGCTTTTCCCCACCACGTTCTTTACGTTCACATTCAAATGGTTTCAGACACAGAAAAGGGATTGAAAGCGTTTGATGAGACACAAAACAGCCGCACGCATTGACCTGCAGTTTGGATCTAGGAGGCGAATCATTAGGACTTCGTAGACGGGTCAGTGGGACCTCATAGTGAAGTCATTGGGACCTCATAGTGAAGTCATTGGGACCTCATAGACGGGTCATTGGGACCTCATAGACGGGTCATTGGGACCTCATAGTGAAGTCATTGGGACCTCATAGTGGAGTCATTGGGACCTCATAGTGGAGTCATTGGGACCTCATAGTGGAGTCATTGGGACCTCATAGTGGAGTCATTGGGACCTCATAGTGGAGTCATTGGGACCTCATAGTGGAGTCATTGGGACCTCATAGTGAAGTCATTGGGACCTCATAGACGGGTCATTGGGACCTCATAGTGAAGTCATTGGGACCTCATAGTGGAGTCATTGGGACCTCATAGTGGAGTCATTGGGACCTCATAGTGAAGTCATTGGGACCTCATAGTGGAGTCATTGGGACCTCATAGTGGAGTCATTGGGACCTCATAGTGGAGTCATTGGGACCTCATAGTGGAGTCATTGGGACCTCATAGTGAAGTCATTGGGACCTCATAGTGGAGTCATTGGGACCTCATAGTGGAGTCATTGGGACCTCATAGTGAAGTCATTGGGACCTCATAGTGGAGTCATTGGGACCTCATAGTGGAGTCATTGGGACCTCATAGTGGAGTCATTGGGACCTCATAGTGAAGTCATTGGGACCTCATAGTGGAGTCATTGGGACCTCATAGTGGAGTCATTGGGACCTCATAGACGGGTCATTGGGACCTCATAGTGAAGTCATTGGGACCTCATAGTGGAGTCATTGGGACCTCATAGTGGAGTCATTGGGACCTCATAGTGAAGTCATTGGGACCTCATAGTGGAGTCATTGGGACCTCATAGTGGAGTCATTGGGACCTCATAGTGAAGTCATTGGGACCTCATAGTGGAGTCATTGGGACCTCATAGTGAAGTCATTGGGACCTCATAGTGGAGTCATTGGGACCTCATAGTGAAGTCATTGGGACCTCATAGACGGGTCATTGGGACCTCATAGTGAAGTCATTGGGACCTCATAGTGGAGTCATTGGGACCTCATAGTGGAGTCATTGGGACCTCATAGTGGAGTCATTGGGACCTCATAGTGGAGTCATTGGGACCTCATAGTGAAGTCATTGGGACCTCATAGTGGAGTCATTGGGACCTCATAGTGGAGTCATTGGGACCTCATAGTGAAGTCATTGGGACCTCATAGTGGAGTCATTGGGACCTCATAGTGGAGTCATTGGGACCTCATAGTGAAGTCATTGGGACCTCATAGTGGAGTCATTGGGACCTCATAGTGGAGTCATTGGGACCTCATAGTGAAGTCATTGGGACCTCATAGTGGAGTCATTGGGACCTCATAGACGGGTCATTTGGACCTCGTAGACGGGACATTGTGACCTCGTAGACGGGACATTTAGACCCTGTAGGCAGGGTCATTAGGCAGTGATAGACTGGTCATTAGGACCTTGTCGACGGTTACTTTTTATCTCATAGGCAGGTAATTTGGACTTGGTAGATAATTTCAATCTTACTTGTTTTTCCATTTTCAGACATCTTCCTTCCGTCTCCATCAGCATAAACTGGAACCAGCGACACAGTGTAGAGAGTGTCGGGCTGCAGGCCTCGCAGGATGGTCGTGGTCGTCCCTGCCGACACAGTCTCCTGGTTTTCGACAAAAGATCGTACAGCTGACTCAGGTGAAAACATGGCCGTCACTGTTAGCCTAATGGGTAAAATTTGGTCTGGTTATGGACTAAAACACTTCCGATCAGCGTCCCACATGGCTTTGTTTGGGCCCTGGGAAGATTTGGACCCTTTCAGACCATAATGATTTTACTAACTGGGACACAACACTAAAGGAAGCAGAGAAGAGATCAGATTGGGTATTGAATCTAGTTCAGATTTTCACAATAAAAGTCAAACCCCCCTTTTAATTCCCCTTGAAACCATGTTGGCATGTTGGAAAAGAAAAGACAAACCAAGTTCTGTTTGGTTCGCCTTCCTGTCCATCATAACCACCAGTCACCTTGATCAACAACAAATTCAAGCACTTTCAAGGACTTTTCCGAACCAATTTCCTTAAATTCAAGGACCACGAGTCACAGCATTTACTTCCTTAAAGTATCATGGACAGTAGTAATCAAATTAAATGGCCAATTGGACTAAAATGAATCAGAAAATTCGAGGACCTTTAAGGACAGATGCCTTTTTCTTGCTGTTTTCAAAAACATTCAAGGTCTTGAAATTAGTAAGGATTTTAAGGACCCCTGGAGTTACAGGATGCTGTACTTTCCCTGACCCAATTATCATTAGGATCCCATTTCCAGGTTTTTCCTACAGAATGTTCAGCTCAGATTGTGACGATGGTTCTGATCTGATGAAATACTCACTATAAATATTCCTTCCAGACTGGACCTGGAGGAGCTATTTAACTGGTCAGAACCCCTTCAATGGCCACCAGAATGCTTATTCCCTTATAAAAGTGTTTCCAGCCTCCTGAACTCCAGAGGACTGATCAGGATTCAGGTCCGACTGTGCAGCAGGACAGGAAGCAGACGGGGTTCCTACCAGTCCTACCATCATCTCTGCTCCTCCAGCTGCCGGAGAATAAATCACTTTGTACTCTGTGACTCTGCCCTCAGCCGGCTCCCAGCGCACGTTCAGGGTAGTCATGGTCGGGTTCAGCACCTGGAGGTTCCTCACGCCGCCCAGAGGTTCTGCACAGGAAGGAACAGAGATGTCACATTCTCCCAAGATCCTCAGCCGACACATTTCTACGCTCGTTCCCACTGAAAACCCAAACCACTAAACATTCCTCAAAATGGAAATATCAGAAGTCTTTTTTTTTTTCAGTTGACAGATTAAATCCTTTGTGAGGTTTTCACGATTAGCTTTGGTCCAGTTGGACCCTTTCTGGACATTCCTGACAGCAGAAGCTGTCCTGGTTTCTACAGATGCTTACTGGTTTTTCCCTCTCCAGAGATATCCCTGCTGACGCCTGAGGGATAGACGGCGGCCACGGTGACGGAGTACGGCGTGTCCGGCTGCAGCTGCTGCAGGAGGATGTTGGTCTTCTTCCCTCCGACCTGCAGCTGTTCACAGAAAACAACACGTGATCCAGGAGGGAAAGCAAGAACATCTATGGCCCACAAAGACCCAGATTAGGTTCTGATTGGGATCAGACCGCTAATGTTCAGCCAATCAGATGCAGTTACATTCTTTAAAGAAATTGTTAATGGAAAATGGAGATAAAACACAATCTGTACATTGAAAATTGAGAAAAATGTAATATAGAGAGATTAAACGTTTTTAAAGGAAAAGTTCAAACTTCTGAAAGTACTTTAAATATGAAATTATGGGAACATTCCTCCATAGCATCTGGAAATGCAAGAAAGTTCAACTATTCTGGAGGGAGATTAAACAAGCTCTAGAGACTATACTGGGTATAAAACTAGTTTTTGACCCCAAATTGTTCATCCTAGGTTTATATCCTGACAGACATCATATGTCCAGTAAGATTATTACTGCCTTGGATTTATGTCTACTACTGGCAAAAAGAGTCTTGGCACTCTCATGGAAGAGTACCAGTAAACCAAAATTTATTAAATTGATTAAGGAAATATCCACAACATTACCAATGGAAAAGATTACGTTCATTTTAAAAGGGAAACTTTCACTTTTTCAAAACATTAGGAGTCCTTTAATGGAATATATAGAAAACATGGATGTGACGGCTGTCGGGGATGAGTTATAGTTGTAGTTGGTCCCTTGCAGGGTCCTAAGATAATCTTCATTTGTATACTTTGGATTATATATTCGAGTTTGTATTTTCTGAACCACGTACAATACTAAAATAATATGGGCTAATTTCTGGAAAATAGAGAAACCGTTGTTAGGTTCAAAAATGTAGGTTCATAAAAGAGAAACTGAGTCTACACAGAAGAGGGATTTTTAACGGCTTCTGCAGAAGGAGAGAGCTACATTCAGCTACGTCTACTCTCTGGTGGAAGCCTTTTTATTAGCAGATCATAACACATGGGGTGGGTTACAGAATAAAGTGTTCTTCTGACAAGACAATTGATCAGGTCATAGGACAAAATGCTCAGAATAGAGTGGTCTCCTGATAACTGTGATTAGCCTTGCACTAGGGATGCACGATATTGGGATTTTGGCCGATATCCGATATTTTAAAACTCATGTAGCCGATAACCGATATCGATACCGATGTTAAAGCTGGACAAAAATAAGTAGTCATTGAAAATAGCAGTTTTGTTATCCATTTCTGACACTTTGAAAAATAATAAACACAAATATATTTTCATATGCTGATATCAAATAGATTTTTAAAAACGCGGTATCGATCTATTTTACTTTCAAAATCTCGTGAAATTTCATCGTTCTGTTACAAACTCGTTAGAGTTTGTAACAATCTCACAACAATCTCACAAATCTCACAAGAATTTTGCAAATTCTTGTGAGATTTTGTTAGTAAAATAGATCGATACCGCGTCAATATATCAACATATAAAAATATGGCAACATTTCGTGAATTTTCGTGGGATTTCGTAGCATAACGATGACATATAGCATATTTCATTAGTAAAAGAGATTGATATGGTGTTTTTAAATGGCAATATATCAGCATATGAAGATATTGGGATATTTTAATGTGTCAATATTTTTTCCCTCGTCTTTAGAAGTTTTTAAGTCTGTAAAAAAAGAAGTTTTTGAGGAAGAAGAAGAAGTAGTATTTTTTTTTTTTTTTAGACTTTAGAAACTCAGAAGCTGATCAAATATCTGGTTAAATATCGGTGGGGGGGCCGATGTCCTATATTCAGTTTTAAGGCCGATACCGATAGGGGGCCGATTATATCGTGCATCCCTACCTTGCACAGACATCAGCAATTTTCTACCACCGTTTCCTGACAGTTTGCAGTAAACAGAGCGAAGCATCTAATTTCTCCAATGTTCCGTATGCACATACATTAAGTTTATAATCATCAATGAATAAACCTAACAACCGTTATTATTGTAATTGTTGTTTCTTCTCAGGGGGGTTTGGTGTTGGGGGCATTGTGTTTTTTTCGTTTGTGTTTTTTCGCTTTTTGTTCTTTTGTTATTTGTTTGTTTGTATTTCCTCATATACTCTGTGTGTCATAGGTGCTGCTCTAAAATACTCCGGAAAGACAAGCCGAACGCTGGATAATAATTTAACTAGCCTGGACTTTTCCTTCGATGTGAGAGCACATTTATGTCCTGACTATTATAAAAAAAAAATTGTTGAAAAACCAATAAAGATAATGTTGGAAAAAAATAAAATGAAATTATTAGATACTGTTCAATAATTCTGATGGCAATGTGATTGTTTTAATTGGCAAAACGTTGATTGTATGTGTGTTTATGTGACTGTGTAAATAATTATTCCCCTTGGGGGAGGTGTGGCCACGAAGGCATCACCTCCTACTACAGAATGAGTGAAATGACACAGTTCTGGAGGAAACCGTAACATTTAGGACTGGTTCTGGATGTTGTGGGTGGTTCCACTTTAGATCAAATGGGCCTGCGAGGAGAGGATCTAACTGGGGGGTCTCATTTAGACGTGACACAGCAGAACCTCATATTGCATCGATTTGTGCTCTACAGGCTGGACGCTCCTTTGTTCCAAATGCTGGGCTGCCGAGATAAAACCGGAACCTTGGCTGTTTGTTCAGTCATTCAGAGTAAGTCTGCTTTCAAACCGTCTGCCTGCATCTGGATCAAACGGCCCCTGCTGTTCCTGGATCCGATTCAAAATCAGAAGCTCTGTTTCCAGGGAGGAGAGTCTCAACATGGAGTAAACTTTCCATAGAGCCACGGCGCTTTAAATATCCGCAGCCTGGAAGGAGAGCTATTCTGTTTGTGACATGATGAAGATACATTCTCATGATAATGATGGTAAATGTTTACGTTCCTGATAAACAGCCAAGATGATTATTTGTGTGGGGAGAGTCCTGAGCAAACAGCTGAGCGGTCCAGCAGGAGACAGAGGCTGCAGCGTAAACACCCGCAGGAGGGGAGTAAACTGTCTGAGAGTCGGGGGATAAACAGCTGGAGGTTCACACAGCAGAGGTCAGCTCTGCAAAGCAAGGCACGGAGGTGGAGGCAGGATGATCTGGGCTGGATCTGCTGCCACCTGACCTGAGCACCGGGCACAGAGGGGCAGTGGCACAAGGCTTAATGGAAAAAAAATAATTTAATGAGTTTTAATCCAGGGAGGACTCCTTTTTCATCATTCTGCTTCATTCTATCTCTATTCTCCCACTCTGCAGAATCTGTTAGTTCAATCTCTAACGTTCTGCTCTCTCTGCTTTTTCTCATAGTAGCTTCATCTGGTCTGTTCCTGTTTGGCTGTGACTCCATCCTGGAGAGAAATATCAGCTGTGCTGCTGCCATCAACACCTTTGTTTCTAGATGTTGGAGCTTGGCCTGTTTTCCAGTGTAGTCCTGTTTCTCTGACTGTGACTAACTGGATGTGCTCTCTTCATCCTCTGACATGGGAGCTGGCTCGGAGCTCGTCTGCCTGGCTGTGTGTTTCCTGGACGGGGCCGCCTGTGGAGCTGGTTGACAGTTGCCTTTTGTATCTATGCTTCTTTTTCTATGTCTGCTTCTGTCTCCTTGAACCCCAGTGGGCCTCAGCAGATGGCCGCTCACACTGAGCCTGGTTCTGCTGGAGGTTTCTTCCTGTTCAAAGGGAGTTTTTCCTCTCCACTGTCGCTACAAGCATGCTTAGTGTGAGGGATTGCTGAAGAGTCAATGAGTCGATGCAGTCAGCTGGTTTTCCTTAGATAGAAAACTTTGAATCAATCTGACTGGATGATCTGGTGAACTGTAACCCGCCTTGAGATGACATGTTGTGAATTGGCGCTATAGAAATAAACTGAATTGAATTAATGATTTATAATCATCAGCGGAAAGCCTGTAAATAGACACCAGAACCAGTTCAGGGTCAGTCTACACACTCGATCACAGCCTCCATATGTTCCACATAAATCCCTGAAGAGAGATTAGATTCTCCTAAAGGCCGTGTTAATAAATATACAGACATATTTCTGCGTATTTGCTGCCTGAATGAGAGTCATAGCGGAAAACCTTCCAGCTCCAGGAACATGATCCTATCTATCGGTGTCCAGTCTTTGCGACATGCTCAACCAACACTTCTAGTGTTTAGATATCAGTTAGCGTTGGTTGCAGCTCTTACTGTAAACTTTGAATGCTGCTGAAAGCAGCAACAAGCAAACTGTCTTACAGTTTCATAAGAGGAAGTCATCAGAAGAAAGATATTAGACCAGAGTATGTATATATTTTTCTTAATCACTGTGGAAGAGCAGGTAGGATGCTTTTAGACATGCAGCAGTTATGCTGCGTTCAGACGTTCAGTTGTGAAAATAGCAGACATTCTGGTCACATTTGATTATTAAAACATGAGCAGAGAGTCCTTTAAAATGCGATCCGTGCTGTGCATGCATTAACAGAATAACTTCCGGGCAGGCAATACTATGTTTTTAACGCTTTTTAATTGTTTGGTCCTTTTCCGGCGAGGTGTTCCTTTTGAATGTTTTTGTATTTTTGTAAATATTGCATATTCTAAAAAAAAAAAACCGGAAAAATGCAATACACTTAACAGCCTTCCGAATGTTACTGTGACTGATCTGAGCATGTCCGATGATGATGTCAAGCAGAACAATGGAGAGATTTTAAAACGTATCAGTTTCTTTTTTTTGTTTTTTCTTTACAATGTAGTGAAGCGTTCTTTATGTTTTAGGTATATATATATATATATATATACAGTATATATATATAAGTATATATATATATAAGTATTAGGGATGGAACGGTTTATGAAAACCGTTCGAACCGTTCGACTGTCTCGGTTCGGTTCGCGTGTGTTGCGTTCGGTTCATGCGCTGCTCCTTTTTCTCATAGGCGAAGCGTTTACACTCCAGAGCAGAAGGTGGTGGTACTGCGACCAAAGCCAACCACCAGTAGTAAACAAGAAGAAGAAGAAGCGAAGCAGCGTAGCCGGGTGTAGCAGAAAAAAATCAGTTGTTGTGGAGAATTGTGTGGGTATGGCGAGTGGGAAAGAACAGGAGTTGGAAGACGCGCCAGCAGCACTTTATAGGTCTGCTGTATGGGACCACTTTGCATTTAGAGTGACCTACGATGACGGCGGGAAGAAAGCTGTGGATAAAAGTGCAACAGTGTGCAAGCATTGTGCAACACGTTTTGTTTATGCTAACAGCAACATGACCAACATGTCATGCTAACCCCGAAATCCCTCATACTCCATCAGCGCTCCGCCCCGCTGCGCTCCAGACCGGCTGCACAAAGCAAAGCCTACAGCCTCCACTGTGGCTCCCGTCCGCTCCACTCTGAGTTCCTTGAAGATGGTAAAGAGCATGCGCCAGATGATTAAATTCAAAGCAGCAAAACATACAGAAATGATCCAGGGTTTCCGCGATCATTTAAAATAATTACAATCCATTATTTTTTGGGGGATTTTTTCATTAATTTCATAAATTTTTATGGGATTTCGGTGTAACAATAAACATATACTGAATCGAACCGAAAACCATGACCACAAAACCGTGAATCGAACCGAACCGTGGATTTTGTGAACCGTTCCACCCCTAATAAGTATTTATAGTACCATTATTATGTAGTTTTTTTGTCCATCCGGATCGTAGTATTCTATTCACGCATGCGCAGGACGGATCGTGCTTCCGGGACGGAAGCGACACCCTCGTGTCTGCTAGCTATTAGCTTTATTGTCCTAATAAAGCAAATATTTCTAAAGGAGCTAAAGGGTCCCTACTTTTAATTGTAAATGTGAATTGATTTCTGATGTAGGACAATCATTTAAGTAAAATATTTGTTAGGTTTATTCAATGATGATTATAAAATTAATGTGTGTACATATAAGCATTGAAGCAAGGAGATGCTCCACCCCGCCTTGGGATCCAGTCGGTGGAGCCTCCTGTCTTATGAACTGAACAATTGTTCTTTCAGAACAATACTCTGTTTGTAACCATGTGTGATGTTCTGTTAATAAAGCGTTCTGCAGAGGAGGTCCGGGGGAGAGAGAGCGTTGGAGTGTTGGGTGCAGCTCTGTCTCTCCTCCTGCAGGAAGCTGTTTGAAAATCCCTTACTGTGTATTTCAGTTCTTCTTTTACAAACTTATATGTTTGAACCCAACAATATTGTTTGCAGATTATGTTTTATTTACCTCATTTAAATACCTCAAAGCTAGTTTAAAATCTACTTTCAAAGTTGGTTCTCCAGCATTAATACTGATGCCAAACTGTGATATAATTGTAATATTTTATTCTCTTTTGTGTATTTACGTTTGTGTCCATATTACCTAATTAGTTTCAAATGAGTTTCAGTTGTTTAGTTAAGAGTTTTTAACTGAATTATGTTGTAAACAGATTGCTATATTTTAAATGAAAGTTTTGAATTTTTTCCATCTGCGTGGCGAGTTAAAGGTTCGGCCGTGATTTGAGCTTGAATCACAGTTTGATGGATCGTCCTAACACACAGCCATATGGCTGAACACAGTAACATAAATCCCAACAGCTTTTAATCCAGAAAGGAGGTTATGCAGGATGATGGATCATGAGCTAAACTCCCATCAGGTCTTTATTAATAGCAAATAAAAAAGAAGAAATATTGAAAATGTTCCTGTTTGGTTGGTGAGCAGAGAGGAGAGAAGTCAGGAGTTTAAAGTAAAAAAATCTTGGATTAGTTCCACAGAACAAACATCCTGTCTGATAGGAAGTGACAGATGATCCTAACGGGTCTGCAGATCCTCCCAGGTCTGATGCAGCGTTCTGAGATCAGTCAGGCTGCCAGCATCCCCGTCCAAACCTGACATTCTGTTTGGAGAAATGTCAAAACATCCCGGCTTCCTCTCAGGGTTTTTCCAGAAGCAATGCCATCAAGCTCACGACATGAAGACCTGACCAGCCCCTTAGCTCAGGAGAGCCTAGTTTATCACAGTAGACGTCCTGCAAACCCAGATGGTTTCCAAGATAGATCAGCAGCAGGTCTGGCTGATCCACCTGAACTATCTGAAGCTGGACTCAACTGATAAAACTTCCATTTATCTAAAACAGCAGGACTGGAGCGCCCAAACAGAAAGGCCATCATAACATCTAATTATTATAATTAGGTATTGTCAGGTTTCTGTTATGTTTTTCTTTAGAAAATCCAGTCTTGCTTTACTGCTTGTTTTCTAGTGTTAGTGGTTAGTTTTCCTTTCTTCATGTTTCATAGTTTTAGTAGTTTTATTATTATTTAGTTGTTATTTCCAGCTTTCTATTTGTTGCTCTCTGCTGCCCTCTTGTGTTCTCCTTCTTCCCTAGCTCTTTCCCTCTCTTGCTCTGTGCACACCTGCTCCCAGTTTCCTCATTAGCCCCCTCTTTGTCTCAGTCTCCTTTAAAAGCCCTCTCTCTTCAGTTCCTCTTTGCTGGGTCCTCGTCAAACTTCCTCCAACTCCGTCTCCATCATGGTTTCTGGTTTGTTATGTTTGATTCTTTTGGATTTTTGGACTCTTGATTTCATGCTAGTTTGGACTTTGTTTTCATTATTGGATTTTCGGATAACCTGCCTTTGTTTTCAGTTTCCCTTTTTAATTAAATCTAAAGAAATTCAGCTCTGCCTTCCTGCCTCTGCTTTTGGGTCAACAGTCCATAACCAAATCCTGACGGGTATTAAATAAAAGCTTTTGTTGCGATGGACTGACGGTCGACCCCGCCCTTTTTTGCTTTTCGCCCTCCATCTGTCCAAACTCCGTCTCCAACCCCGCAGACTGAGGAAACACTTACTGAGAGCGGCTCTCCTCCAGCGATGGGCTTGTACGTGATCTTGTAGTTCTGCACCGGGCCGGGAGCGGCGTCCCACTTGACGGATAGGGTGGAGGTGGTGGCGTTAAACACTCGGAGGTTCCGAGGCGGCGCCGGTTTTACTGGAGGAACAGAGAAGCAGGAAGTGAGATGATACAGAGAGATGGGAGGGGGCAGGATGAGGGTGAGGATGATGATGCTTCCTCCAGGAGCTGGAAGGCTTTAGGATGGAAGAAGCACGATGATGAGGATGATGATGAGGAGTGAAGCTGGAGCAGAGCTGTGGGGGGGGCAACCTATTGACCTATGAGCCTAAATAACACAAAAACCTGTTTGCTGCACAAACATAGCCAATTGTGATTGGTTTAAAGAAACTATAAGTTTTTTGTTGTTTATTTGTTTTGTTGACCTCTGGTGATCTCTGAAAGCTTATATTAATATACTTAAAATGATGGCTGCAGAAAAACGGAGCATAAACATCGGACACCATGGATTTGCGTTTGGATTTAGTTCATGTAAACGGTTTGGTTCACATGTAGACCAGACAAATTTGGTTTTTAACTCTAATAAAAGCAGCACAAACATAAATTGTAGCACAAATACTTGTTAAAATTGGTTAATATGAGGGGGGACGGGTCAACCTTTTGACCCCTGAGCATGGGGTAAATAATTAAAAACAAAAGCAGCACAAATGATAACATTTCTGCTGCACAAACAGCCTAATTTATTGACAGCCACTTTTTTTAATATAAAAAAGGGTGAGGGGGGGGTTTCCGGTTGACTTTTGGTGATCTCTCAAAGCTTTCATTAATATATTCTAAATTATATCGGCTCAAACAAAAGAGCTTGCCGTAAAAAAGCGAGACACTACTTGTGTCTGATTGAAGGTGGGCGGGGCCTGAAGTCTGGGCATTGGAAGCAGCAGCTAAGGTTTAGGAGGTCCACTGAGCTCCACCGCTGCAGCAAAGTGTCGGAACATGCCGAAAAACATGAATGATGTTGAATCCATGAAGAAACAAAGAGATGAAGAACCACACAGGTGAGCTGATGGATGGAAGGAATTATTAACAGAGATGGAGGACAATGCTTCCCAGTCTGCGTTCGCGCCGCAGCCTGCCGTCAGGACGTGACTGGTATCATTCTGCAAACTGGTCCCTGTACTGGTCTAACGGTGCCTAAAGCAGCAGAGGAAGGTCCTGAGTGAAGCTAAACTTAAGCTAACTATGCAGCCATGGCAGCGCGGCCGGAGGCGCGAACGCAAAGCGAAGCTCTGAAACACACAAGCATGCGGAGACGTTAACGCCGTCGTCCGTTGGCTCAATGTGACCCTCCGTCACAGACGTGAACACATACATGGAGAAGGGAGCCGCCCCTCTCTGAGACCTACCCTCTGAGTCCTTCAGCACTAGAAAGAGACGGCGAGAAGAAGAGCGTTATTCCAAAGTCACAGAGAGCCGCCGGTTAGGATTATCCCGCCGCTCTGAGGCCAGAGCATCACTTACACGTCCGCTCGGTTCCCATCAGGTCCTCGCTCTCGGACTCGTCTGGATAGATTGCCGTGATGGTCACTAAGTACTCCGTGTCCGGGTCCAGGTTCTCGATAACGTAGGAGTTCTCATCGCTGTTCAGAATTTCCTGTGGAGAGAAAAGCAGAACGCTCTAAAAGACCAGCCACAAATATTCAAAAGAAAAGATTTTCTAGCTTTTGTTAGAGGAAAGTTGTAGGAGCTCGGAGCCTTGGTCTGAACTTACATTCAGAAAGTTCCCCTCTCCCTGCTTGGTCCATGAGATCCGGTAGAGGGCCACATCTGGAGCGCCGTGTTCCCAGGTGGCTCTGAACGAGGTCTGGGTCGTCTCGGAGAACCGGAGGTTCTTGGGAGCAGGAACGACGTCTGTTAACACAGATATGAGGAGGTGAGGACGCACAAAGATGAGACGAAGGCAACAGAAAGATCCCAGAAGAGAGAGAACGGCAAGGATGGATCCTTCAGGAGCGCCTCAGCTCAATCAGAACCTCTAGGTTTCTGTCTGAATGGAGTTTCTGGAAAGGAGCCGAGGAGTTCGGCTGCAGCCCATTGGTCTCATTAAACGTCCTCTAGGAGATCTTGGAAAAACGGTTCCAGCAAGCTATATTTTTGCACATACGCAACCATGCCTCTCCCTTCAGACCACACCTCGAAGCGCGAAATGTGAATTTAATGCCTAAATTCACTGATAATGCCAAAATCTGACGGCAAAACATGTTCGCTTTATCCTGCTGCCTGCAGTTTGGATTACAGACATGAAAAACGCCTTCCAGCCGCCATAGCAAACCGCAAGGAGGTGACTGCGCCATAGGCTGCTGTTGAATGGGATTCCTAGTGACAGAGCTCAGCCGGTCTGAGCGGCCTGAATGGCTCCCACAGGATGGTAATCTGGATGAACTGACTGCACAGATTATGTTTTCAGGAGGACTTTCTCACTTCAGCATAGATTCTAACTACTTTTTACCCGCTGATCACAGCAAATATAGCTGCTATTGTTCCCGGCAAAGAAAGGATAGGGTAGCTCCGCCCACCGCGCATCAGAACCACTTTCCAGTAAAGATGCTTCAGCCGCTGTCAGAACTAAACTTGTACAAGCATAAAAAATGAAGCAGCGCGCGCGTTCTTGCTGCTTCTGCTGCTTTAGGTGTGGATAAGGTGACCAGACGTCCTCTTTTTCCTGGACATGTCCTACTTTTCATACCTAAAAAAAAGTCTGGGGGGATTACAAAATCGTCCGAGATTTTGGTCGACTACGGATTAGCAGAACCGAGCCGTCAACTCCAGGGCCGGGGACAGAACGACCGAACCCGACCCGGTAAGGTATGCTTCCTCCCGCCTGCAGGAAGCACGGGGCCGCCGGTGTCCAGGCTACTCTCACCGGGTCGGGTCCGGTCTCTCTGTCCCCGGCCGGCACTCAGCGGACAGCACAAACAGGCTACTGCGGGTACTATTTAATGACGATGCCAGTTGAGGACCTGTGTGGCGTCTCTTTCTCAAACTAGAGACTCTAATGTACTTATCTTCTTGCTCAGTTGTGCAACGCGGCCTCCCACTTCTTTTTCTACTCTGGTTAGAGCCGGTTTGTGCTGTCCTCTGAAGGGAGTAGTACACACCATTGTAGGAAATCTTCAATTTCTTAGCAATTTCTCGCATGGAATAGCCTTCATTTCTAAGAACAAGAATAGACTGTCGAGTTTCAGATGAAAGTTCTCTTTTTCTGGCCATTTTGAGCGTTTAATTGACCCCACAGATGTGATGCTCCAGAAACTCAATCTGCTCAAAGGAAGGTCAGTTTTGTAGCTTCTGTAACGAGCTAAACTGTTTTCAGATGTGTGAACATGATTGCACAAGGGTTTTCTAATCATCAATTAGCCTTCTGAGCCAATGAGCAAACACATTGTACCATTAGAACACTGGAGTGATAGCTGCTGGAAATGGGCCTCTATACACCTATGTAGATATTGCACCAAAAACCAGACATTTGCAGCTAGAATAGTGATTTTAACTATGCCAATTAAGGCCTTCATTAAAAAAATATATAATTTAACGACTTTTAATGATTTTTAATGACCCCCAGAAGCCTTGTACACCCGATTCAGACCTGTGATGGCGGTTCCGAGCATCGGGGTTCCAGGTCCTTCATCGTAGATGGGAGTGACGGCCACGTCATACTCGGTCTGCGAGAGCAGGCTCTTCAGCTGCAGGGTGGTGATGTCTCCGTTAACTTCGACCTGCAGGAGACACAGTTACTGATCAGCTGAGCTGCTTCTGCTCCGCCTTCATGTAGAGGAAGAAGACCCATCTCACCCGTTCACGATAGAGACACTCAACCCGACCCAGAGTAGAACAAGCTTTACAAAAACCAGCACTAAGCATTGAAACTAAGTTTAAATGAGAGGAAAAGCTGTCGAGGTCCAAAAAAAACAACCCTCTGAGGATCCTCGGAAGTCCGGAGAACTTTAGAGGAGAACGGCTTTAGAAGATGTTGGAAAGTAAGTTCTGGAGATCAGTGTTGGTCCAGAGTTTTTAGCCAGTTTGCAGTGGAATAAGAAGGTTCTGGAAGCAGCTCCCTGGTGTCGGCATCGTAGACCGTCCATCCAGGAGGAAAAGGTTATCAAAACCAGACCTCCTGGTACAGTAGAGTGTTCCTGCCATTGCAGCCAACCCACACTGCAGAGAAGGTTCTGGAAAGTAGAGACCATCTCTCCCAACTGGTCTGACTGGGTTCTACTGGTCCAAAGGACAGGAGGACTGGCCTCGTGAGACCATCCTGATCTCGCGAGCTTTCAAGGTTTCACTCGCAGATCAGTCTGGAGACTCTCCGTTGAAGAAAATTTGGAGCCGTTCACCAAACGAACGTCCAATCAGCGTTAGCTTTGAGGCGGGTTGAGGTGTGACGCAAGAGAAGCTCGACAGTTCAGTCTAAAGAACATGGCGGCTTCAGCCGATGAAACTAGCGTTAGCGTGGCTATCGAGCAAGTTTTATGGGAATTACAGAGTATTTCTTCACTGAAAGAAGAGCAAAACACTGCTCTGGAGGCTTTTCTCAGAGGAAAAGATGTTTTTGCTCTTCTCCCGACTGGTTTCGGCAAGAGTTTGATCTAACAAATGGCTCCTCTTTGTCGTCGCTCTGTTAGTACGTCATATGCTTCGTTGATCTGATTGGTTTATTTGGCCCGTCTATCACCAACATAGGCCAATCAGCTAACCAGTATTTTCGCCCCTTCCCAAAATTACTTCAACGGAAGGTTTCCAGATGGATATGCGGAGCAAAACCATCTGGCGGAGTCAGGTTACGGGACGGCTGGACTCTCCTTTAATAGCTTCCTAGAACCTCTCTGGGCTTAAGTCATGTCCTACAATGTTATTTCTCTGGACCCGGAACATTCTAGAATCTGAAAGCAGAATCATGAAGTCCAGTTTAGGTTCGGTTTATATCGCCTTTGAGAGAGAAATCTGAGAGCCATCAGCCATCTTAAAACTGCCTTTGGAGCAGAGAGGGTTCTCCATCCGGACCGGTCCTTACCTCCTTCAGTTCTCCTTCCTCAGGCTTGTAGGTGATGATGTATTTGCGGACCGCTCCAGGAGCAGCGTCCCAGTTGAGCATCATGGTGCTGTGGGTCACATCTCTGATCCTCAGCACTCCAGCAGGGGGCAGCGGCACTGACGGGAGACAACAGGACAAAGATCAGCTCCTCAAACTATAGAAACTGGAGCTGGAATAGTTCCCCAGTAAAGAGGAGCTTGTTCAGAGGACCCGGCCTACGTACAGGTGACCCCTCGACCCTCCAGGGCGTCGCTGGTTGATTCTCCGTGTAAAGCGAAGAGTCTGATGTTGTACTCGGTGTTGGGGATGAGCTGCACCAGCTGGGTGTTCGTCACGTCTCCTGCAACCCGTTCCTGCAGAGAGCAGAGACAACGATCTGTAGATACGGAGCGTGCTCTGATGTGATGGGAAAATTATCCTTCTGCAGAACATTAGGACAAAAAACTAGCGTTAATCACAGAGAAAGCGTAAAAGTCTTTTTCAGACTCCAAACATAAGGAGAATTTATCTCTCTAAACAAACCGTTTGTCGTTTTCCTGAGTAGCTACGTTTTCATGCATAAAATCGCCCCGATCCGATCTAAATCCTGGCAGATCGGAGATTCAAAATCTCTGTATCCATGGAAACTAAATAAAAGGATTCAATAATGAGGTGTGGATAAACCTTCCGCCACAACAATCCCGCCCCCTTGATAATCGACCAATCACATTCACTCTATTCACTCGCGTAAAGTCGGGCACCAATCGGGAGAATTCGGAAATGCAACGGTTGGAACAGCTGCTTTCCTACAACTTTAAGGTTATTCCTTTTCAACCAGGCCAACAATTCCCTTTAACGACCCCCCTTTCAGAGACATAGACAGGTACGGGTCCAAAGGGGGGGACCCGTTCATCCGTTTCTATCTGCATGTTTTCTAAACTAAAACCAGGCTTTGTTGGGCTGCTGGATAAAACCTGGAACTAAACGCTATTTCTGACATTTTGGATTGAAAAATCTTCCTGGATGGAAGAGAAACGTCTTCAAACTCGGAAACAAAGTCCAGTGGATTGATTTAAAAGTTTAAAGTCTAGTTTATGTCGGCCTCTCCCTCATCTACTGTTCCTAACTAGTATAAAAAAGCTGGAGTCTGTTAATAAAATGGGAAATAATCAGTTAATACTTAATCTGAACCTGAAGGTACTAAACTAAAGCTGTCCTTTTTATAGCAGCAGTGTGTGTCAGGGTGCCGGCAGCCAACTACAGCTGGATGTTCAGCTGCATAAACTCTTATTCAGCCTTTTGGGAGAGTCTGAACCTAACCCAGAAAAAAGAAAAGAAAAAAACAACCTGGGGGGAACCATAACTTAGCAAAGGAGACGAAACGCAGCGTTGGGAAATCACAGAACAGGCAGTAAAGCAACAAACTGCCAACCAGAAGATTTCATCAGGACATCACAGCAGCTGGATCCAGAGGAAGAGTTGATTCTTTCCCCCAAACTCAGGAGTAAAACACAAAGCAACCAAACAACCTCAACAAAGGACCCTTCAATAATCAGTCCTGATGCAAGCTGGACGCTCCAAGGTGGTTCGGTTCATTTCAGTTTATTTCTATGGCGCCAATTCACCACAAACGTCATCTCAGGTCACTTTACAGAAACAACTCAACCAGATCACGGGCTGTTTAATCTCTACCTCCACTTACCCAGTAACTAAGCAAAAATCATGCGTTAGAGATTGAACTAACAGATTCTGCAGAGTGGGAGAATAGAGATAGAATGAAGCAGAATGATGAAAAAGGGGTTCCTATGTCCTCCAGCAGTCTAAGGCTATAGCAGCATAACTATAGAGATAGCTCAGGATAAGCTAAGTATTTTGGATGAGGTATAGAAGAGGTAGAGCCAATGAGAAATGTTTATCCACATTAATGTTCTCCCCGTTGGAAGAATTTATTATGAACATTAAAAGAAGAGTCAGAATCAGCAAAGTCAGATAACTTAGAACTACATGTTCTGTTGCGTGTCTTTTGGATTTTCTTTGCGGATTTGACAAACGTCCAGTTTGGGTATCCACAGGGTTGGAGAGCTTCCAACATGATTTACATACACATATATAATGAGTATAAGGGTTGCATAAGTTAGTGGGAACTGGTCGTGAGAGGTGAATAGTAGAACACGGAAATCACAAGGTTATGAGTTTGATTCCAGTCTGCCCCAGACCGCAAAGCAAAGGGTCCTGGAAACTGATGACATTGTTCGATATGAGGTTTGAAACAAACTGTCTACAAGAAATGTCTTAATGTTCTGCAGATAAAGCCAAAAAAAAAAAGAATCAACAGGGATGGAAACCTGTGGAACACTATGAGAACAAAAGGGGCTCCAGAGCAGAACCTTGTGGAACGCCTTAGAAAATAAACAAAATCCAATCCAATCCAATCCACTTTATTTATATAGCACGGTTTAAATAAACACAAGGTTTCCAAAAAAATGCCATAGATGTTTCCTCGACACATCTATGGAGATTTTCCACAAAGCAGCGCCAGATTCACCTAAACCTTAGGAAACGGCACAGAAGGACACTCGTTTCAACCTCCCACCTCTGATGCCACACAGGACACAACTTCAGAGCCTCAAGCTTCAGTTCCAGATGTTCCGATAGACCAGAGGTCACGGATTAGCGGACCGCGCTCCAGATCTGGACACAACCTGATTTAAAACATTTGTAAATGTTGTAAATTACACTTCACTTGCACCTCTTCTCCTGTTAATACGGTAAAGCCCTGGGGAGCGTCCGGCTCCAGGCTGCACGTGATCCAAATGAGCCAATGAGCTGTCAGTCTGGGTTGCTGCTGCTGCTACTTTTAGACACAGCAGGCAAACCTGTGGCAAGCCGGGCGATGGGAAAGAAGGAGAAGACCATGAGAAAAAGAGAGCAGAGAAAGTGTGGACTGCTGGAAGAACTGCAGTGAACTGGTGAAAGAAAAGTGAAATGGCGTGCTCAAAGATGACCCTGCACATTTAGAGGATGTTTGGCTCAACCTGCTGCTGTGAAGCAGGATTCTCCACCATGAACAGAATCAACAATAAATCTGGATCCAGGCTCAAAATGAGCTCCTTGATATGTGCTTGAGAATGGCTTAGTCTCCGGTTAAACCCAGGTTTAAAGCCTTGCAGGGCAGCCTAAAGCCCACTGCAAACGATCAGTTCAGGTGTTTTACAAAAAAAGCGAGTCAGGAAATTGTCTATATACAGTGGCGGTTCTAGACCAAATGTTCCAGGGGGGCTAGGAGGGGGCCAGCGTGTTTTTATGCGGGCACAGAAAAGCATGAAATAAAAAAACAGGCCAAGGGATTCAAATAAATTAAGATAGCTGCATGAAGTCAAATTTCTATTCAATTAAGTTTCATTAAAATTCTAAATGTCTTAATAGGTAAATATATATTCAGAATTTAGGAAGTTTTACTTTTTTTTTTACTTAATTTAAGTTGAAATTACAGTTTTCTATAAAATCTGAATTAGAATTTAAGAAAAACTGTTAAAATTAGCTGTAAAAAGTAGAGTTTTTTTATTTTTTTTTTACATTTGTTTTGAAAAAAAAAACATTTAGCAGATGAAAACAGGGATCCTATCTCAATACCACTTATATGTTTTTAAACAGTTAATAAAACAGAATTTGTAAAGAAAAAATGAAATAGATCCAAAGGATTTATCAGTAATCATGTCTGTTTCAGCGCAGATCATCATTACAATTTATTTGAGTCTTATGTCTTCAGTACAGGAGCCATAACAGGGGCCAGGACTTGATGTACAGGGGCACTGGCCCTGGTTTACCCCGTGTCTATATACCTATATACTTTAGATTTTAAAATGGAAGCATTTTTTTTTTTTTTTAAACACCTCATTTTATTTAAAGTAATTGATTATAACTAGAGATGCAGGATATTGGGATTTTGGCCGATATCCGATATGCCGATATTTTAAAACTCATGTAGCCGATAACCGATATTGATACCGATGTTAAAGCTGGACAAAAATAAGTAGTCATTGAAAATAGCAGTTTTGTTATCCATTTCTGACACTTTGAAAAATAATATACTCAAATATATTTTCATATGCTGATATCAAATTGATTTTTAAAAACGCGGTATCGATCTATTTTACTTTCAAAATCTGGTGAAATTTCATCGTTCTGTTAGAAACTCTCGTGATATTTTGCAAATTCTTGTGAGATTTTGTTAGTAAAATAGATCGATACCGCGTCAATATATCAACATATAAAAATATGGCAACATTTGGTGAATTTTCGGGGGATTTCGTAGCATAACGATGACATATAGCAATATTTCATTAGTAAAAGAGATTGATATGGTGTTTTTAAATGGCAATATATCAGCATATGAAGATATTGGGATATTTTAATGGATCAATATTTTTTCCCTCGTCTTTAGAAGTTTTTAAGTCTGTAAAAAATAAGTTTTTGAGGAAGAAGAAGTAGTATTTTTTTTTTTTTTTTTTTAGACTTTAGAAACTCAGAAGCTGATCAAATATCGGGTTAAATATCGGTGGGGGGGCCGATGTCCGATATTCAGTTTTAAGGCCGATACCGATAGGGGGCCGATTATATCGTGCATCCCTAATTATAATTATAAGTAAAAATGTCTCCAGACCTTTACTGATTTTTAATCGGCTCCCCCTGAGTTAGACTTTACCTCCTGCATCAGCTGCGGCTCCGAGGCGTTGATGGATCTGTACAGCAGCAGGTATCCCGTAGCTCCAGCCGCCGCCTCCCATCTCACCCTCATGGTGCTGGAGGTCTCATCGTATACGTTCAGGTTTGTGGCAGCAGGCAGCGGCACTGAGGGAACACAAACCAGATTTAAACACATTTTGGAACAAGTTCTACTTTCTGAAAAAAATCAGGCTAAAATTTGGTAAAGCTATACAGAGCATAGAAACACACTGCAAAAAAATGAAATCTAAATGATTAATTTTTTCTTAAAATAGGTGCATTTTTTCTTTAATTAAGGATTTAAGTGAGGAACTTTGCCAATAGAACAAGACAATTTACACTTAAAAACAGAAAAAAAAACAATTGCATTGTCTTATTTCAAGTGCATAATATCTAGATACCTTATTTTAAGAGTAAAAATACTCATTCCATTGGCAAATCATCTTATTTACCTGCTCAAATTAATGGTGAATCCCCTTAATTTAAGAAATTTTTACTAATTTGGAGATAATTTTTGCAGTGCACTGATCAACCTGCTCTCTTTATTAAGGTAAAACCTTTCATATGATGAAAGGCGCGGGAAGTGATTAAAGCTCCTTAAAGAAGCCCCCGCTCTGCTGCAGGAGGAGGCAGAGAGCAGCGACAGCAGAGAACCCCCCCTGAAAATAATCAATACCAATCCTACATCTTTAAAACTTTTTGTGTTTCCACAGAATTAATTCTAGAAGCTACTCCCTGTACTTTACTATTTAAATTCCCATCATGCTTTTCCCACATTTTACAACTTCTTTCTTTTTTTCTTTTTTTGCATTTTGGCAGTAGAGGCTCGTTTTTTGACAGGAGAGCAGGGGAGAGACATGCAGCAAAGGACCAGAGGCCAGATTCAAACCCGGGTCGGGGGCGACTAGGACTAACGCCTCGTCACATGGGTCATGCTTGCTAACCACTGCTCCACCCGCACGCCCCAAACTCTGGAAGTTTCTTAAACATGCAGGCCAAGTTTACAGTCTGACACTATAGACAGTGGCAGCTGGCCAATAGAGGGCGCTAGGGCGCCACCCCACCCACTTAATGACCAGTCTTATTTTTTTTTAAATAAGTGCATTTGTTCTTGGATTGAGGAGGTAAAAGAGACATTTTGCCAATGGAACAAGATAATTTACACTTAAAATAAGAAAACACAATTGCATTGTCATATTTCAAGTAGATATTATCTAATTATCTTATTTTAAGAGTAGAAATACTCATTCCATTGGCAAACTATCTCATTTACCTACTCAGATTAAGGGTAAATACACTTAATCTAAGACATTTTTACTTATTTCTAGATCGTTTTTCCAGTGCTTGATTCAATTAAATTATAAAATAATAACGTCCTAAAATGTATTTATATATATATATATTTTTTAGATGAGCAAGATAAATATTTTATCTTTAATGACAAGTAGATTTTACATAGCGGCTGACTACCGCTATGTAATATCCTGCAAACAGGAAGCCTGGCTTTATACACTGGAAAAACGATCTAGAAATAATAAAAATTTTCTCAAATTAATGCATTTACCCTTAATCTAAGTCTGTAAATGAGATAGTTTGCCAATGGAATGAGTATTTTTACTCTTAAAATAAGATATTTAGATAAAATGCACTTGAAATAAGACAATGCAATTGTGTTTTCTTATTTTAAATGTAAATTGTCTTGTTCCATTGGCAAAATGTCTCTTTTATCTCCTCAATCCAAGAACAAATGCACCTATTTTAAGAAAAAATGAATTCTCTAGATTTTGATTTTTTTCCAGTGTATCCCAGCCAGTCTGGGTCCTTACACTGGAAAAACGACCTAGAAATAAGTAACATTTTCTTAAATTAAGTGTATTTACCCTTAATTTGAGCAGGTAAATGAGGTAGTTAGCCAATGGAATGAGTCATTTTATTCTTAAAACAAGATAATTAGATAACATGCACTTGAAATTAGACAATGCAATTGTGTTTTCTTATTTTAAGTGTAAATTGTCTTGTTCGATTGGCAAAATGTCTATTTTACCTCCTCAATCCAAGAACTAATGCACTTATTTTAGGAAAAAATGACTTATCTAGATTTTGTTTTTTCCCGCTTTGGGGGAGTGGCGGCCTCACACTACAAAAACGATCTAGAAATAAGTAAATATTTCTTAAATTAAGTGTATTTATCCTTATTTTAAGTAGGTAAATGAGGTAGTTTGCCAATGGAAGTGGACTTGAAATAAGACAACGCAATTGTGTTTTCTTATTTTAAATGTAAATTGTCTTGTTCGATTGGGAAAATGTCTCTTTTATCTTCTCAATTCAAGAACAAATGCACTTATTTCAAGAAAAGATTACTTATCTAGATTTCCATTTTTTCCAGTGCATGGTTAGGGCATTGTGCGTGGAATCCTAAGGTTCTGAGTTCAAGCCCCCCTCCTACGGACTACAATGGGTCTCTGAGCAAGACCTTAACCCCACACTGCCGCACAATGGCAGCCCACTGCTCCCCAGGGGGATGGGTTAAACGCAGAGAGTGAAGCTTTTTAGTTTTTTTTGTCGGATTTGTGTCATATTTCCAGCCTAGGGTGCAAAAATCTTGTTAAAAGTTGCACATGTGCAGGAGGTGCTCTGCAATACAGAAGTACAGGAGAACTCTGGGTGCACCGAAGCTATGCCCTGAGGAGACAGGAACTGTCATGGTTTTGGTTCTGTTTAAGTTTTATCTTTGAGTTTTCATTAGTTTTACTTTCTTTTTGTGTTATTCTAGTTATTTACGATTGTATTTGAGTTCTTGGGTATTTCTTGTTTGCCCTCTGTTACCCTCTCCTGTCAGTCTCCTCTTCCTAGCTCCCTTCTAGTCCCCTCTGTTCACACCTGCTCCCAATCTGATCCCAATCTGCTGATTGCCCCCTTATTGTGAGTATTCCTGGTTCGCAGTTTTTGTGGATTTTTTGGGATTTATGCTTTTGAATTTTGCTTCTTTTTCCCTTTTTGTTATTAAATCTGCAAGTAGCCACCTCCTGTCAAACCTCCACCCAACTTCAACCATTCTTTCCATCTGTTAACTGAAACCTTCTCGGTAAAGTTAGATGAAATTTGGAAATGAGGATAACAGAAGAAAGAAATGAGCAAATGAAAGGAGCTGCTTCTGATGGTTTTAATTAATCTGACTGCTGCATCAGTCTGAGGAAGAGGAGGGGGGGACACTCACAGGTGGTCTCGGTTCCCCTCAGAGGCTCGGTGCTGACCTCATCCACCACGGCAAAAACATTGACCACGTACTCCGTCAGCGGGTTCAGGTTTTCCAGTACGACGGTGTTGACCTCCCCGTCGACCAGTACCTGAAAGGGGGCAGACTGGTTACCACAGTAAAATTAAAAGGTCAGACAATTGGATTTGAGGTGCCTGATGAGGGTTGATCTCTAGTCAGAAAAGCTTTTATATATCTGAAGATTTCAGCCTCAGATTCACATCTGGGCCAGAGAGAGAAAACAGACACTGGAGGTTTCTGGTTCCACTTGGAAAACTGGAGCTGACTGTTTGATCTGTTCCCAGAGACGGCGTGGACCGACCGTCATCAGCGGATGATTAAAACGCATGAGAAGCAAACATCTATGCATCCCTGCCATGCATGGTGCTGGAACATCTGAACACCAACAAGCAGAACAATCAGAATATGAGAAACGTTCACGTTTGCAATCAGCGCAGCTCCACCTGTTCGTGATGAAAGTTGATTCAAATCAGATCTGAGCTCATTTTATCTTGATTGTTGAGGAAGAGTTTTTACTTATGTCAGAAAAATGTCTTGTGAAACCTTTTTCTGACCATTTGACTGGTAGAAGAAAACTGTCCATTTTACATTCTGTATCAGTCAGCTCCATGGATGCTGGATTTTCTTTTACTTGCTCTCCGTCATGCACTGTTACATAATCTCTATGTGCCAAGGAATGTTTAGCAATGTGTGTTCTTGTTCATGTTTTTTTAAAAAGCAAATAAACATAAATAAAAAAATAAAAAAAATTCTTTTTTTTTGACATTTTTTTAATTTTTATTTCGTGAGACCATTACAATATCATGGTAGTTACTTTCAGGGAGCGTCCAATGTTACTACCGCCACTCACAATTATTTTTTGTGTGTACAAAATTATAGACAAAATATACAAAGTCAAGTAAATTAAATCTAACAACTTTGAACAAACAAAAATAAACGATATACCAGGCAGTTCTGAAATAAAGTTTGAGAGATACATTAATATATCAAACGTTAGATGCTACAGAACATCTAAGATGCCACTTTGGGCAAGTGACTTTCACATTTCAGTTGCCCAGAAACAATTTTTACTTGCCCAGAATAATGTTTGATAAATATAGTTCCTAATATTCATTTTTGTATATATATCAATGAAACATGTTTGTTTTCTAAATGTTTTTTGTAATTCAGTATTTTTTAAGTTTCCAGGTTCCTGGTGTGTATCTGCATGCGTCAGATAATGAACTCAAGCCTACATTACCGTGTTAACATGCTTTTCGATCCTTCCTGCAAATTCTTTTCAAACTAAACTTTGCTTTAAACTTTTGTGTGCTTGGAAAAATATAAATTGTAATGTTAAAATTCTAAAAAAAACTTGGCAGGTTAAAAACTTAAGATCAATCACAAGACAGAAGTCAGAATCCCAGGGTACTTTCCTGGAACTTAGATGGTCTGTTTCTAAACTTCATCTGTAGCTTTATAAACCTCATGGAAACTCAATTCCCAGACCTGAAGAGTATTTAGTCCTTCAGGTCTTACCGCTTCATTTTCAGCATTTTGACAACATTTTCCCAAAAGCTTGCAAAATTTACAACATTCCTATCTGAAAGTAATTTTGAGGAATATTCTAAAACGTATGAAAATGGCACTGTCTGGAATTTTCAGTAAACTGACGATTTTTAAAGGTAAAATCTAGAATTTTCCTATTTAAATTCCTTTAATACTTTCTCACAATTTACACCTTCTGGAACTTCTTAAACTTACTGGGCAAGTTTACAGTCTGAATCCTCAGGTTACTTTCCTCAAAAGTTTCCTAACTGAGGACATGTTTTCTGAGAACGTACTTTCTAAAACTTTCAGAATAATTCCTGTAGCTGTCTAGAACTTATAGACCTCAGTGGCAGAATTTCGAAGGAACTTTCTAGAATCGTAAGTCATTGTGGTGAATTTTAGAGGTTGATTCCTTTTTCTTTCTAATTAAATTCCTGTAACACTTATTCCACAAGTCACACATTCTGGTACTTTCTAGAACTTAAGGGCAAGATAATTATTTGAAACTTGCAGCTTCTCTTCAGGGAACTTCTTGATACTTCTTGTAACTATAAAATTCTGGGGTTACTTTCTAGGACCTCTAGCTAATCATGGCAAATTCTAGACATTAATTTCAGTCTTAAGTTCTATATTTTTCACGCAATTAATGCCTTCTGGTACTTTCTAGAACTTAAGGGCAAGATTACAATTTAAAACTTCCAGCCTCTTTTCAGGGAACTTCTTAAAACTTCTTGTAACTATAAAATTCTGGGGTTACTTTCTAGAACCTCTAGCAAATAATGGCAAATTCTTGACATTAATTTCAGTCTATTTCAGTTCTATATTTTTCCCGCAATTAATGCCTTTTGGTACTTTCTAGAACTTAAGGGCAAGATAATTATTTGAAACTTCCAGCCTCTTTTCAGGGAACTTCTTAATTTTCCTGTAACTATAAAATTCTGGGGTTACTTTCTAGAACCTCTAGGTAATCATGGCAAATTCTAGACATTCATTTCAGTCTTAAGTTCTATATTTTTCCCGCAATTAATGCCTTTTGATACTTTCTAGAACTTAAGGGCAAGATAATTATTTGAAACTTCCAGCCTCTTTTCAGGGAACTTCTTAATTTTCCTGTAACTATAAAATTCTGGGGTTACTTTCTAGAACATCTAGGTAATCATGGCAAATTCTAGACATTAATTTCAGTCTTAAGTTCTATATTTTTCCCGCAATTAATGCCTTCTGGTACTTTCTAGAACTTAAGGGCAAGATTATAATTTCAAACTTCCAGCCTCTTTTCAGGGAACTTAAAACTTCTTGTAACTATAAAATTCTGGGGTTACTTTTTAGAACCTCTAGCAAATAATGGCAAATTCTTGACATTAATTTCAGTCTTAAGTTCTATATTTTTCCTGCAATTAATGCCTTCGGGTACTTTCTAGAACTTAAGGGCAAGATTATTATTTGAAACTTCCAGCCTCTCTTCAGGGAACTTCTTAAAACTTCTTGTAACTATAAAATTCTGGGGTTACTTTCTAAAACCTCAACCTCAATCATGGCAAATTCTAGACATTAATTCCAGTCTTAAGTTCTATATTTTTCCTGCAATTAATGCCTTCTGGTACTTTCTAGAACTTAAGGGCAAATTTCATATCTGTAATTCTAAGATTACTTTCCTTAAAACCTCTTACATCAATGTATTTTCTGGATATTTTGTTTTTTTTTGGAAATTTTAACATAATTTTAGAAACTGTCTAAAACTTTCTTGTCTCAGTTCCAGAATTATGGAGGTGCTTTCTGGAACTTTCGCGTTACTATTTTGAGCATGGAAGGTAATCCCTTTTTGGGAAAAACACTGTTGGATGGATTAACTGTAGCGTAAGCAAGCTGAACTCTGACGTCGCGTCTTTTCTCATTCTTACAGCTGCTCCAGGATTAAACTGGACCAGCACCACACAGAGTAACGGGTCAACCTTTAACTCACCTCTAGGGTGGGTCCTCCAGCCGCCATCATGTACGTGACCCGGTACAGGTCCACAGGAATTCCCGGAGGGGTCCAGGTGGCTCTGAAGGAGTAGTGGGTCACTTCTGATGTCACCAGGTTGGTGGGCGGGCCTATCTCAGCCTCTGAAACCCAGAATAAGACGGGCCGGTTCAGATCTTGTACCATAGATGAATGAACTAGAAAGACATTCTGAAACCTGGAAGGAGGAGCTATTCCCTCTGAGATGAAAGCCCCTCTTAATTTTCCCAGATTCAAACTACATACTGTATCATGATTTTGTTGCTGATGGCTAGCTTGATTGCTAATTTCCTTCACCTGTCTAGCTCTCCCCTGTTCCTCATCAGATCCACCTGTTCCGGTTTCCTATTTAAGCTCCCCGTGTCCCAGCCATCGGTGCCAGATTATTCTTGAGCCTTTAGTGTTGAGAGTTCCCTAGCGTTGCTATCGTATTCCGATTGTCTGGTCCTGATCTGTTTCTGTATTTGGACCTTTGAGCCTGACTGCCCGCGTCCGATTAGTTTGCCTGGCCTGTCTTCGGACTCCTGTTGGATTCTTCTGTTACTGAACCTAGATATGCGTCTTGACTTCACCCTGTGGATTATCTTGTCATCCTTCGTCAGCTCGTATCTGATCTTCTGACGCAGGGGCTTTCTGCCGCAAGGCACTTGTCCAGCTGATATTATACTCGTTCTTAGAGCACGGACCGAACTGTCAAACCAGGTTAGTGACTCTGGCGTTCATAATCATCCTCTGTGTGATTTTTGCAGTCATTAACCTTTTTCTCTCTAGCCTGACGTAGTCCGACTCAATTCTAGTCAGAATGAGTCTGATACTGCTCCATAGAGATGTGATTATGGGGCGTGTTTTGAACGAACCAGGAAAAAAATGCCTCTACACTCAATTGGATAGACCTACAACCAATAAGAGCAACGGAGTGCGTGACGTATGAGGGGGAGCCAGCTGATAAATTAAACTTTTGCAGAATCCCGTAGGAAGGACGCCAAAAACATCTTTCTTTTCAAAAAATGCCTTGATCGCGTTTCTCTGTTCCTCTTTTAAAATTAATTTGCTGTCGATATCTTCTAGAACAGACCTAATAGCAGAATCTACTCACCTCAACTCTCCAGCGGCAGCCATTGTTGTTGTCACCCAAGCGCGCTTTGGTCACGTGGTTGATTACGTTACTGTTGATCATCTGTCCATCATCGTATAAAGCCCGCCCTGACAATTTGATTGGCCCCTCCAGATATTGTGCGATCATACTCGCGCTACTATTGAACAATGCCAGACCGAACTTCCCGACCTCAAACCTTGTGGGCGGGACTAAGTTCAGAATGGCACCCAGGCTAGTTTCTCTCCAATAGACGTTCCTGCATCAGACTCCCCAGGCCGCAGCCCGCTCTGTTTTTATTCAATAAACGCCTTTTTAAATATTCCACTGTCTGTCTTGACCTGAGCTTATTACAATAAACCCTAAAACGGGTCATCAGTTCCACATATATTTTTAAAACCCCAAAGTAAGACCTAGAGGATAGGAAAGTGTTAGATTTAGCTAGCTAGAGCTCCATTGGCTGTATTGATAAAATGTCAGAGGGAGGTGAACACTGGAAAACGGATCTAAAAATAAGTAGAAATGTCTTAAATTAAGTGTATTTACGCTTAATTTGAGTAGGTAAATTAGATAGTTAGCCAATGGAATGAGTATTTTTGCTCTTAAAATAAGAAATTTAGATAAAATGCACTTGAAATAAGACAATGCAATTGTGTTTTCTTATTGTAACTGTAAATTGTCTTGTTTCCCTTTGGCAAAATGTCTCTTTTACCTACTAAATCCAAGAACAAATACACTTATAATAAGAAAAAACAACTTATCTAGATTTTGATTTTTTTCCAGTGAAGGAGGAGTAGCATGTTAACCTGACTCCACCAGATGGATTTGCTCCGCATATCCATCTGGAAACCTTCCGTTGAAGTAATTTTGGGAAGGGGCGAAAATACCGGTTAGCTGATTGGCCTATGTTGGTGATAGACGGGCCAAATAAACCAATCAGATCAACGAAGCATATGATGTACTAACAGAGCGACGATGAAGAGGAGCCAATTGATAGATCAAACTCTTGCCGAAACCAGTCGGGAGAAGAGCAAAAACATCTTTTCCTCTGAGAAAAGCCTCCAGATCAGTGTTTTGCTCTTCTTTCAGTGAAGAAATACTCTGTAATTCCCATAAAACTTGCTCGATAGCCACGCTAACGCTAGTTTCATCCGCTGAAGCCGCCATGTTCTTTAGACTGAACTGTCGCGCTTCTCGTTGCGTCACACCTCAACCCGCCTCAAAGCCAACGCTGATTGGACGTTCGTTTGGTGAACGGCTCCAAATTTTCTTTAACGGAGAGTCTCCAGACTGATTAGCGAGATCAGGATGGTCTCACGAGGCTAGTAGCACGTAGCCTTGAAAGCGAAACGTATGCCTACATTTCTCATACTCATTACATAATTCCTGCCTAATGTTCATTTTTTTTGTTCCAGTCCATTAGGGTAGTATTCTACCTCAGCTGCCAATTAATACATTTCTGTTTTAACTCTACTCTGTTTCTGTTTCTCTTTTGAAAAACAATCAGCTTTGCTTTCAGTCTGTGCTTAAGATGTGAGTCTACGTCTCGTCTTCAAGTTTTTTCTGCGCATCTCTGTCCGTACCATTTTATGTACCCTGGCATAGAAGTTTGCAAGAATCTCCAAAAATCTGTTGTTTATATTAAGCGGTTCTGTTGTGTCGCTTACACGTAAGAAAATCTACTTCATTTATTTGAAGCAGCTGCAGTCAGAAATATTTAGTCCTGATTATTTAAAAAGTTAATTGTATAAAATGCGCTTTGCTAAGCTGTCTCACCCCAATTCATTTCAATTCAGTTTTTTTCTATAGCGCCGATTCACAACACGTCATTTCAGGAACTTTACAGAGACATGACTCTGGGAAAAATCGAAATCTAGATCAGTCATTATTTCTTAAAATAAGTGCATTTGTTCTTGGATTGAGGAGGAAAAAGAGACGTTTCGCCAATGAAACAAGACAATTTACATTTTAAATAAGAAAACACAATTGCATTGTCTTATTTCAATTGCATGTTATCTAATTATCTTATTTTAAGAGTAAAAATACTCATTCCATTGGCAAACTATCTCATTTACCTACTCAAATTAAGGGTAAATACACGTAATTTAAGACAGTTTTACTCATTTCTATATCGTCTTTCCAGTGAAAACCAGCTGATTGCTTCCAGTCATTGACTTGCAAGACATGCTCCCTCTGGATGATCCTGCAGCAACGACCTTTGCTTGCATATTATAGGTCATTCTTCAGCAATCCCTCACACTAAGCATGTTTGCGGCAACAGTGGAGAGGAAAACTCCCTTTGAACAGGAAGAAACCTCCAGCAGAACCAGGCTCAGTGTGAGCGGCCATCTGCTGAGGCCGACTGGGGTTCAAGGAGACAGAAGCAGACATAGAAAAAGAAGCATAGATACAAAATGGGTCCAACTGACTCCCAAACAGATTCTAAATGTCTGGCTATTTTTACATTAACAACATGAATCCCTTCAAAGTCTGTGACCTCCGAACTGTTGAGCATCTCGGTCGGTCCGCTCCTACCTGAACCACCTTTGACGCTGTTGCACAGGTTGTTGGAGAGTTCGTCCACGATGTCCACCAGGAACTTGAAATCTCCCACGTTGTACATGTGAATCTCATCGGGGTCTGAAGCGATGGACCTCAGCTCGTTCTCGTCGGCGTTCTTCACACCTGAGGGGAAGACGTGCAGTCAGAGCCGTTCCTTTTAAAACGTATTAACAAAACCGGGATGCCTCGGCTCACCGACGGCGTAGAGCTCGATGCCGCTGTCCCTCAGGACCTGGGAGTTCTGGATGATTTCGTCCTGAGACTTTCCGTCCGTGATCAGGACCCCGATCTTCCTGGCGTCGGGTCGCATCCCCTTAGACGCCTGAAAGTTGTTCTGTAGGATGTATTTGAGAGCCATTCCTGTTCAAAGAAAAGAGGAGGAGATAGCTGCTTAACAAGAAAACAAGTAAATGAAAATAAAACCTGCTGGAAGAAGTAAAAACACAGTGGCCCTAATCCTCTTCCGTACCTTTCCGATTCTTGTGTTTAACTCCTTTTAAATTTAAAAGGAGCCTTTAACAGGAAGCATGTCCATATATGGGCATATAATTGACTGTATTTACAGAACTATCAGAAATGTTTATTTCCTGTTGAAGCTTTTAAATATCAACTCAAACCAGGAGCCGCAGATCAGACACGGTTTAAACTGGAAACACTCTGAACGCCAAGCCCCTCCCACAGACTCACCTGTCATGGTGTTTCCTCCCTTATATGGAAGGTTGTTGACGGCATTCAGCAGCGCGTCTCTGGTGGAGTGGGTGTTCAGGTGCCACTCGGTCCTCGGGTCTCCGCTGTACTGAGCCAAAGCTGCAGGAAAATAACAAAAAATCCATTTTGAATGAAAGGTGAGATCTACCAGGTTCCTGGAGCCCATTTAGGACCAGAGAGGTTGAACGGTTAGACGGTGGAAGGTGTTGCCTCCATCTTTATGAACCATGTGACCAGATAGTTGGTCAAAACTCGACTGGATGTTTAATAAAGAACAAGCTGCCGTCTAACGGGGATCTTCTCAGTGTTGGAGAACATCTACAGTCTGAACCGCAGACCTTTGATGTTCGTTTCTCCGTTCATATTAGAGGCGGGGGTGGCGGCGGAAGAGGCTCACCGATCTGCACCTTGTCGGGGCCGATGTCAAACACGCCAACCATGCGGGCGATGAAGTTACGGATGGTTTTGAAGTTGATGCGGCCGATGCTCCAGGAGCCGTCCACCAGCAGCACCATGTCGGCCTTGGCTGAGGTCCTGCACTGAATGTCTGCAGAGAGACGGGGGGGGGGGCGCCAAGACGTTAAGGTTCAACAATGGCAACAGTTACGTTGGATCTCAAAGGTCCACACCCCTCTGATAACATGTCAGGTTTCTGTTCAGAAAGCAGATTACGAAGACCTTTCCTGCAACTTTAATGTGACATTCTTCCCATTTAATAAAGATCCTGATGCTGCGTTGGTGTCTACTCCCCATGAAGCTTCTGATTGATTCTCAGCATTTTCTTCTTTATGTTGTGGTTCTTCAGATCTCTTATCTTCCACTTTGACAGAAACCTCTTTAATCTGGCTGCAAACCCAAAGTTTTTCTTTGGTTTTAAGAGGTTTAGCCATAACGTTTATTTCTGTGCGGTCAAGGTAACGCTACGTTCAGCAAAAACACGCATGCGCGTGCTACGCTTATAGTTCTGACGCGCAGCTGAAGCATCTTCGCTGCTCTAGCTATGCGTAAAAAAGTGGGTGTGATGTGCGTTCGGCGGAGCTACCCTATCCTTTATTTGCCCGGTACAATGGCGGATGAAATCGAGAAACTCCCTTGGCCTATTTTAATGAGTAATGCTACGTCCAGATCTTTTGATTTCCCGTTAGCTTCTGCTAATGGTGTTAGCTTTAGCTAATATAGTAAACTCTAGAATATATATATTTTTTTTTTCTCAGATATCTGATGTATAAAGGCTCATTAAAAACCTGATGATGTGACGCAGTGCGGCATTGTCTAAATCAGACACAATACAACATAAAACAGCAGTGCTAATGTTAGCCTACAGCCTGTTTACGCTGTAGCTTCCAGCGCAGCAGGACGTGCTCAGAGGAGTCAGACAAAATATGATTAAACAATGTTTATCTGCATTTTAGCTGTTTCTTTCTTTAGATTATGCACTATAAGATGAAAGAAAAACATAAAATGCAAAAACACTAGATGTATGTTTAAATCCAAAGCCGAAAAAGTTAGCTCCCGGAATTAGCGTAGGATCAGACGGATTTAATAGCATTTATTTTCTCGGGAAATACTTTATTAAACTTTAAAATATTATATTTTAGTACGTTTACTATTTTTGGGGAGGGAAAAACGTCATTTAGGTTTTTTTAACAAAATAAAAAGGAGGGCGACCCAGATGTATATCTGGATGCGCGCATGAGCTAATGGCGCATGCGCAGGATAAATCCTGCTTCCAGGACAGATCGGGTAGGGACCAGTCCAAGATGTATAACTAGTCATGGATTCCTTTATAGACTGAATCATGACGAGGGATCATTATAAGGGTTTGATTACTTAAAGTCGCTTTTGTTTCTTGTTTTGCTAGTCTGGCTAACTGTAAGGGAATGATGTCACATTAAAAGGTTGGAGATGAAGGGTTCAGGTAACTGTGGTGTGAAGACCAGTGAGATCCACGGTATCAACTCAGTCAGCTCTTTCCATGTGGGAGGAAAGTGTCAGAGAGGAAGAAGAAGAAGAAGAGAATCTCTTGACCAGAACAAGTCATTTTACAGATCATGCTAATAACAGAACGTATAACAGCTGCTGTTGTTTCTCTTGTCGCTGCTGCACATCCAACCCATTGCTCTGTTCAGCTGCCTCCTCCTGCTGCAGCCGTCAGAAGCTGGAAGTTCACCGCTCCTTCAGGCACCTGTGAGGGTGAAAAACATCTGCTCGTCCTGGTCTGCAGGACGGCACGCCCGCTGGATGCCCAGTCATTACAAACACATCCACTTCTCTCCTATTATCCTGCAGAAACAGACGCTTGGTGCTAAACGCGAGCCCCGAACGAAAGACGGAAAGCAGAACACTTTCCCCTGCGGATGATTAAACGTTTCTGAGTTAGAGCAATAAACATCCAGCCCTGTGTGACTCTGGGGTGGCAGCGGGACACAAATCACAGCAGAAATCAGCCGCTCTGCTTGTTATTGTTGCTGGTGGCCAACGGGCTGCTGCAGCCTCAAACCCCAAAAGCCAAACAGCAAAACCTCTGACAGAAACTTGGAGCAGATCCATGCGTCTGAGGGAGCTCTCTCAGGCTCGGTTTGGACCCTCGGATTTAACAGACGGATCCCTTCAACCAGTCGCTTTAAACAACACGTTTCTATGAGTAACATGTTTAATAAGCTTGTAAACACACCCCCTCATAAAGCTTTTCACACCTTTAAATGTTTTTATGTTTTGTCCAGAAGGACAACTCGAAAAAAGGAAGAGGAGTCCTAGAATTTCTACTAGTTTTAGTCTGTGAGGCAGACACCCTGTCTACTTTTAAGGCTAGGCTTAAAACTTTCCTTTTTGATAAAGCTTCTAGTTAGAGTGGCTCAGGTTATCCTGAGCTATCTCTATAGTTCTGCTGCTATAGGCTTAGACTGCTGGAGGACATAGGGACCCCTTTTTCATCATTCTGCTTCATTCTATCTCTATTCTCCCACTCTGCAGAATCTGTTAGTTCAATCTCTAACGTTCTGCTCTCTCTGCTTTTTCTCATAGTAGCTTCATCTGGTCTGTTCCTGTTTGGCTGTGACTCCATCCTGGAGAGAAATATCAGCTGTGCTGCTGCCATCAACACCTTTGTTTCTAGATGTTGGAGCTTGGCCTGTTTTCCAGTGTAGTCCTGTTTCTCTGACTGTGACTAACTGGATGTGCTCTCTTCATCCTCTGACATGGGAGCTGGCTCGGAGCTCGTCTGCCTGGCTGTGTGTTTCCTGGACGGGGCCGCCTGTGGAGCTGGTTGACAGTTGCCTTTTGTATCTATGCTTCTTTTTCTATGTCTGCTTCTGTCTCCTTGAACCCCAGTGGGCCTCAGCAGATGGCCGCTCACACTGAGCCTGGTTCTGCTGGAGGTTTCTTCCTGTTTAAAGGGAGTTTTTCCTCTCCACTGTCGCTACAAGCATGCTTAGTGTGAGGGATTGCTGAAGAGTCAATGAGTCGATGCAATCAGCTGGTTTTCCTTAGATAGAAAACTTTGAATCAATCTGACTGGATGATCTGGTGAACTGGAAAGTGCCATAAGATGACGTGTTGTGAATTGGCGTTATAGAAATAAACTGAATAGAACTGAGTCATGAGTTTTGATACACTCATAAAAAGCTGCAGAAACCACATTTGGCTGCAGGTTTTCCGGAGATGTCTCCACCAGCTTTTAACATCTGCGACGGGTGTTCAGATTGCATTTCCCTCTACGATGTGGACATTACCTAAAGACAGAACATGTGGAAGCGCAACATTTTCCGATTCTGCAGATCTGTGTGCAGCAGCTCACCTTCTGGATGAAATTAAACTCTAACTGCAAACAAAGCTCATTTTTTTCCACCCTTCAGGGAACATAAATCTGGAAATATCTCTTTTTTTTTCAGACTAAAGAAACATTTCGCTGGCAGATCTAAGTTGGTGCTGCTTTCTGGGAGCTAATGGAGGTGTATAGGTTTGTTCCAACTCCTCTAAAGATCAGGATAAAGTTAGGGACAGACTGGTGATGGCCAGCAAATACGTTTATTAAAGGACTTTTTAGCAGTAAACTCCAGAAAGGAGGGAGGTGTGGAGGCCCAGGCCAAGCAGCCCAGAGTAATTTTTTCTAATCACGGTCATCTGCGCCAAGTTTCAATCAGCAATCCCCCAAACGACACTGATATTAATTCCTCTCGACAACGAATAACTCAGCTTCTGGCAGCGGCTGGAGCAAAACTTGGAAATCTAAGCAGCTGCTGCACAGAAACCATGTGAAGCACGAAGCGTCTGCTCTGCAGGAGTGCTCAAAAGAAGCGGTAAGAGGTGAGATCAATCTGTTTTTACCAGAGAGATCCGGAGGCGGAGGTTCGGGAAGTTCGTCCGTTAGTGTCGTCTTCTCCTCCCCGGCAAGAGGAGAGCTGATGCCTCCGTCAAACATCCCAAAAACAGCAACAGAGTACTTTGTTCCTGCCCTGCCGGAAAATCAGAAAAATCTTACTGGTCATTTAAGGCGAAGCTGAACAGCAGCCCACAGAATAATTCTGCCACCATCATACTGTTAGAGTAAATTTGAAAGCCCATCCCAAACTCATAAAAACATCTTTCTAGCTGACCTTTGTCTCGTCTGACCATCAAACATTGCAGTGTATTTTCATTATCAGTTCGTACGAAATCGTACGAAAAGTTATGCACAGTAATTTCTTACGTTTTTTTCGTCGTATTTTTACGTCTTGCGATATCCTTGCGTTATCCTTCAATAACATAGAACCCTAACCCTAAACCTAAGATACAAAACAGCAAGCAACGTAGTCAGAGACATCAAGAAGTGATTATTGCACTGTTTTTCCCATTTTTACGTCCGTCCGCGGATCTGCTTTTTTCGTCTGTCTGCCAGCGCATGCGCACTGATCTGTTTTTTCGGGGAAAAACATCCAAAACGTACGAAATACTGTGCATAACTTTTCGTACGGTTTCATACGAACTGATAATGAGAATATGTTGAACATTGCTCCAGAAGACATTTGGAATTCCAATGTAGGCGGCATTCTATCAACTTCCCCCCCGTAGCCGTCCACGGTGAGACTGGTTCAACCTCACCGTGGACTGAGAGATTGCTGACCAAGAAAGAAGCTGTCAAACCCTCATGTTTGCCTGAAATCTGCAGCCCACTTGGACAAATCAAGTGTTTCGGAGAAGGTCTTGATGGCCACACGAGATGAAGATCAAACAAGGCGAAGAAAAATAAGCACGGTGGCGGTGCCATGGTGCCCTGGGGCTGTTTAAAGGTAGGTCTAAATGATCCTAAACACTCTTCCAAACTGGTTCCTTTCAAAGCTGATGATTAGGAACTGGGTCTTCCTCAGGGAACCATCAAGTCTAAATGAACTCTGCTCCTTCTGCCAAGCAGAAGTTGAGGGATCTAGATGAGGATGTGGTGGTAAAGGGTGTACAAATAAAATCCTCAGAGCTTAAGCGTTTAGCAACTCACCTGAGCTCCTCCAGAACCACTGTGTTATCATATGGACCGACTAGGAGCTCCTCCAGGTCCACATCATTCTCTGTAGGGTGAAAGGTCACTTTATAGCCCCTAACATTCCCAGGGGCATGATCCCAGGAGACTCTAAAACTGGTCTTGGTTGGATCTGAGGTCTTCAGGTTTCTTGGAGCCTTGTAAATAGACACTACAGTGAAAGAAAAGAGAAAAAAACCTAAGGACAAACCAATCCAGAGGAAAACTGCTGGTAGAGGTGTGACGATCATTCAAACCAGTTGTTGTTAGACAATAGTCCTTGAACTCAGAGTGGATTAGTGAAAAACCTGGGCTCCAATAGCCTGGCTGACTAAGACATGTTTGGTGGCATTAAGGAAGGTCTGCTGTTGTTTGATCTGGTGTCCATGTCTCTACAGTGTCTTAGATAGGCATGTTTCTTTAGTATACTGTGTCTGAGATGGACATAACTTTATAGCGTCTCATGTGGCCATGTCTCTACAGTGCCTAAGATGGACATATCTAGTCTACATTGAACAGAAGGTCTGGGTTATTCACTTTTGCCTTCGCATTTTCAGTCTCATATGGCCATGTCTCTACAGTGACATGTCTCTACAGTGACATGTCTCTACGGTGTCTGAGATGGACTCATCTTTATAGTGTCTCGTGTGGCCATGTCTCCACAGTGTCTGATAAGGACATATCTTTATAGAGTCTCATGTGGCCATGTCTCCACAGTGTCTGATAAGGACATATCTTTATAGAGTCTCATGTGGCCATGTCTCCACAGTGTCTGAGATGGACATATCTTTTAGGAGTCTTTTGTGTCCATGTTTCTACAGTTTTTAAGATGGACATATCTTTATAGTCTCATATGGCCATGTCTCTATGTTGTCTGAGATGGACATATCTTTATAGAGTCTCATGTGGCCATGTCTCTACAGTGTCTGATATGGACATATCTTTATAGTCTCATGTGGCCATGTCTCTATGTTGTCTGAGATGGACATATCTTTTAAGAGTCTTATGTGTCCATGTTTCTACAGTTTTTAAGATGGACATGTCTTTATAGAGTCTCATATGGCATGCCTCTACAGTGTCTGAGATGGACATATCTTTATAGTCTCGTGTGTCCATGTCTACAATAACTGAGATGGACATATCTTTATAGAGTCTAATGTGGCCATGTCTCTACAGTGTCTGAGATGGACATATCTTTATAGTCTCGTGTGTCCATGTCTACAATAACTGAGATGGACATATCTTTATAGAGTCTCGTGTGGCCATGTCTCTACAGTGTCTGAGATGGACATATCTTTTAGGAGTTTTTTGTGTCCATGTTTCTACAGTTTTTAAGATGGACATATCTTTATAGAGTCTCATGTGGCCATGTCTCTATGTTGTCTGAGATGGACATATCTTTTAAGAGTCTTATGTGTCCATGTTTCTACAGTTTTTAAGATGGACATGTCTTTATAGAGTCTCATATGGCATGTCTCTACAGTGTCTGAGATGGACATATCTTTATAGTCTCGTGTGTCCATGTCTACAATAACTGAGATGGACATATCTTTATAGAGTCTCGTGTGGCCATGTCTCCACAGTGTCTGAGATGGACATATCTTTTAGGAGTCTTTTGTGTCCATGTTTCTACAGTTTTTAAGATGGACATATCTTTATAGAGTCTAATGTGGCCATGTCTCTACAGTGTCTGAGATGGACATATCTTTATAGTCTCGTGTGTCCATGTCTACAATAACTGAGATGGACATATCTTTATAGAGTCTAATGTGGCCATGTCTCTACAGTGTCTGAGATGGACATATTTTTATAGTCTCGTGTGTCCATGTCTACAATAACTGAGATGGACATATCTTTATAGAGTCTCGTGTGGCCATGTCTCTACAGTGTCTGAGATGGACATATCTCTTAGGAGTTTTTTGTGTCCATGTTTCTACAGTTTTTAAGATGGACATACAGGTGCTGGTCATAAAATTAGAATATCATGAAAAAGTAGATTGATTTCAGTAATTCCATTTAAAAAGTGAAACTTGTATATTATATTCATACATTACATACAAACTCATATATCTCAGATGTTTATTTTGTTTAATTTTGATGATTACAAATGACAACAAATGAAAATCTCAAATTCATCATATCAGAAAATTAGAATATTACTGAAGACCAATAAAAACAAAGGATTTATAGAAATGTTGGCCAACTGAAAAGTATGAACATGAAAAGTATGAGCATGTACAGCACTCAGTATTTAGTTGGGCCTCCTTTGGCCTGTATTACTGCAGCAATGCGGCGTGGCATGGAGTCGATCAGTCTGTGGCACTGCTCAGGTGTTATGATAGCCCAGGTTGCTCTAATAGTGGCTTTTAGCTCTTCTGAATTGTTGGGTCTGGTGTATTGCATCTTCTTCTTCACAATACCCCATAGATTTTCTATGGGGTTAAGGTCAGGAGAGTTTGCTGGCCAATTAAGAACAGGGATACCATGGTCCTTCAACCAGGTACTGGTAGCTTTGGCACTGTGTGCAGGTGCCAAGTCCTGTTGGAAAATGAAATCTGCATCTCCAAAAAGTTGGTCAGCTGCAGGAAGCATGAAGTGCTCTAAAACTTCCTGGTATGTGGCTGCGTTGACCCTGGACCTCAGAAAACACAATGGACCAACACCAGCAGATGACATGGCACCCCAAACCATCACTGACTGTGGAAACTTTACACTGGACTTCAAGCAACGTGGATGAAGTGCCTCTCTTCTTTTCCTCCAGACTCTGGGACCTTGATTTCCAAAGGAAATGCAAAATTTACTTTCATCAGAGAACATGACTTTGGACCACTCACCAGCAGTCCAGTCCTGTTTCTCTTTAGACGCTTCTGACGCTGTCTGTGGTTCAAGAGTGGCTTGACACAAGGAATGCGACAGCAGAAACCCATGTCTTTCATACGTCTGTGTGTGGTGGTTCTTGAAGCACTCACTCCAGCTGCAGTCCACTCTTTGTGAATCTCCCCCACATTTTTGAATGGGTTTTGTTTCACAATCCTCTCCAGGGTGCGGTTATCTCTCTTGCTTGTACACTTTTTTCGACCACATCTTTTCCTTCCCTTCGCCTCTCTATTAATGTGCTTGGACACTGAGCTCTGTGAATAGCCAGCCTCTTTAGCGATTACCTTTTGTGTCTTGCCCTCCTTGTGCAAGGTGTCGATGGTCGTCTTTTGGACAACTGTCAAGTCAGCAGTCTTCCCCATGATTGTGTAGCCTATAGAACTAGACTGAAAGACCATTTAAAGGCTTTTGCAGGTGGTTTGAGTTAATTAGCTGATTAGAGTGTGGCACCAGGGGCCATCAATTTTGAACCTTTTCACAATATTCTAATTTTCTGATATGATGAATTTGAGATTTTCATTTGTTGTCATTTGTAATCATCAAAATTAAACAAAATAAACATCTGAAATATATGAGTTTGTATGTAATGTATGAATATAATATACAAGTTTCACTTTTTAAATGGAATTACTGAAATCAATCTACTTTTTCATGATATTCTAATTTTATGACCAGCACCTGTATCTTTATAGAGTCTAATGTGGCCATGTCTCTACAGTGTCTGAGATGGACATATCTTTATAGTCTCATGTGGCCATGTCTCTATGTTGTCTGAGATGGACATATCTTTTAAGAGTCTTATGTGTCCATGTTTCTACAGTTTTTAAGATGGACATGTCTTTATAGAGTCTCATATGGCATGTCTCTACAGTGTCTGAGATGGACATATCTTTATAGTCTCGTGTGTCCATGTCTACAATAACTGAGATGGACATATCTTTATAGAGTCTCCTGTGGCCATGTCTCCACAGTGTCTGAGATGGACATATCTTTTAGGAGTCTTTTGTGTCCATGTTTCTACAGTTTTTAAGATGGACATATCTTTATAGAGTCTAATGTGGCCATGTCTCTACAGTGTCTGAGATGGACATATCTTTATAGTCTCATGTCTACAATAACTGAGATGGACATATCTTTATAGAGTCTCGTGTGGCCATGTCTCTACAGTGTCTGAGATGGACATATCTTTTAGGAGTTTTTTGTGTCCATGTTTCTACAGTTTTTAAGATGGACATATCTTTATAGAGTCTAATGTGGCCATGTCTCTACAGTGTCTGAGATGGACATATCTTTATAGTCTCGTGTGTCCATGTCTACAATAACTGAGCTGGACATATCTTTATAGAGTCTCATGTGGTTATGTCTCTACAGTGTCTGAGATGGACATATCTTTATAGTCTCATATGGCCATGTCTCCACAGTGTCTGATATGGACATATCTTTATAGTCTCATGTGGCCATGTCTCTGTGTTGTCTGAGATGGACATATCTTTTAAGAGTCTTATGTGTCCATGTTTCTACAGTTTTTAAGATGGACATGTCTTTATAGAGTCTCATATGGCATGTCTCTACAGTGTCTGAGATGGACATATCTTTATAGTCTCGTGTGTCCATGTCTACAATAACTGAGATGGACATATCTTTATAGAGTCTCGTGTGGCCATGTCTCCACAGTGTCTGAGATGGACATATCTTTTAGGAGTCTTTTGTGTCCATGTTTCTACAGTTTTTAAGATGGACATATCTTTATGGAGTCTAATGTGGCCATGTCTCTACAGTGTCTGAGATGGACATATCTTTATAGTCTCGTGTGTCCATGTCTACAATAACTGAGATGGACATATCTTTATAGAGTCTAATGTGGCCATGTCTCTACAGTGTCTGAGATGGACATATCTTTATAGTCTCGTGTGTCCATGTCTACAATAACTGAGATGGACATATCTTTATAGAGTCTCGTGTGGCCATGTCTCTACAGTGTCTGAGATGGACATATCTTTTAGGAGTTTTTTGTGTCCATGTTTCTACAGTTTTTAAGATGGACATATCTTTATAGAGTCTAATGTGGCCATGTCTCTACAGTGTCTGAGATGGACATATCTTTATAGTCTCGTGTGTCCATGTCTACAATAACTGAGATGGACATATCTTTATAGAGTCTCGTGTGGCCATGTCTCCACAGTGTCTGAGATGGACATATCTTTTAGGAGTCTTTTGTGTCCATGTTTCTACAGTTTTTAAGATGGACATATCTTTATGGAGTCTAATGTGGCCATGTCTCTACAGTGTCTGAGATGGACATATCTTTATAGTCTCGTGTGTCCATGTCTACAATAACTGAGATGGACATGTCTTTATAGAGTCTAATGTGGCCATGTCTCTACAGTGTCTGAGATGGACATATCTTTATAGTCTCGTGTGTCCATGTCTACAATAACTGAGATGGACATATCTTTATAGAGTCTCGTGTGGCCATGTCTCTACAGTGTCTGAGATGGACATATCTTTTAGGAGTTTTTTGTGTCCATGTTTCTACAGTTTTTAAGATGGACATATCTTTATAGAGTCTAATGTGGCCATGTCTCTACAGTGTCTGAGATGGACATATCTTTATAGTCTCGTGTGTCCATGTCTACAATAACTGAGATGGACATATCTTTATAGAGTCTCATCTGGTTATGTCTCTACAGTGTCTGAGATGGACATATCTTTATAGTCTCGTATGGCCATCTCTCCACAGTGTCTGATATGGACATACTGTATCTTTATAGTCTCATGTGGCCATGTCTCTGTGTTGTCTGAGATGGACATATCTTTTAAGAGTCTTATGTGTCCATGTTTCTACAGTTTTTAAGATGGACATGTCTTTATAGAGTCTCATATGGCATGTCTCTACAGTGTCTGAGATGGACATATCTTTATAGTCTCGTGTGTCCATGTCTACAATAACTGAGATGGACATATCTTTATAGAGTCTAATGTGGCCATGTCTCTACAGTGTCTGAGATGGACATATCTTTATAGTCTCGTGTGTCCATGTCTACAATAACTGAGATGGACATATCTTTATAGAGTCTCGTGTGGCCATGTCTCCACAGTGTCTGAGATGGACATATCTTTTAGGAGTTTTTTGTGTCCATGTTTCTACAGTTTTTAAGATGGACATATCTTTATAGAGTCTAATGTGGCCATGTCTCTACAGTGTCTGAGATGGACATATCTTTATAGTCTCGTGTGTCCATGTCTACAATAACTGAGATGGACATATCTTTATAGAGTCTCATGTGGTTATGTCTCTACAGTGTCTGAGATGGACATATCTTTATAGTCTCATATGGCCATGTCTCCACAGTGTCTGATATGGACATATCTTTATAGTCTCATGTGGCCATGTCTCTGTGTTGTCTGAGATGGACATATCTTTTAAGAGTCTTATGTGTCCATGTTTCTACAGTTTTTAAGATGGACATGTCTTTATAGAGTCTCATATGGCATGTCTCTACAGTGTCTGAGATGGACATATCTTTATAGTCTCGTGTGTCCATGTCTACAATAACTGAGATGGACATATCTTTATAGAGTCTCGTGTGGCCATGTCTCCACAGTGTCTGAGATGGACATATCTTTTAGGAGTCTTTTGTGTCCATGTTTCTACAGTTTTTAAGATGGACATATCTTTATAGAGTCTAATGTGGCCATGTCTCTACAGTGTCTGAGATGGACATATCTTTATAGTCTCGTGTGTCCATGTCTACAATAACTGAGATGGACATATCTTTATAGAGTCTCGTGTGGCCATGTCTCTACAGTGTCTGAGATGGACATATCTTTTAGGAGTTTTTTGTGTCCATGTTTCTACAGTTTTTAAGATGGACATATCTTTATAGAGTCTAATGTGGCCATGTCTCTACAGTGTCTGAGATGGACATATCTTTATAGTCTCGTGTGTCCATGTCTACAATAACTGAGATGGACATATCTTTATAGAGTCTCATGTGGTTATGTCTCTACAGTGTCTGAGATGGACATATCTTTATAGTCTCATATGGCCATGTCTCCACAGTGTCTGATATGGACATATCTTTATAGTCTCATGTGGCCATGTCTCTGTGTTGTCTGAGATGGACATATCTTTTAAGAGTCTTATGTGTCCATGTTTCTACAGTTTTTAAGATGGACATGTCTTTATAGAGTCTCATATGGCATGTCTCTACAGTGTCTGAGATGGACAAATCTTTATAATCTCGTGTGTCCATGTCTACAATAACTGAGATGGACATATCTTTATAGAGTCTCATGTGGCCATGTCTCTACAGTGTCTGATATGGACATATCTTGTCTACAGGGAACAAAAGGTCTGGGTTATTCACTTTTGCCTTCGCTTTTTCAGTCTCATATGGCCATGTCTCTACACTAAGATGTCCCAACAGTGTCTGAGATGGACATATCTTTATAGAGTCTTATGTGTCCAAGTTTCTACAGTTTTTAAGATGGAGATGTCTTTATAGAGTCTCATATGGCTATTGCTCTACAGTGACATGTCTCTACAGTGTCTGAGATGGACATATCTGTATAGAGTCTCAAGTGGCTATGTCTCTAAAGTGTCTGAGATGGACATATCTTTATAGTCTCGTGTGTCCATGTCTCTACAGTGTCTGAGATGGACATATCTTTATAGAGTCTCAAGTGGCTATGTCTCTAAAGTGTCTCATATGAATATGTCTCTGTGCAGGTTGAATCATGGACCAACGTACGTGTCGTTCCTACTCCTTGCCTTGGTTTTCCTTCCCCGCGCTTGTAGATGGGCAGAACAGTGATGCTGTAGGAGGTTAAAGGCTGCAGGCGCTTCAGGATGGTAGAGGTGGTCCTTCCTGGGATCTTCAGGACCACCTCCTTGCCTCCATCAGTAGGAACGTACTTTAGACGGTAGTTGACCACATCTCCTGGAGCTGGAGTCCATGAAGCTCTCATGGTTCGCTCCGTCTCATCGGACACCGTCACGGCAGCAGCTGAAGAAGCTGGAGACAGAAACACCACATATCATCGTTTATCTGTTTATTGTAAACATCAAAGTCAAACAGTCGACGTAAACTAACTTTATCTGACATAACCCCCATACCTCACCAGCAGCTTCAGCCAAATCCAAACGGACACACGTTGGGAGAATTTCCGGGGGCAATCCTCAAAAAAGAATGTTAAAAACATTTCCCTGAAACAGCTGAAGCCCGACGAGGCTAAATGAACGTGTTGTGATGCATCTGAAGGTGATTAAAAAGCTCTGCAGGGGAACTGTGATGCACGTAAAGTTAATAGTCCCTGAGTAAACTTTCTAACTACCTCATTCATTCTGGGAGGGTTTTATTGCTCAGAGAATTAGGCTTTAAACCTTTTATTGTATGGCTGAAAAACCTTTAAGGTGCGGATCTACTCCAACATGTGTCAATGTATCCACACCCGCATCATCACCCCACCCACACCAGGTCACTACAACCACATCACTACTATTAAACTGCGTTATTACACAAATCTCAAGTCGCGACACGCACACTGTATCATTATATCAACACACTTTACTACAACCAATATTAGTGCACAAATACCACTTAACAACATAAACAAAGTATTGCTACACAAACACCAAGTCGCTACTCAAACATTATGTCACAAAGATTCACCTTTACTCCAAATGTGAGACAATGCAAAAACCAAACCACTAGAGACACAACATAACCACAAAATAATACACCAAAAAAAACAGCCCCATTCTCCAGATAGAGAAATGTTAATAGAATAGACATCCATTATCTGTTCTAGGTTGTGTCCCTCTCTTCTTGTCCCTTTTCTTCTTGTTTTCCTCTCTATGTTTTGTACTCAGCTGACTTTTCATGCTGTCTCTAAAGGAATGAAAGATTTTTTGCATGAATCATGACAGCAGACAAGATAGAGGAGAGCAGGAGGCGGGGTTACCAATCTACTCGCTCTGGAGAGCAGAGTTCGCTGCTTTTAGATGTTGTCTCCAAAGTCTCCAGCAGCAGAAAAAAGTCTCTAGATTTGGCGCTAGGAGCTTTTTAGAAATCAAAGTGCTAGAGGGGTCTGAAAAGTGGCTAAATATAGCGACTAAAGCGCTAAGTTGGCAACACTGCTCTTTGCATGGTTTGTTTTCAAATGGTTTGCTGCTGTCTGTTTGGACCTTTCGAAACATGTGCAGCAAATGGACTGATCCAATGTGGTGGACACTGAAGGGGGGGGGGCTGAGACACACTTAATATCATCAGCGTTCTGATGGCATTTTATTATGGATGCACGATATAATTGGCCCCCTATCGGTATCGGCCTTAAAACTGAATATCGGACATCGGCCACCCCACCGATATTTAACCCGATATTTGATCAGCTTCTGAGTTTCTAAAGTCTAAAAAAAATAAAAAAATACTACTAACACCATATCAATCTCTTTTACTAATGAAATATTGCTATATGTCATCGTTATGCTAAGAAATCCCCCGAAAATTCACGAAATTTTGCCATATTTTTATATGTTGATATATTGACGCGGTATCGATCTATTTTACTAACAAAATCTCACAAGAATTTGCGAAATATCACGAGAGTTTGTAACAGAACGATGAAATTTCACGAGATTTTGAAAGTAAAATAGATCGATACCGCGTTTTTAAAAATCAATTTGATATCAGCATATGAAAATATATTTGAGTATATTATTTTTCAAAGTGTCAGAAATGGATAACAAAACTGCTATTTTCAATGACTACTTATTTTTGTCCAGCTTTAACATCGGTATCGATATCGGTTATCGGCTACATGAGTTTTAAAATATCGGCATATCGGATATCGGCCAAAATCCCAATATCGTGCATCCCTACATTTTAGCGAAAAACATAATTATACACAAATAAGAAATCGTTGAATTAACTGTACATCTATACAGTTTTATTCCTCGTATTGCCTAATGGTAAATCGGCCCCTGACTACCATCACAACTGCAGTATCACCACTCCAACACCGTCTCCCTACACAAACATTGCATCATTACACCATGCATCCCCAACAGGACTTTTAATATTCTGCAGCGTTAAACAACATGACGTCTCTGTGTCCCATAAAGTTTAGCTTTGAAGGGGGAGGAAATAAAGCAGACCCTGATTCAAAGCATAAACTAAAGCGTCTAAGATGAGCCGAGGAAAACATTCCTGACAAGTATTTTTAGTAAATAACCTCTCTGCACTTAGATTAAATAAATATAGATAGAGCTGCCAGGATTAAATGTTGCTGTTTCACGTTTTATATTAAGACAAAACATGGAGACCATATAAATATTTGTAAAACCATATTAGAGGGGTGGATCTTCAATCTTCCTTATTTAATGTAAGAAATTTCATTCTAAAATAGATCAGTTTCACATCTAAAAGCTAAAACTATAGCTTTGCCTTCATTACCTTTGTTAGTATTGCACATTATCTAACGTTAACTAGTGTGAAGCGGCCTTTTCACTGCAAATGTTCTACTTTATAGAAATCAGCTAAGTTTAGGTCTGCCTGTCGGGTAAATTGCTTTTTATTTGCTCTCATAGATGAGTCAGATAAACCAAAATAAGCATGGAAACTATGCTGCCAGGCCGTGAGAGAGACGTCTCAGAGTCATTCCTTACTGCATATCATTACCCAGTCTGTACATTTACACACGTTCAACCAGAAATTCATCCTGGTTATGATTAAATATTGCAAATTTGGTACCCAAAGTAACCATTTCTGTCCTTAAACTATTAAAGCATTCTAAACTATATCTTGTTAAATATTAATAGGGATTTTGCTGAGAGAATAAATGAGTTTAAATTCTTTTTATTGTGTTGCTTCTCCGACATCTTATAAACAAATCTAAATCACAATAAATATGCGTTATTCTCCCGCAGCCCCGTTAGCTTCATTCACCTGCCGTTCCCTCCCCGCTCTCTAATTATCATTCATCTTATTCACCTGCTTCCTCTGCTATATATAAGGTTCATTCCAGCTATCTGGGCCAAATCATTATTTGTGTTTTACTTAGTTTATTTGTTAGTATTCTTAGTTTTTTTTTAAATGTTTTTCATGTTTGTTTCCTTTCATGTTTGAGGCCAGTGGGTTCAAACTGAGGCCAGTGGGTCAAACTGGTCCTACAGTCATTCTATTACAGATGGAGTAATGTAACTAAAGTAATCCCTCCCCGGGATTATTAAAGTATTTCTGATTCCTGGTTGATGGGACAGGTGTTGTGACTGAAACGGTGCCCAGCTTGAAAGAGCTCCTGTGTGTTGCTAAATGTGTGCATTGATCATGGGCGGTTCTAGACAGGGGCCAACGAGGGCCAGTGCCCCTGTAGATCATCTCCTGGCCCCTGTTATGGCCCCTGTACTGAAGACATAATATTCAAAGAAACTCTAATGATGATATGCGCTGGAGCAGACATGATTACTGATAGGCCCTTGGGATCTATTTTTCTATTTTCTATTTTTTTTCTATCTTTTTTTTCTATACAAGTTCTGTTTTAGTAATTATTTAAAAACAATAAAGTTATGGCTTCAGTGGTGTTGAGATAGCATCCCAGTTTTCATCTGTTAAATGTTATTTTCAAAACAAATTACTCTAATTTTTATTGCAGAATTTATCAATTTTTCTCGAGTTCTAATTCAGATTTTTTGAAAAAAAAAAAACCCGTAATTTTAGCTCAAATTAAGTCGAAAATATGTAAAATTTCAAACTTATGAATGTCTATTGATCTAACAAGAAATCGAATTTTAATAATTAAACCTAATTGAATAGAAATTTCATTTCATGCAGCTCTCTTAATATATTTGAATCCCTTGCCCTGTTTTTTATTTAATGCTTTTCTGTGCCCCCATGAAAACACGCTGGCCCCCTCCTGGCCCCCTTATACATTTGGTCTAGAACCGCCACTGGCATTGATATGTGAAAGACATCTTCTGCCCCATTTATCTGTTTACTACAGAGTGATGAATTCATGTTAATGTGGATTTAAAGACATTTCTATTAGTGGAAAAAAAGAAGTCTAATTAACCAAAACTTTCGTGACCCCCATGCAGTACCTCCGAGGACCCCCTAGGGGTCACGGACCCCCTGTTGAAGACCTCCGGTTTAGAGTGTTTTGGGTTTGTCTCCTGGTCGTTTCCCGGCTCTTCTCCGCTGAGCCCTCAGGGTTTTGGCTCAGAACGCAGGGGAGGTCAGTTTTAATTCCCGTAAGCCTGCCTCCAAGGTTTAGACCAGTTTAAAGTTCGGCATCTATTCTGGTTCCATGTCTTGTCTATGTTCCTTTCTACCACTGAGCCTTCCTGTCTCCATCTGAGCGTGTCTGTCTGAGTTTGATGCTGGACTCATAGAACTCTGAACCTGCCTAAACGCTCCGAGGATTCCTGGAACCCTGGATCTTGGAACTGTCCAGTTCTGAACTGACCCGGAACGGATTCCTGCCTCTCAATGGGGTTGCTGCATCGGGGACACTTTGGATGGACTGAACTGTTAAACCAGGTAAGTGACTCACTCGGATAATCATCTCCTGTCGGATGATGGTGGTCACTTACCTTTGTTTCTCCCTCCGGAGTGTCAGTGATTGGGCGGTGCCCCGCCCCCCTCTCCATTGTCTGACTGGCCTTGAACACTGGGTCCATCTGTCTCGTTTTACATGTTTTACACAATATAGTTGATAGGATTTTTATAATTAGCGATTGAAATCAATGATTTTGGTCCTTTTTTCATAAAAAGTCAAATCGATGGTGACCCGGATGTATTTGTGGTTGCAGGTGAGGAAATTAGGTGATGGTATTGATCATTCTACTGGCACAGATTGGGTAGGAACACAGTCATCCAACGACAATTAGATGACGTCAACGACTCACTAGAGAAATCATCTAAAAATAAAAAGCGTTTCGTTCTACAAAGATTGAAGGAGTGAAAAAAAAAGCCGTCTAGCTCCGTGACTGAGCATTTTAACGTTTAACAAACCCTTAATAAGGGTTTGATATTATCGTCACACAAAGAAGGGAAGTACACTTTCTGTTTGAAACCATTCAGGACCTTCCTCAATCAAAAACAGTAATAGATACATTGATTTTAATACTTTTTAACTTCTTATGGACGATTTAAAAAGTTTGCATCACACTTTAACATTAAGTTAATTTTTATACATGCTGATTTTTGCGTTACAGATGGCGGGATGTTATTTTGGTCGATTGAAGGACCCAGATTACAAACTGCTGCCAACTTATTAGTTTTGTTACTATATTTTTAGACCAAACTTTGAACCATTTTTTTTAAAAAGCAACTGTTGTTTTTTTCTGTGAGCGCTGCTCTGAGCTCCTGCCTCCCTCAAAGCGCCGATAGATGGTCAGATTCAGCAGAAAACTGGGCCTGCAGTCAAAGTTTAGCTTCAACTGACCCCCTCCGGTTTGATAAGAGGAATCTATTAATAATATTTGACATAATGTTAGTTATTTTTTTCAATTGCTGGACTAAAACAGATCCCTGCATTTGATTCAAACTCAGCCTCATCCACTGTGTGTCCTCTGCTAATTGTCTTTAAGTTGAATTATTATTGAATACAGTAGGGCTGAGACAATTAATCGGATTAATTGATTATTCAAATAACCGTCAACTAATTCATTGTTGACTGGAGTATAGAGATTCTAAAACATGCCTTTAGCTGACAGAGCAACCCACTTAGAGCAGGAATTATACCAAAATGGTAAATATTAAATATAAAAATGTTTTTGTTGTTGGGATCTGGAGGTCTGTCCACTTTTCTCCACCAGAGGGCGTTCTAGGTCTCCTGGAGCTGACTGCACCACCTGCGGCTCGTTTGCTCATCAGGAGACCAGTATTTAAGGAGGCAGAGGACATCACTCCGGCGCCAGAGTGTTTTGCCAGTTATGGTTAGCAAGCCTGAGCCAACCTGCTTGTCTGAATCTCTGACTCCCAGAAAACCTGAACCTGAACCTAATCTGTTTTGTCCTCTCTGCTTCCCAGGTTGAACCTGCCTGAAACCTGAAACCTTGAAGAGTTTCTCTGTTGGAAATCTGTCAGACTGATCTCTGAAGAACCCTGGAGAATCTAACCTGTCAAAGACCTGCCTGTCCACTCTCTGAAGAATCTGAAAGGGAAACTCAAATCTGTGATCTGCAAACACTCAAACCAAGCTCTGCCTCCGCCAAGCCCTCAGCCTGCCGACAGCCTCTGGACCCTCCTGGTTCCCCCTCTCTAAAAAATCTAAAAAAATCTAATTTATCTGATTATTAATTGATTAATTGAAAAAAGCGGTTTGCAAAATAATTGTTCGTTGCAGACCTAGAATACAGCAACTTTATTAGATTTACTAGATTGTTTGTAGTTTGAAATGTATTTAGAGGTTTTTGTTGCTGATTCTGTATTTCTTACGTTGATATTCCAGCAAATATGTTAATTAGGTGAGGATGTGGTCATGTGTTGAGCTTTTAAGCAGAGATGGTTAGTTGGAATATCTTCAACAGATTTAAGACATTTAAGATGTAATACATGTTTAGATTTCTGTAAAGGTATAGGAACATTTAGATGTAGGTATAAGCTGGAAGACATTAAATGTGAAAGAAAGTGCCCTAAAATAGCTGCAATGTGACAGTGAAAAGCTTTTAGCTATAGTTTTACATTCGGCATCCCGTATTGTTGGAATTAGCAGATAAACCCGGTTTGATTCCGTGACGTTTAGGAAGTAGATTTCAGATTTCACCAAATGATTTTAGGAAATAAAATACAAACGATAAATAAAGATTTTTCATCGTTTTTGTTGTCTGTATAAAGGACAAATATTGGAAAAAACCTCCAGAAAGGAAAGCCTGATAGAGACTGCTGGTTTCTTTGGACCTCACTTTTCAAATAAGGGGAAACTTTCTCAGGAATACAGCAAATTCTGATTCAGTAGCTCTGGGACTGCTTAACTCAACTTTACATTATATCAAATACTGGATCCTGAAAGTTTTCACACTGGCTCACCATCGGTGGTTTCCCGTCCGGTGAGCGGGTCACTGTCTTTGTGAGGATAGGCGGCGATCACAGACACCTGGTAAGGCGTCTCTGGAGTCAGACCGTCCAGGACGGTGGTTGTTTCATCTCCTGGCACCGTTTTCTCTCCGTGTTCCTCAGAAAACAAAGATTTCCAGTGAACTTTGTAGGCCTGTACGATCCCGGGCGCCGCCGTCCAGGAGGCCCTGAAGCTGGTGTCCGTTACCAGGCTGGTGACCAGGTTCTTCGGGGGGCCAGCCTCTGAAAACAAAGGGGTTTAGATGTTAGTATCATCAAATGATTGGCCTATAGCGCTTATAGAAATGTTTCAGCGCTTTGTTTAACCAAATGTTTCCTCTAGATATGCTGTTTCAGTCTCTTTCCACATCCCAGATGTTTTTCAAGCTTAAAGTCACAATGATTCAGTTACTCAGTGGCTCTGTCCGAATTTGCCAAGAACATTTTTAAAATCCATGGTCTCTTTCAAACAAAGGAACCATTTAGATGCACTGGCAGATGAAAATATCTTTAAAATGGAAAGTATTAGGTCATAGAATGGACAGCGGCGCTATAAAAGAGCAGCCAGAACTGGATAAACACATGTGAAGGACTGGGGCTTTTATTTTCAATTGTTACGACACTTCTGGTGCATTCATGAGCACGAAGCATTGAAGACAGATGGTATAAAAGTCCTTCAAGACAAAGGGACTCCGCTTGGGATGAAGAAAATTAAAGCAAAGTGGTTTGAGTCCACAGACAGAAAACACCTTCTGGTAGAACACAGAGATGAGTTTTATTTCAGAACATTATTGAAGTGACAACAGCCCAAATACTCTTTCCAATTTCACTGAAGATGTCCTGGATTCTTACAAGCATCTGATGGAATCCATGAATGTGAACAACGTTTTTATCTCTATACGGGCCTGA